AAACATACACATGCAACTAATGCATCATTTTATTGTGCCAATATTTTGTTACCCAGGAGCTTTATCAAGCCTCGACAAGGCTCCTGCAGAGTGAAACGTTGCCAAAATAAAAATGTCTCGTTAGTATGTTTTACCTAACATATTGTCGGTAATTCTACAAACATTATTGCACAACCTAGTTTAGATACTTGCCTGTTTTCTTTGTGTTTGGTTACTTATTTTGATATTTTTAAAAGTGCACTTCCTTTCTAGTAGTTTCTATAGTGCACTTCCTTACTAGTTAGCCACGAACACAGGCGTACTGCCTTTGTAATGAAGAAAAGACAGGCGCAGAGCAAGCTTTTATTGTGACAGTTTTGCGGTATGTTGAATTTTGTAACATCACTGGTGCGATAAAGCCCAACGTACATCGGTTTTATTTTCAGTGCCAACTGTCATCCACCGAGGTATGCTCCCCTCTCTCCCAAAAAATGCATTCAGTCATGTATTCAGTTTCTACCTTGCCAGAAGGGTGATAACATCGCAGTTCAGATGTCACTCTTGAGCTGTTGCCACCTGATCTTCTCTTGAGAGTGCCGGCACTGTAATTCCCAACTCCAGGACTCGAGTCGGGCTCGCTGGAGAGCAAAATGTTGTCACAAAGCTAGCTCTGCCTCTGATTGTTCTTTACTAGATAACCTTCATCTTAAATCTTAAGCAGTTTAATCACTTGCCTTTTAACCCTTAAACTGTCCAAATGTAGATCTACGTTCACATGCAGGGGGGGGGGGCTAAAACATAGATCTATATTTTTTTTACATGCTTTCAAGTGGGGAAAATCAAGGCCGGAGCACTACGCATGTGAACGTAGATCTACGTTTGGACGGTTTAAGGCTTAACATTCCCTTTTTACCCTCACTTGCACCTTTTCCTTGTCTTATTGGTCCATTTTGCTCGACTTTTCTTTAATTCACAAAATGATTTTTGCAACGGTTAATTTTTTTCTATTATTATTTACAATAGATTATGAACTGTTTAAACATATCTTAAATTGTCCACTGTTCCTTCATTATGTATTGCTTATTTGATTTTAACATGCAATGTTTATATGCATTTGACTCGGATATTCACGTACATTAGACAAAATTGCATCAAATCACAGTTTCTTTCACTTTCTCTCAACTTTTCAAGTTGACAGTGGACTGCATTGAGGTTTTTTAATCACATGGCTAAAGGAAGCTGATTTACACCTGTCAGCCACATTGGACATGATACTGGGTGAACTTGGTTAACCGAGTAATGAATTGTGGAATGGATGGGGGATTGAAACCATGGCAAGCAAGTCCTACAACTCGCTTGATTTGTTTGCAATCATATTACAATTTCATGAGTCCTGAGTGACGAACTAATGAATTACGTGGGAAACGTCGCCCTACGCCAGTAAGGACATGCTAGCTTACAAGAGCCTTGATACACACCAACAATTTGAGGCTGGGTAAAAAGTGCCCGTGTCAAGTACCTGAAGCAGACATTGAATGCAGTATTCTACCTACAAGAGACTTTATCAAGACTATTGTAGGAGAAATGTAATATTTAATGAAAGGTCTGTTTGCTGTGTGCATCTTTAAGCATTTGTTAGCACTGCCTCACTACAGCTATTTGAAGCTACACAGTGTTCTCATAATTGTAAATATTCCAGAGTCAAGTGCCCACCATTTTTTTTTTTTTATTGGCTGTTTCCCCCACCAAGGCAGTGACCCCAGAAAAAAAAGGAACTCTGCAATCATCACTCATTCCATCACTGTCTTGCCAAAAGCGTGTCATTGCCACAGCTAAAAACTGAAAAATATCCCCACCCCTCCAGAGTGCAGGCACTGTATATCCCACCTCCAGGACTCTAAGTTCGACTAACTGGTTTATGCCTCAAAAATAATTAACCGAACCATCTGCCAACTGGTGTGAAGGTTTGACTTCCCATATATTATTCATTTTGTTAATTTTTGTTTTTTGCATACATTTACATCCTGCCTCGGTGGGAGACGACCGACTTGTTGAAAAAAAAAAAAAAAAAATTTACATCCTTGCATATTTATGGAAAAGTAATGATTCAGTAGGTCACTCATACAGTGCCTGGAGAATGAGAAGTAATCAGGTTTGATTTGAGGAAAGGGAAAGTAATGCCAGATCCTTGGATCAAGAGCCATTCCTAGCACCACATTTGACGGGATTGTTTTTGGCTTGACTTGTGCTTTGCAGCAGAAATCGTTCATTTTTGTCTTTCAAAATACTTTGCAACACCTGCAGAATGTTAGGTTTGACTTAACGCGTTGCTTATGCCTACATGCAACAGCACACACAAGCAGTGATCGTAAAGGGGTAGAGAGACGAGAGAAGTCTTGCAATATGTGTGGTTATCAGTGCATCTTCACGTTTAGTATAAATAACAAAAAAAAGGCACAATACCGTGACTGGAACGATACACAAATAACCCAGGTCGGACCGAAACAACGTCGTAAGCTTCTCTCTTTTATGTGCGGGTTATTTGTGCACGTTTAGTATAGTTAACAAGCAACCCGTGACATCACGTGCAAAACCTCAATACATAATGAGTAATAGCCTTGTATAAATTTCAGTACTGTACATATGTGAAATGTGCTTCATATAAATTTCACATTTTACCTTATTACGTTCGCACTTGTTTGGGATACATGTGTTATACTCGTAGTGTTTCTGGAGACTTACAGGCGTGTTGCTCCAAGGATAACTGTGTGATGTAGTAGAGCTCAAATGGAGTTTACTTTAATTCCACTGCATCTTTGTGAAGAGGGGTGAATGATAGCTCATTATTTTGCATTCGGGCAATAATTTGTTAATTTACTATACTGCACTGCATGTGAGCTGCATGACTAGTTGCAACTGTTTTTTTTTTTCTTGGTTTATGTTCATTTCATGCAGTATTGTGCTTGGTCAGGGCATTTACTAGCATAAATTCACGTTCCTGATCACTGGTCTGTGTTTGTATACATTGGTTGTTGTAGGTACTGGTTTATTGTAGTACGTTGAGCATGCTATTGTTTTTCCGGCTTAATTGTAGATTTCAGTACTGTATGCTAAATTTTTATTTTGAATGTAGCTTAGCTTGAAAAAACTATTTGATTTGATTGATGTCATGTGCTTTCCAGCTTTTATGATAAAATAATTGCATAAAAAATTTATTTTTCTTGATAGGATTGTGTTCCGTTTTGCTTTTAAAAAATTGTGTACATTACAATAACGATCATGACTCACGAAATCGTAATGACACGATTGCAAACAAACCATACCATAGGCGGGATTTGAACCCGCGATCAGAGAGTCTCAAAACTCCAGACCGTCGTGTTAGCCACTGGACCAGCTAACGCGACGGTCTGGAGTTTTGAGACACACTGACCGCGGGTTCAAATCCCGCCCGTGGTATGGTTTCAATAACGATCATTTTCATACACTTCAAGTCTTGTGGATAGCCGTTAACATTATGTTTATGCTCTGTAAATTATGCACCCACTTGCATTTTCTTGGTAAGAGCTTCGTGCCCTTTCAGGTTTTGTTTTCCATCTTGATCTTTTTTGTAACAGAGATACCCCATCAGGGCAGGTGACCGAACATTCGCCGTCACTCATTTCCCTGCTATCTTTCTGAAAGTGCATCACGATGCAGTTATCTTGCTAACTTATCACACCCCCCACCTCTCCAGAATTCAAGTATGACAAATATGCTTCCCTACATCCCTTCGTGGATGTTGCTATATTCAGGTCTTCTACATGTCAAATATAGAAACACCAGTGTGTGTTGGATGCTCAAGTGCCTACCACCCAAAACCACCACTACACCTAATAATTCTTGTTAAGTAAAAGGACACAAGTGCAACTAATGTGGCATTTTATTGTGGCAATGTTTTGCTCTCCAGGAGCTTTATCAATGGCTTGATAAAGCTTCTGGAGAGTGAAACGTTGCCACAATAAAATGTCACATTAGTTGCACTCATTTTACTTAGCATATTGTCAATAATTCTACCAACACTAAAAATTCTTCCTTGTATCTATACACATTACATCCAGTCCAGGTGTATATACCCTCTAGACTAACTTACCTTGCTCCATGCTTTATAATTGACCAAGCTGCCATCATCCCTCCTTATTCTGTGAATTATTCCTTTCATACCACCTTACTGTCCATTGATGATCTTAGTGCCTTAACAACCTCCACACTGCACTGTTGATCTCTCCACCTCCACACTGCACCATTGATCTATTTTTTTTTTTACTAATAGCTTCATTTTGTTTGTAAAATTGAAATTTAATTCACACCGCTATTTTAATTCCCCTCCCACAAGTTTACATCATGTACCAAACACACCAGTGTATTTGGTGTCCGCCACACTGACTCGTCTTCGACAGTTTTTGCACTTGCCAATTTTCTCTTAATAGATTCTCTCTTGAGACTGCCATTGCTTTGTTGGGTTTATTGTAGTTGCATATACATGTTATATATGGGCCATTGATTCAAATCCAAGTCATTAATTTTTGTTGTAATTATTATTAGTGGTGTTAAGTTACCCCTAAAAGGAAACTTGTTGTAAATAGTTTATCTCCTAATATTTCCTTAATGGCAATCTTTAAAAGGGTGAAATGTGTATAACAGTATTTTCAGTTTGATAATGTGGGCCCCTCCTTCCCTCTCCCTTCATTACTAAGCCAGGTGAGACTTTATTGCTCAGTAAAGACTAGCCTTGCTAAGTAATGTAAAGTTCATTGACAGTTTGAATGTCATTTCATTACTGACTTGGCTAGATGTATCAGTAACTCCCCTGTCCACTGTACTGAGAGCAGCTGTCAGGTTGGGCCCATTTTACTTTCACCTCAGGTTGGTCATCTGAAAATGCTCACTGTCATTCACATAACATTGGGCTCTCCCTCTTTGATGAGTCAGGCCAAATAAGTCAGCGTGTCCTCGAAGACCTCATTTTTCTCTTCCCTCTGCAGGAAGAGGAGGAGGTATCGCGACTATACACTGGTTGCACCCTCGCTTAAACCACCTACCTACCACCTAAGAGCTCCTCCTGCATTCGTAAGTAGCGTTAGGAAGTACACCCATGTCCCAACTCTCAGATTTCATGCCATGAGATCAGATGCATTTTCATTTTAAAACACATACTTGGTTTTTACCTGTGTGAATATCAAGGTAATGACTAGGGAGATAGTGTGATCTGACAGCTGCTTTTAGGTCATTTGTGGTAGTGAGGGGGGGAGGAAGGGGGGGGGCCGATTTGTTGCCGTAGAAAGTAGAATTCACGTAATTTTTGTTTCTGTTGCAGAGAAGCGCCCAGGGAACCTCTCCAGAGAAATGCAGTGTGATGTGAAGGGTGGGGGGGGCACCCCACTACCTGAACCCCCAACCCACACAATGTTACGTACAAAAGACCTCCATCCCTCTGAGCTGCACACCTTACACTAGGTACATTCTCTCATCCTGGCAGTATTCAAAACGCCTCTAGATTAAAATTCAGGATGTGAACGAGATGCTTCACTAAAGACATTTCTTACTAATTTTTATTTTGATGCTGATTTTTTCTTGTAATAAAAAAAGTATATTATTTTGTAGACAGATTGAGTTTTAATAGTAAATGGAGATATATAACTTTGGAACTAGATTTTATTGAAGAGCACACAGGTGTAGAGTGAAATTTGAATAAAGCTATTTGTTTTTATTATGGATTCCTAGTTACATAAAGTCACGTGCCGCTTCAGAAGTGCGATGAGGTCGTAACTGCTTTTATCAATTTATTTGTCGTAAAGGATAATTTAGATTCAACTTCATTGGACAACTCTGAGCTTCCCTCAGGTTAGTGGATGATCAACCATTTTAAAAGCGGAAGAAGTTAGCAAATGTGGCAGGTCATTGAGCTGAGCATTTATGTATAAACCCTGGGAAATTGTTAGGTGGTTATTGTCTTAAAACAGAATTGGAAGTAGCTTCAAAGGAGGTTTCATTCTTTAGGACAAAGAAAAATACGCTAATGTTTTGGTAGGTAAGTATTATGTTCATCTTTGGTTTTCCTTGAGGAACTGAATGCTTTTTAATAGTTTTTGATCCTATTTTAGACTTATTTTGGTTGCTTATTAAACCAAATTAATGTGGTGGGTCTGTCCGACTATTTTTTCTTTGTTCGCTTGTCATGGTATACAGAATAAATAAAATTTTATGTAAGATTTAACAGCAAGTTTGCAAAGCTTACTAAAGAACTATGGATAAGGAGGGAGTTTTCCTAACATAAGTGTGACCTGGTTAATGTGTCTGATTTTCATTACCCGAATAAGTTATCCCAAAATAGCAACAGCATTAACATTGGCATAAATAGTACGTAGATACAAAAATATTAAGTGATTAGTTTAGTGCAAGAAGCCACTCAGACAGCATTCCACCATACCCTAAAAATGGGTACTTCTCTGAAGGGTTGTACTTGTAGCTTAAAGTGAATCCATTATTTGGTAGTCTATTTTAAACCTCGGTATTGATGCGAATGGGATGATACAAGCACGTGTGTGTGTGTGAACCGTCGTGGCGGAATAAACAGATTTGGTATGTAAAGTTTAAGAGTTGAATCATTCACATGTGCCAATTGAAGTGATTTAAGTCAGAGAGATGGAAGTCTGAGAGATGTGTGCTATTCTCTGCAAGTGTTCACTGCCATTATTTTGCTAATCATAAGTAAGAGCTGCTGTTGTAGCCCAACTTTTAAGGATACTTTTAGGAGTTTTTTCTGGAAATGTTGACTTGTATCTGTATTACCTTTTAATTTGGATCATTTTTAGAGGTTAATTGTGAATATTTTTTTATTGAAAAAGTCTTATTTTTAAAAATCGGTTTCATTTGTAAGAGGAATTTCATCTGGTGACAGTTATTTGATAATTGAAGGTGCATGTAAATGATACCAAGTTCAACCTTTCTTAATAATTACTCCAAATACCAGTAAGATAATTTAATTTAGGGAATTATAGCTACTAAACCCTGTATTTTATTACAAAAGCAAAATTTATCATTATGCCACAGTTACAGGGAGACTATTTGGTACCATAATGGAGGGTAAGAGATAGTTTACCTACGTTGGATTAAGCTTGTGTCATAAACATCACATTGCAAACTAGAATTTTCCGCTCACCAATGATGCCACATTTGGAACCGGTTAACAACACAAAAACACTCACCCACTATTTTGTGTACTGGTGCCATTGTTTTTTTTACAGTAAATCTTTTTTTTTTTTTTTTTTTTTTTTCTGAAAGAGGAGGTCCTTACTTTTGGTAACAAAATTTTCCTATGTAGTGCTTTAATGTCAATAGGTTGAAAGCAAAAAAACAAAAAAACAAAAGGGCATCTTGCCACTAAAGTTTGTCAGGTCATTTAGAATTAGTGACAAAAAACTTGTATCATTTATTGTAAGGTGGCCATTTTGATCCTAAAAACAAATTTATTTACTTGATTGGGCTTTGTAGCAACCAAAATGGTTCTAGTAGTGTGCCTTCAGTTAAGAGATTCTATGAAGACAAATTTCTAATGTTAAACTGTCTTAAGAGTATGGATTTACTTTAATAAAACTTAATAGAGTACAGTGCCTGTCTATATCCTACCTGAAAGAGGTACTGTTGAAGTACGCTTAAAAGTTCTCATTAACAGATTTCGACAATCTGGCAAAAATTGGAAGGCGTGGCACACCCCATCCCACAGTGCCGTGTTGACCCATATGGGTTTAGCACTTGGTTATGGTTATAATAGTGACAAATGGAAGTATCAGACAAAAGTGTGTAATTCTGCACCTTGTCTGTAGCAAGTGTGGCTGTTTTCTGAAGTATCACACCAAGCCTGATGACTTGTCCAGTATGGACCAGTGGCCATGTCCAGTCTTTTCATTGTTCCCTGAGCCACAGGCCACCAGTGCCAGTTTGTGCTCACTCATGCATACACTAGCCATTGTCTTGAACTTCCCTGGATTTAAAGCATTCTGCATGACAAGATAAGTTCCTTGATGCTGGTGGGGCTCCTGATCTAGGGAATTTGATGTGTGATCCACTTGCTTGAATGCCTTCTATGTTCTTAAACCCCCTTCCTCTCCACAGGCACTATAATCCCAATGGATTTAATGCTCCCTCCTGATACTTCTAAAACAAGTGGTGGAGCCGAGAGGAAATGTAGATAAATGGTTCAGAGAACCAACATGATGAATTAGACATGTGTAATTATTATTATTATAATCAAGGGGAAGCGCTAAACCCGTAGGATTATGCAGCTGACACGTGTAATACTTGGATATCTTTACTATGGAAATGTTTCAGCAGCCAGTGGCTTCTCTGTATTGGACTGAGGACGGCATTGGTGGCTTAGGCGCTGGCCTGGATTATTATTATTATTATAAAGGGGGAAGCGCTAAACCCATAGGATTATACAGCGCCTGTTGGGGGGGGGGGGGGATGGAAGGTATTCAGGGTTAACTCAGGAAACTGGAGCACAGATCCAGTTTCCTAGATCAAGAGCCCCTCACCAGCATCAAGGAACCTTCCTTGAGGGGAGCGCTGGCCTGGAGTTTTTGGACTCTCTCACCATCAGTTCAATCCCTGCCCGTGGTATGGTTTGAAAGGTCACCTTTGGTGAAAGCTGGTGAGCTAAAAAAAAAAAAAAACTCATGGATATCAAATAATTTAACTGGGGAAAATAAAAATAGAAAGCAAATCTTATTCAGAAGTATATACATTATTCCATAAATTATACTGATATACTACCAGGAAATTATATACATTGTGTGTGTTTTAGAATGTGAATGATAGTATATATACAATACTGCGAAAGGAATGTTAAATACAGTGGACCCCCGCTTAACGATCACCTCCGAATGCGACCAATTATGTAAGTGTATTTATGTAAGTGCGTTTGTACGTGTATGTTTGGGGGTCTGAAATGGACTAATCTACTTCACAATATTCCTTATGGGAAAAAATTCGGTCAGTACTGGCACCTGAACATACTTCTGGAGTGAAATAATATCGTTAACCGGGGGTCCACTGTATTCCTTATGGGAAAAAATTCGGTCAGTACTGGCACCTGAACATACTACTGGAATGAAAAAAGTTCGTTAACCGGGGGTCCACTGTATATTTTAGACTTCAAAACCAGTTTCATTCCAAGGTCTCCTGGACAAAGATAGCAATACATTCTCCATCCATGCCTGTAACAAACTGCCCTCCATCATGAGTGTTGTTTAAATCTCCCTGAGCCAGTATTATAGTACCTGGTGGCAACCGTCCCTCTGTCAGTTCTGGACTGATGAGTGTGGATGCTGGATCTCCCACCACCGATCTATCCACCGCAGTGGCGGAGTCACCCTCGCCAACCAGCGAATCTGGATTTGTGGTGACAGCCAGAGAGTTTTGATCTGTGTGGATGCCCAGTGATGCTGCATTTGTGCCAGCACTTAACTGTGCCCCGTCCTCGTTGCACATACTGTGACTCAGGCCAACAATGGTACTACTGTCGCTTACCATGTTTCCTCCCATGGCTAAGTTAATACCAACATTGTTCTCGGAGAAGTTACCACTGTTACCAATGATGTCTGATTCTTCAGGGGCCTTTTTCTCGTGTTTTTTAAGATGGATCTTAAGTGTGACCAACTGGATGAACTTCTTAGGACACAGCTGGAAAAAAAAAATATTTTTGTAAACATACAGAATTTTTTTTTTTTTTTTTTTTTTTTTTTTTTTTTTTTTTAACAAGTTGGCCGTCTCCCACCGAGGCAGGGTGACCCAAAAAAGAAAATACTGTCATCATCATTCAACACTTTCACCACACTCGCACATTATCACTGTTTTTGCAGAGGTGCTCAGAATACAGTAATACAGAAATACAGTACAGTATAAAGAATTGAAAAGCCCATATAATTCACAGCATTTTGGGCAAACTTGTGCTAGTCTTAGAATGAAATAGTCTCTCCTCACTTAGCAATTTATACTCATTTACTGATGACTCTGACCAGTATGTATACCTAAATACGTAATGTGTATTAGAGCTCATTTCCTCTATTCTGTTTATTACAATATACAATACACTACTGTATAAATATTTAAAAAATATATCAGAAATGTTATAATGTGCAGCCAATAGTAACAGCTTGGATGATCAGGTCTTGATCCACCATGAGGCCTGGTCACAGGCCAGGCTGTGGGGGGGGCATTGACCCCTGAAACCCTCTCCAGGTATACTCCAGGTGACATTAAAACAATATTAAAGATGGTTGACACAAACCCTCCACCATTATAGTATGCTCCTCACTTAGTGACAAATTCATTTACAGAAGTACAGTCTTAGGAACCGCTCCGTCATTAAGTGAGGAGAGGCTGTACCTCCTCCAAGACTGAGGGAATGAACACATCAATTCCAGGCTGAGGGACTGATCACCTCAAACTCCTCATTTTCCACTGTTCTTCACATTGGATGGAAGAAGCCAAAGGCTAGTGAAACATTTCCACAATAACTATTCCGAAATGTTATGTTATGTTCAGATATTACTCACCGGACATTTGTGAGGTCTTTCTCCAGTGTGAACTCTCTCGTGTCGATGAAGATGAGAGATGTGGGAGAACTCGCGACCACAAGCAAAACACATGTATGGCTGTTCCTTCTTATGAACCCTGGAATATAATAATTTGTTCTAACTGATTTAAGTACCGCCCATTTTCCCAGACACTATGCTTGGTTAATGGGGTTTAAAATATCTGCTACTTAAGGGTCATTAGGACTGGTTGGTTAATGAGGTTTAAAGTCTATTTACTTCACGAGGGTTGTTAAGGCTGCACGTCACCTGTACACCACCAGTCAAGAATACTTTTAATACCTAAAAGTGTATATATACTGAGATATACACCTATCAGTGTATATACACCGAGATATACACACACCTCAATGTGTATATCGTATGAAGTACAATAACTAGTGACTTATTCATGTAAGACTGCCTATATATCTTACCGGACAATAAAGATTTTTATTTATTACTAACCAGACAAACTTTATTGCCCTACTTAATAATTTTATTTATTAATATGTTCGAAATTATCTCTGTTTTTAAAAAAAAAATTTTGTTTTCCATCAAAGGTATATTAAAGCTATGGATCATATAACATGAAAGAATATTTGTGGGTAAAACAAGACTGAATTTTTTTTAAATTCATGTTAAGCACTAAACCCATGTGGGTTATGAACAAGACTGAAAGACTAGAAAGGTGGGACTGACCTCATGTGGTATTTATAGTCGCTCTTACTGAAGAAGTCTTTGCCGCAGAGATTACATGCGTAAGGTCTATGTCTTACGTGGTCTCTCTTGTGATGCTGTTTCAGCGATGCTTGATACTTGTACGTCTGAAATATCATTATACATTCATGAGGAAAGCACTAAATGCATAGGGGCGAGTGCCTGGGTAGGTTAGGCTTGTCAGGGAACAGGACAAGTGTTGGGTAAGGTTTCTCAGGAAACAGGATAAGTGTTTCCTGATGCGTGTATTAGACGCACGATGACCCACAGCTGGAGCTTTTGGCCACCTGACCGAGGCCTTCCACTGGCTTACCCCTCAAGGGAGGTTCCTTGATGCTGGTGAGAGGCTCTTTAATGTAGGGAATTAGATCTTTGCTCTCGTTCCATGAACTGAGCTAGAGTACTTTCCATCTCCCCACCCCCCCCCACAGGAGCTGTATAATCCTACAGGTTTAGTGCTTACCCCTTTATCATAATAAAAAATCACTTCTTAACACTCCACCCCTTTAAAAAATTATGATTATAATCATCAGGTTAGAAGTATGCTACTGTGTAGGCAAAACATTTGAACAATAAAGGTACCCAACTGTTGCATACGTGTCTTAATCATAAACTAAACTCTACATAAGTGTATTTTTCCAGATGTCATTATCACCGTACATTTCTCAGTCATAAATGCTTCAGATACTAAGAACATGCAGCAACGTACCTTATCACACTCTTTACACTGGTGAACTTCTGAGGTGGGACGATGCTTGTCCATGTGCTTGTTCAGTGTGGAACGGTAGGCGAAGGTCAGGCTGCACATGCCACACTTGTACCTGTGCAATGAGGCATCATGGGTTGCAATGTGCTGTTGGAAATTCCATTGCTTGTGGAAGGCTTTGCCACAGTTGTTGCAGACTAGTTGAGGTTTGGTATCTGTCACTGATTCAGAGTTTTCCTCCTTAATTTCGAGTTCCTCGACTTTTGTTTTGATAGAGAGGGCTCTCAGGTTAGCTGGTTTTTCGGTTTTGGGTGATTGAGAAACACGCGAACTGGTCACGGGCACAAGGGATTTGTTGGGGATTTTGGGAGTATCTTTGGGGATGTCCTCCGAGGTTTGGGGTTCCAACTTGATGCTGTGTAATGGTAATACGGAATCTGGGTTGTCATCATTGGGTAAATCTGTGGTGGTGGTGACTCTGTCCTGGGGTGTGAGAACGACCTCATCCACCTGGGGAGCCTCTTCAGTTGCCTGGTTGTCATTTTGTTGGGCCAGAGAAGGTCGGTCCTGCACATTAATCATAATCGTCTCCTCTGGTAAAGTTGGTCTTGGGAAACCATCATTGTTAAGCTGGTCAGGCTGTGTTGCATTAACCTGCAACACTTCAGATATTTTGCTGCCTTTTTTCATAACGTATGAGACGCTTTCTCCTTCAGGAGTAATGTACATGACCAGGTATTCTTCCTCCTCCTCAGCATCATCCAGACCCTTGGCGGTGTTGCAAGGTGAGCGCAGTGTTGAGGTAGAAGTCACAGCTGTTATTCTACTTTCTGGAGATGTAGAATGTTGAGGACTACATACACGGTTTCTTTGTTCCTCTTCCTCAGCGGTGAGGCAGGTGTGGGTCTTGACCTCAGCCACAGAATAAACCTTGTTGCAGGATGCACACGGGTGCTTTGTGCTCTTGCTGTGCTCCTGTTGATCGTGGGTCTTCAATTCTGACTTCACAGAAAACTGAGCACCACAGACACTGCAGTAGTAGCTTCTCCCAGTTGTGCTCCGTTGTCCACGGATGATGCGGGCAGCTTCCTGCAGCGTCATGGGCTTCTTGTGTTCTAACTTTGAGTGCTTCCTGAGGCCGGCTGCACTTCGGAAAGTAGAGGGACAGAGTGGACACACCCCGGCTCCAGGTTGGTGACTTGTCCGATGCTTATGCAACAGAGTGACCTGTGTAAATCGCTTTCCACAAGTGGCACACACATATGGCTTAATACCTGTATGTAGTCGATGGTGGCGAATTAGATTGGACGGGTGGCTGAACTGGCGGCCACATACGTGGCAAACATTACTTTTGATCCCTAAGTGAAGGTTCAAATGCATCTTGAGGTCGTGAGGGCGGTAGAATCCCTTAGTGCAAAAGGAGCAGGTGTAAGGGCGCTCCTTGTTATGCACCGAACGAATGTGATCCTCCAGCATCAAATTCTTGGGAAAACTGAGATGACAAGTGGGGCATTTGAAGGGTCGAGCATCTTGGTGTAACTCCGCCTTATGCAGTCTCAATTCCACCGCAGAGTCGCAGGTGTAAACGCATATATCGCAGTGCCATATGCCTTGGCCCCTGTGGACATGGAGGTGGCCATGGTACTGCCGCCCTGACTTGAACTGGGTGTGGCAGATGGGACAGGTAAGTTTACCTGGATCTCCACAGCGACGATGGCGCCGGGGTGGTAACAAGGAGTCTCTCGTAGCCAGTCTTGCTTCTATAGTACTCATCTCATCGTCGGGGAATTTTTCCTCCCGGCGGCCACCCTCACGACGACCTCTCCCAACCGGCACAATGTCACCCACGATGGTAGATGTGACCTCTGAGGAACAGGTTGGCAGGGATAAAGACGCCCGTCCACCATTCTCCTTTAACTTAAGCGGTGCCACAGAGAGCAGCAACACTTGTTCATCTTGCTGACCACCACTGTCACCTGCTGTCACTTCCCCTATGGTGGCACTGACGGCTGCCCTATCACCCAACTCACCGCCACTGCCACCATCACTGCCCACTAGCACCAGATCACCATAAGTATGTTCCAGATGCTGTGTGTACGCAGCAGGTAGTGTCTGCAGCGTCGAACCATCCGCAGAATTCAGCGTAATCGTATGTGCATCCCTTGATTCCATGTGTCCTGCCTCTGCCTCTCCCTCCCCTTGGATATATATATACGTCATGGCATCTGGCCCACCCTCCCCGACCACCACCAGTCGTGGTGCCCCTGTGGTAGTTCTGTGTGACCCATGGATACCCTCAACTTCATAGCTGGTCCCATCCTTGGGGTCCACAGCTATGTCTTGCTGAGTTGCCTGGTTTTGAGTTTCACTCTTGAAATGCTGCAACACAATGTTGCCCTGGGCATCGAGGGTGGCATAGGTGAGTGTTGCATCCGGGGGAAGGTGGTGGTGGGTAGCCTCGGTTGGTAAATGGTGAGTAGGCTCGGTAGGCACGTGGTGTGTTGCTTCAGTGGGTAAGTGGTGTGTTGATTCAGTGGGCAGGTGGTGTGTTGTTTGGGTAGGCATGTGTGTTGCTGCAGTGGATAAGTGGTGTGTTGCCTCAGTTGACAGATGGTGTTCTTGAGAGCCTCTTTGACTGACAGAATGGCTGCCACTCACTTGACACAGCAACAATGGGTCCACATCACTCTGCTCCAAGACCCTCCCTCCCTCCTGTCCACCTCCCTCCAGTGTACCAGTGGAGCCTGTCACATGACCGGTGGAGGTCAACAGGTTACCGTTGGGGACATGAGTGTGTGGTTGTAGAGACAGGAGGTGCTGGGTGGACATATTCTCCACTTCGTTCATCATTCATCTGTGAACAAATATGAATCAAAATGGAGTATTACTTACCTAAAATTGATGGATATTAATCACCCTCCACCCACATCCACACAGCATTATTGAACTGCACGAGTGGTGAGATGGTTGCTTGATTTCAACCCCGGTAAATGAAGGGTCATGAAGACTGGAGAAGGAGCAAGAAGACCGGAAATGGGGTACAGGCTGTGGGGGAGACAGAGGCTGCACTCTGAGGGGTCTAGAGGTGAGCATAGCGCCTAGTATATCACCTCAGGCTCACGTCAACCTCTGCAGCCAATACTCTAATGCAAATCTAAGAGTAGCCTTCAGGAATCTTAGAGACCCTTGTGGTTTAGCACTTCTTTTTGATTATAATAATAGTCATTCAGGGACCTTTATTCAACAAGACTTGTTGCAGAGCTAAGGGGAACGAGTTAAAATGAGAGGATAACAGAATTAGACTTAACAGTGCACAACAGAAGAACCAGGGGAGACATGATAACAATATACAAAATACTCAGGAGGAATTGACAGGGACAGACTGACACGAGAAACAAGTACTAGGGAGAGACAGCTGGAAGTTAAGACTGGTTGGTTGGTTAATGGGGTTTAAAGTCTATCTACTACACTAGGGTCATTAAACGTGCACATTTTAAAGGTCAAACATGATCATTAAACGTGCACGTTTTAAAAGTCAAACGTGGTCATTAAACGTGCACATTTTAAAGGTCAAACGTGATCATTAAACGTGCACATTTTAAAGGTCAAACGTGATCATTAAACGTGCACATTTTAAAGGTCAAACGAGGTCATTGAACGCACGTTTTAAAGGTCAAATGCGGTCATTAAACGTGCACGTTTTAAAGGTCAAACGTGGTCATTAAACGTGCACGTTTTAAAGGTCAAACGAGGTCATTAAACGTGCACGTTTTAAAGGTCAAACGAGGTCATTAAACGTGCACGTTTAAAGGTCAAACGAGGTCATTAAACGTGCACGTTTGAAGGTCAAACGAGGTCATTAAACGTGCACGTTTTAAAGGGCAAACGCGGTCATTAAACGTGCACGTTTTAAAGGTCAAACAAGGTCATTAAATGTGCACGTTTTATAGGTCAAACGAGGTCATTAAACGTGCACGTGTTAAAGGTCAAACGAGGTCATTAAACGTGCACGTTTTAAAGGTCAAACGTGGTCATTAAACGTGCACGTTTTAAAGGTCAAACGCGGTCATTAAACGTGCACGTTTTAAAGGTCAAACGAGGTCATCAAACGTGCACGTTTTAAAGGTCAAACGCGGTCATTAAACGTGCACGTTTTAAAGGTCAAACGAGGTCATTAAACGTGCACGTTTTAAAGGTCAAACGAGGTCATTAAACGTGCACGTTTTAAAGGTCAAACGAGGTCATTAAACGTGCACGTTTTAAAGGTCAAACGTGGTCATTAAACGTGCACGTTTTAAAGGTCAAACGAGGTCATTAAACGTGCACGTTTTAAAGGTCAAACGAGGTCATTAAATGTGCACGTTTTAAAGGTCAAACGAGGTCATTAAACGTGCACGTTTTAAAGGTCAAACGAGGTCATTAAACGTGCACGTTTTAAAGGTCAAACGAGGTCATTAAACGTGCACGTTTTAAAGGTCAAACGAGGTCATTAAACGTGCACGTTTTAAAGGTCAAACGATGTCATTAAACGTGCACGTTTTAAAGGTCAAACGAGGTCATTAAACGTGCACGTTTTAAAGGTCAAACGAGGTCATTAAATGTGTACGTTTTAAAGGTCAAACGTGGTCATTAAACGTGCACGTTTTAAAGGTCAAACGAGGTCATTAAACGTGCACGTTTTAAAGGTCAAACGAGGTCATTAAACGTGCACGTTTTAAAGGTCAAACGAGGTCATTAAATGTGCACGCTTTAAAGGTCAAACGAGGTCATTAAACGTGCACGTTTTAAAGGTCAAACGCGGTCATTAAACGTGCACGTTTTAAAGGTCAAACGTGGTCATTAAACGTGCACGTTTTAAAGGTCAAACGAGGTCATTAAACGTGCACGTTTTAAAGGTCAAACGAGGTCATTAAACGTGCACGTTTTAAAGGTCAAACGTGGTTATTAAACGTGCACGTTTTAAAGGTCAAACGAGGTCATTAAACGTGCACGTTTTAAAGGTCAAACGAGGTCATTAAACGTGCACGTTTTAAAGGTCAAACGAGGTCATTAAACGTGCACGTTTTAAAGGTCAAACGAGGTCATTAAACGTGCACGTTTTAAAGGTCAAACGAGGTCATTAAACGTGCACGTTTTAAAGGTCAAACGTGGTCATTAAACGTGCACGTTTTAAAGGTCAAACGAGGTCATTAAACGTGCACGTTTTAAAGGTCAAACGAGGTCATTAAACGTGCACGTTTTAAAGGTCAAACGTGGTCATTAAACGTGCACGTTTTAAAGGTCAAACGAGGTCATTAAACGTGCACGTTTTAAAGGTCAAACGAGGTCATTAAACGTGCACGTTTTAAAGGTCAAACGAGGTCATTAAACGTGCACGTTTTAAAGGTCAAACGAGGTCATTAAACGTGCACGTTTTAAAGGTCAAACGTGGTCATTAAACGTGCACGTTTTAAAAGTCAAACGAGGTCATTAAACGTGCACGTTTTAAAGGTCAAACGAGGTCATTAAACGTGCACGTTTTAAAGGTCAAACGAGGTCATTAAAGGCACAATTATAATCATGGGGGAGCGCTAAACCCGTACGGTTACACAGCGCCTGTGTAGGGGGGGACAGAATGTAACCATCGAACTGGAGCACAGATCCAATTCCCTGGATCAAGAGCCCTGACCATCACGGGGGGGGGGTTATAAAGGTGACACGAGGTGCTAGCCGTCATAAACCGGTCATAGACTCGTTCTTCATCATCTTCATTACTAACAACTGAGCCTCAGCAGCCCGAAGTGAGTCTACCCTCCATCCTGAGCCTCATCTTCCTCATAAATGCCTAATATTCCCTTAAATTAGCCGCTTGTGGTATGTCAGCCGCTTGTATCGGTCTCTGGGAGTGGCAGCCGTCGGTACAGTCTGGAAAATGAGGCTTAATACTCACTGGAGATGAGGTGACAATGGCGATATTGGGCTGGTTGTTGGGGTTGTTAAGGGTTGGTAAAACTCGGTCTTTATCGAGTTTTTCCCTTCAAGAATTTCGGAAATTAGTGAATAAATAAGTTAGTAAATTTATTCAGGTAGAAAGAAAGATAAATATAGTTACACATATTATCATACATATCAGTATATATGTGTAGATTTTCTAAGATAATCCCAAAAAGCCAGACTAGGTGACTTATTTCCACTGGGAAAGAATATATTGCTTTTATTTGAACTGGAACTGAAGAGGAAATTATTTTTTCTAAAAGCAGAAACAGGTATAATATATTTCCAATAAATTTAGGTGATATTTCCTTTGTTTAAGGTCCGGCAGAGCCAGAAACACACAAGCAACAAAAACAGGCTTTCAGGAAGATTTATGAGATAAGTTGGACATCAAGAATCTTCCTCATATTATGAATAAATGTTAGTAAATTATTATGCGGTATAAAAAAATGAAATTTAAATATATACAAAAACATATTACAGACACAATAAAGCATATGGTAATTTCGGAAACTAATCCTAAAACTCAGTTTTTACCACTGTTAAAGACATAATATGTATTATTTGACATAACTGAGAGAAATATTAATAAAAGAAAGTATTATATTCACAATAATTTCTGGTATTTAACAATTTTTTATACCCCTAGACCAACACAAGAAAAAAATTTAGAATCTTTGATTCGACATAATAAATTTCTCTTTTTTCTTAGGATTATCTGGTAAAATGATAATTACAAAACACAGCTAAAAAAAGCAACATAATAACAATTATTTATTACTATTTAAACATAAGTATAATCACATAACATCAAATTATACCCATTATAAAATTATTCACAAACTTATCAAGACTAATTTAAATTGTTTTTTTTAGATCAAGACTCAAAAAATCAAGAGAACACCATTTTTCGTTCAACCATAATTACCACATTTTTCCTTATTTAGGGATTCATACGGCTGATATTCAACCACCAAATAAATACTCAATGGTAATATTATTTCACCCATTAAATCAAACAACCAATTTAACACCATTATAACAATAAACAAGACCACCATTGAATCAAGACCAAAAAATCAGGGAACCACCATGTATTTGACCAATGGTCAATTCAATGACACATATGGTAATTCAAGGACCACACATCATATGGTAATATTTCAGTGACAAAAATGGTAACACTTAAATGACCCCAATTAATTCAAGGACATAATGGTAATTCAAGGACCCACAATGGTAATTCAAGGACCCACAATGGTAATTCAAGGACCCACAATGGTAATTTAAGGACCACAATGGTAATTCAAGGACAATAATGGTAATTCAAGGACCCACAATGGTAATTCAAGGACAATAATGGTAATTCAAGGACCCACAATGGTAATTCAAGGACAAAATGGTAATTCAAGGACCAAATGGTAATTCAAGGACCCACAATGGTAATTCAAGGACCCACAATGGTAATTTAAGGACCACAATGGTAATTCAAGGACCCACAATGGTAATTCAAGGACAATGGTAATTCAAGGACCACAATGGTAATTCAAGGACCCACAATGGTAATTCAAGGACCACAATGGTAATTCAAGGACCACAATGGTAATTCAAGGACAATGATAATTCAAGGACCACAATGGTAATTCAAGGACCACAATCGTAATTCAAGGACCCACAATGGTAATTCAAGGACAACAATGGTAATTCAAGGACCCACAATGGTAATTCAAGGACCACAATGGTAATTCAAGGACCACAATGGTAATTCAAGGACAACAATGGTAATTCAAGGACCACAATGGTAATTCAAGGACCCACAATGGTAATTCAAGGACCACAATGGTAATTCAAGGACAACAATTGTAATTCAAGGACCACAATGGTAATTCAAGGACAATGGTAATTCAAGGACCCACAATGGTAATTCAAGGACAACAATGTAATTCAAGGACCAATGTATCAGACAATGGTAATTCAAGGACCCACAATGGTAATTCAAGGACCCACAATGGTAATTCAAGGACCCACAATGGTAATTCAAGGACCCCAATGGTAATTCAAGGACCCCAAATGGTAATTCAAGGACCCCAAATGGTAATTCAAGGACCCCAAATGGTAATTCAAGGACCCCAATGGTAATTCAAGGACCCACAATGGTAATTCAAGGACCCACAATGGTAATTCAAGGACCACAATGGTAATTCAAGGACCCACAATGGTAATTCAAGGACCCCAATGGTAATTCAAGGACCCACAATGGTAATTCAAGGACCCACAATGGTAATTCAAGACCCCAAATGGTAATTCAAGGACCCCAAATGGTAATTCAAGGACCCCAAATGGTAATTCAAGGACCCCAATGGTAATTCAAGGACCCCCAATGGTAATTCAAGGACCCCAATGGTAATTCAAGGACCCCAATGGTAATTCAAGGACCCCAATGGTAATTCAAGGACCCACAATGGTAATTCAAGGACCCACAATGGTAATTCAAGGACCCACAATGGTAATTCAAGACCCCAATGGTAATTCAAGGACCCCAATGGTAATTCAAGGACCCCCAATGGTAATTCAAGAACCCCCAATGGTAATTCAAGGACCCCCAATGGTAATTCAAGACCCAATGGTAATTCAAGGACCCCCAATGGTAATTCAAGGACCCCCAATGGTAATTCAAGGACCCCAATGGTAATTCAAGGACCCCCAATGGTAATTCAAGGACCCCAATGGTAATTCAAGGACCCCCAATGGTAATTCAAGACCCCAATGGTAATTCAAGACCCCCAATGGTAATTCAAGAACCCCCAATGGTAATTCAAGGACCCCAATGGTAATTCAAGAACCCCCAATGGTAATTCAAGCCAATGGTACAACCCCCAATGGTAATTCAAGGACCCCCAATGGTAATTCAAGAACCCCCAATGGTAATTCAAGGACCCCCAATGGTAATTCAAGAACCCCCAATGGTAATTCAAGGACCCCCAATGGTAATTCAAGGACCCCCAATGGTAATTAAAGAAGAAACCCCCAATGGTAATTCAAGGACCCCCAATGGTAATTCAAGGACCCCAATGGTAATTCAAGGACCCCCAATGGTAATTCAAGGACCCCCAATGGTAATTCAAGGACCCCCAATGGTAATTCAAGAACCCCCAATGGTAATTCAAGGACCCCCAATGGTAATTCAAGAACCCCCAATGGTAATTCAAGGACCCCCAATGGTAATTCAAGGACCCACAATGGTAATTCAAGGACCCACAATGGTAATTCAAGAACCCCCAATGGTAATTCAAGGACCCCCAATGGTAATTCAAGAACCCCCAATGGTAATTCAAGAACCCCCAATGGTAATTCAAGGACCCCCAATGGTAATTCAAGGACCCCATTGGAAATAAATCAGTAATTTTACTGGGGAACTTGTTAATGGTCAAAGTCGGACCAAAACATCGTTATAAAGTTTCTTTCTCTTATCTGTTGATTAGTTATATATTGTTCCGCTGTACACCCCTTGTGGTTTAGTGCTTCTTTTTGATTATAGTAATAATGTGTGTTGTTCCAGTCTTGGAATTATGTCTTTTTATTTTTTAATTGGTTACCCTTAGGTTAATTACTCTTCATTGTGTACTGCAGCACTGTATGACCCTTGTGGGTTTAGAGCTTAGTTCTGATGTTTAATTGTTATTCACTTTGTACTAGAGGTGAGCCAGAGTATCGTTATTGGTGACACATCGGCTAATTTTGATGATAATCTGTATTGGCCTGAAATTGAATACAGGTACCATCCGACTTACGACCAAGCTTGGTTCCGACCAACCGGTCGTAAGTCAAAATGAACGTAAGTCGAACCTTACTACTGAATATCAACATCACACTTTTGTAATTATTTTTGTTTTATTCTGGTATTTCATGTTTTACTTTACTTTTTATGGTGTTAGTACTGTATTTTATACTGTAAGGTTTAGGATAAACACTGTCTACAACACAAACAGCTGTTTATTTCCCAGAAATTTGGCATAAAAAACACGGCCGTAGGTCGAGTGGTCGTATGTCGAGCAGGTCGTAAGTCAGATGGTAGGTGTATCAGCATCGGCAGAAGTTTTAGTACTGTGCATGTACTGTCTTGTTATTATATACTACAGTATGTAATGCCATTCGAAAAATATAAACTTGTTTACAAACACAGTGGTACCTCGAGATACGAACAGCTCAAAACTCGACCAATTATGTAAGTGCATTTATGTAAGTGCTTTTGTAAGTGTATTTTTGGGGGTCAGAAAAGGGCTAATCTAATTTACATTATTCCTTATGGGAACAAATTCGTTCGGTATCGGCACTCAAGCAGCCTTCTCGAACGAAAAAAGTTTGTATCCCAAGGTACCACTGTATTAAATAAAAATATAAATGAGATCCCTCATGTTAATGACGCCAGTGGAAATAAGTAACATTGACTTCATTGTGCTTTTCATATGGTTTGAGCACTCGGCAATAAAAATAAGTCAGTTTTTGTGACTTTTTGGGTTATCCTAGTGGGTAACTTACACATAAAGTATGTAATAAATGTACGTAAGTGTACTGTACCTGAATAAACTTACGCAAAACACATTCTCTAAAGCCCTTTCTTGTGAAAGTGCTGAGAACACTTTCTGTCGAGATTCCAGAATTTCACAAAGACTCTCCTAATTATGTTTAACACACTAAGCAGCAGTGAGATATAAATAACAGAATAACATATGACATTCACAGTTTTCAGATGGTGTGTGAGAGGAGTACAACGAGACACAATCATGAACTGCGTTAAATTCTTAGCGTCGAAGAATCCATGTCTGGAGGAAATTGCCAAGATTGTCCCCGCCTCATGCAAACACACACTCGTCGATGAATTGCGAGGAGGAATGCAGCCGCCAGACACGTACATCGTTGTGAGTACAGTGAACCCCCAGTTTACGATATTATTTCATTCCAGAAGTATGTTCAGGTGCCAGTACTGACCGAATTTGTTCCCATAAGGAATATTGTGAATTAGATTAGTCCATTTCAGACCCCCAAACATACACGTACAAATGCACTTGCATAAATACACTTACATAATTGGTCACATTGGGAGCTGATCGTAAACCGGGGGTCCACTGTACGCTAAATTCTCGATTTAATGGAATGATAGAAGGGGAGTGAGTTGATGGGAGTGACAGTTATGGTGGGTAAAAATGACTCAATTTAATGGAATGATAGAAGGGGAGTGAGTTGATGGGAGTGACAGTTATGGTGGGTAAAAATGACTCGATTTAATGGAATGATAGAAGGGGAGTGAGTTGATGGGAGTGACAGTTATGGTGGGTAAAAATGACTCGATTTAATGGAATGATAGAAGGGGAGTGAGTTGATGGGAGTGACAGTTATGGTGGGTAAAAATGACTCGATTTAATGGAATGATAGAAGGGGAGTGAGTTGATGGGAGTGACAGTTATGGTGGGTAAAAATGACTCGATTTAGTGGAATGATAGAAGGGGAGTGAGTTGATGGGAGTGACAGTTATGGTGGGTAAAAATGACTCGATTTAATGGAATGATAGAAGGGGAGTGAGTTGATGGGAGTGACAGTTATGGTGGGTAAAAATGACTCGATTTAATGTAATGATAGAAGGGGAGTGAGTTGATGGGAGTGACAGTTATGGTGGGTAAAAATGACTCGATTTAATGGAATGATAGAAGGGGAGTGAGTTGATGGGAGTGACAGTTATGGTGGGTAAAAATGACTCGATTTAATGGAATGATAGAAGGGGAGTGAGTTGATGGGAGTGACAGTTATGGTGGGTAAGAATGACTCGATTTAATGGAATGATAGAAGGGGAGTGAGTTGATGGGAGTGACAGTTATGGTGGGTAAGAATGACTCGATTTAATGGAATGATAGAAGGGGAGTGAGTTGATGGGAGTGACAGTTATGGTGGGTAAGAATGACTCGATTTAATGGAATGATAGAAGGGGAGTGAGTTGATGGGAGTGACAGTTATGGTGGGTAAGAATGACTCGATTTAATGGAATGATAGAAGGGGAGTGAGTTGATGGGAGTGACAGTTATGGTGGGTAAAAATGACTCGATTTAATGGAATGATAGAAGGGGAGTGGAGTTGATGGGAGTGACAGTTATGGTGGGTAGAATGGACTCGATTTATGGAATGGATAGAAGGGGAGTGAGTTGATGGGAGTGACAGTTATGGTGGGTAAGAAATGACTCGATTTAATGGAATGATAAAAGGGGAGTGAGTTGATGGAGAGTGACAGTTATGGTGGGTAAAAATGACTCGATTTAATGGAATGATAGAAGGGGAGTGAGTTGATGGGAATGACAGTTATGGTGGGTAAAAATGACTCGATTTAATGGAATGATAGAAGGGGAGTGAGTTGATGGGAGTGACAGTTATGGTGGGTAAAAATGACTCGATTTAATGGAATGATAGAAGGGGAGTGAGTTGATGGGAATGACAGTTATGGTGGGTAAAAATGACTCGATTTAATGGAATGATAGAAGGGGAGTGAGTTGATGGGAGTGACAGTTATGGTGGGTAAAAATGACTCGATTTAATGGAATGATAGAAGGGGAGTGAGTTGATGGGAGTGACAGTTATGGTGGGTAAAAATGACTCGATTTAATGGAATGATAGAAGGGGAGTGAGTTGATGGGAGTGACAGTTATGGTGGGTAAAAATGACTCGATTTAATGGAATGATAGAAGGGGAGTGAGTTGATGGGAAGTGACAGTTATGGTGGGTAAGAATGACTCGATTTAATGGAATGATAGAAGGGGAGTGAGTTGATGGGAATGACAGTTATGGTGGGTAAGAATGAGATTGTTCTAGCTACCTATGTATTAGACTGAAGATGCCAACTCGAAAATATTTCAGCAATAAAGATACCTAACCATTGCACACGTGTCTTAATCATCAAAAAAAATTCTGTAGCCAAAGGATCTTGACAGTCGTTTCTGAATCAACATGTGGGATTTTGTATTGTATTTCCAAAATTCCTTTAATGGATTATTGTTGATTTCTGGGCACTTTTATTCTGTATGATTATAATAATGTGGATACTTTTCCCTACAGTTATTTATTAAACTACTTTTTTTTTTAGAGATAGATGAGTTGAACATACTCTTCTAAATATCCCTTTAATTAGGTGCTTTGACAGTCTTCTAAATATCCCTTTAATTAGGTGCTTTGATATTCTTTAAATATCCCTTTAATTAGGTGCTTTGATACTCTTCTAAATATCCCTTTATTTTTGTGCATTAATGCTCCTCTAAATATCCCTTTAATTAGGTGCTTTGATACTCTTCTAAATATCCCTTTAATTAGGTGCTTTGATACTCTTCTAAATATCTCTTTAATTAGGTGCTTTGACAGTCTTCTAAATATCCCTTTAATTAGGTTCATTGATACTCTTCTAAATATCCCTTTAATTAGGTGCTTTGACAGTCTTCTAAATATCCCTTTAATTAGGTGCTTTGATACTCTTTAATATCCCTTTAATTAGGTGCTTTGATACTCTTTAAATATCCCTTTAATTAGGTGCACTGATGCTGTCAAAGGTCTCTTGTTCCAAGGAAGTAAAGTTATTAAACCTTCAACTGTCCAAACGTAGATATACGTCCATGTGCATAGTGCTGAGGACATAGATATACGTCCGATTTTATATGCTTTCTTATATTAAAAAACGTAGATCTACGATCTGAGCGCTATGCACGTGGACGTAGATCTACGTTTGGACAGTTTAAGGGTTAAGGTAGAGGTACACATCAGCACAATTATCATACATAATAATGTGTGTAAATTACCCACGAAGATAACATAAAAAGAGTCCCAGGGACTTATTTCTGTTGTGGTCCTTGTAATATCTTATTATTTAAAGTCTGGCTGTAAGATACTGTGGAAATCAGTCATGATTATAGCCTTGAAAGTTAAAACAGTATCTCAAATTCCCTGGATCAAGAGGCCTTCAGCAGCATTGCCTGTCTGTTGCTGTCTAGCATCATTTTGTTTGCACTGTTGCTGTCTGTGAAGAGCTGTCTAGTAGTATTTTTGCTTTATCACTGTCTGTGAGTAGCTTCTTTCTTCTTTCAACGTACCAGCCGTATCCCACTGAGGCGGGGAGGCCCAAAAGGACAAACAAAAGTTTCTCCTTTTAAATTTAGTAATATATACAGGAGAAGGGGTTACTAGCCCCTTGCTCCCGGCATTTTAGTCGCCTCTTACGACACGCATGGCTTACGTGGGAAGAATTCTGTTCCACTTCCCCATGGAACTGTGAGTAGCTATCTAATATTATTTTGTTAGTCCCACAGACAACAGTAGAGCAAATAGAATAATACTATATAGCTCTCCACAACCCAAGGTAATAGGTTGGTAGACAGCAACTGCCCAGGGAGGTACTACCATCCTGTGGTAGTAGATTGGTAGACAGCAACTGCCCAGGGAGGTACTACCATCCTGTGGTAGTAGGTTGGTAGACAGCAACTGCCCAGGGAGGTACTACCATCCTGTGGTGGTAGGTTGGTAGACAGCAACTGCCCAGGGAGGTACTACCATCCTGTGGTAGTAGGTTGGTAGACAGCAACTGCCCAGGGAGGTACTACCATCCTGTGGTGGTAGGTTGGTAGACAGCAACTGCCCAAGGAGGTACTACCATCCTGTGGTAGTAGGTTGGTAGACAGCAACTGCCCAGGGAGGTACTACCATCCTGTGGTGGTAGGTTGGTAGACAGCAACTGCCCAAGGAGGTACTACCATCCTGTGGTAGTAGGTTGGTAGACAGCAACTGCCCACAGAGGTACTACCATCCTGTGGTAGTAGGTTGGTAGACAGCAACTGCCCGAGGAGGTACTACCATCCTGTGGTAGTAGGTTGGTAGACAGCAACTGCCCACAGAGGTACTACCATCCTGTGGTGGTAGGTTGGTAGACAGCAACTGCCCAAGGAGGTACTACCATCCTGTGGTGGTAGGTTGGTAGACAGCAACTGCCCACGGAGGTACTACCATCCTGTGGTAGTAGGTTGGTAGACAGCAACTGCCCACGGAGGTACTACCATCCTGTGGTGGTAGGTTGGTAGACAGCAACTGCCCACAGAGGTACTACCATCCTGTGATAGTAGGTTGGTAGACAGCAACTGCCCACAGAGGTACTACCATCCTGTGGTAGTAGGTTGGTAGACAGCAACTGCCCACAGAGGTACTACCAACCTGTGGTGGTAGGTTGGTAGACAGCAACTGCCCATGGAGGTACTACCATCCTGTGGTGGTAGGTTGGTAGACAGCAACTGCCCACGGAGGTACTACCATCCTGTGGTGGTAGGTTGGTAGACAGCAACTGCCCATGGAGGTACTACCATCCTGTGGTAGTAGGTTGGTAGACAGCAACTCCCCACGGAGGTACTACCATCCTGTGGTGGTAGGTTGGTAGACAGCAACTGCCCACGGAGGTACTACCATCCTGTGGTAGTAGGTTGGTAGACAGCAACCACCCAGGGAGGTACTACCATCCTGTGGTAGTAGGTTGGTAGACAGCAACTGCCCACGGAGGTACTACCATCCTGTGGTGGTAGGTTGGTAGACAGCAACTGCCCACGGAGGTACTACCATCCTGTGGTAGTAGGTTGGTAGACAACAACTGCCCAGGGAGGTACTACCATCCTGTGGTGGTAGGTTGGTAGACAGCAACTGCCCACGGAGGTACTACCATCCTGTGGTAGTAGGTTGGTAGACAGCAACCACCCAGGGAGGTACTACCATCCTGTGGTAGTAGGTTGGTTGACAGCAACCACCCAGGGAGGTACTACCATCCTGTGGTAGTAGGTTGGTAGACAGCAACTGCCCACGGAGGTACTACCATCCTGTGGTAGTAGGTTGGTAGACAACAACTGCCCAGGGAGGTACTACCATCCTGTGGTGGTAGGTTGGTAGACAGCAACTGCCCACGGAGGTACTACCATCCTGTGGTAGGTTGGTAGACAGCAACTGCCCACGGAGGTACTACCATCCTGTGGAAGTAGGTTGGTAGACAGCAGCCACCCAGGGAGATACTACTATCCTGCCAGTGAGTGTAAAATGTAAACCTGTAATTGTTTTACATGATGGTAGGATTGCTGGTGTCTTTTTTCTGTCTCATGAACATGCAAGATTTCAGGTACATCTTGCTGCTTCTACTTACACTTAGGTCACACTACACATACATGTACAAGCATATATATACACACCCCTCTGGGTTTTCTTCTATTTTCTTTCTAGTTCTTGTTCTTGTTTATTTCCTCTTATCTCCATGGGGAAGTGGAACAAAATTCTTCCTCCGTAAACCATGCATGATGTAAGAGGCGACTAAAATGCCGGGAGCAAGAGGCTAGTAACCCCTTCTCCTGTCTATATTACTCCTGTGATGCAATAAAATCACAGTAAACAGGTAATATCGCAACATGCAGAACAACTACATTGTGAAAGAATAGCGAAATTGCAAGCGTTTTCGTGACTTCTTACATTATCAAAGAACTATGTAGTTCCTTGATAATGTGAGAAGTCATGAAAGTGCTTGGAATTTCGCTGTTCTTTCACAGTGGTTCTGCATATTACTCCTGTATATATTACTTTTGTTTTTCTTTTTGGGCCACCCTGCTTCAGTGGGATACAGCCGTTGCATTGAAAGAAGCAGCAGCTCTTCCCAAACAGTAATAAAGCACTCTTAGTTTTATTTTGTCATCCTTTCTTCCTCCCAGTAATTTATATCTGTGACAACACGCAAGGATTTTTGAACTGAAAAACAAGGTCTATATACAAATGCTTTGTTACAGGGGATTGTGGAGGATGCTTATCCAAGAATAGTGTGGGAGGGTAAGGTAAAGAAGCGGATGACTCTACGAGAAGGTGAGAAGAATTGCTCTCTTGCCACCAACTCTGCTTTGTATTTTGGGATTTTATTCACACATACACAAGAAAAATTATAATGATGTTGGTAAAATTAGTGACTATGTTAAGTAAAGGACACAAGTGTAACTAATGTACAACTAAGCTCTGATGATGCTCTTGTTTCATTTCAGTGCTGCTGGACGGATCGAAGGGGCTTCAGTTGGATGTGTTTGGATATGGCACGCATGCCGACACAATTCACGACTACATTCAAGAAGGCAAAAGCAACGGAACCATTTGGATGGCATTTGCCAAGACAAGATTGGTGAAGTACCGGGGTCCTGTTCAAAATGGCTGGTGTGAGCTGAGTTTGAGGGCAGGGAACAGAGTTGCGGCTGATGCTGAGGTCTGGATCGTTGCGAAGCCTGAGACTGTTTCACTAAATGCAGCTCTACCATCATCCTCAAAATCAAAGACACAGACTGCTGCTTCCTGTCATGCTGGGCCGAGCGGCCGGAATAAGCGAAAACAACCTGAGCATTTCACCGTAGTTTGCCACTGCAACTCTAGCAGAAAAGTGACTGTATGTGCCGTTGTGAAGGAAATTCTGAAAACCCCAGAGCCAACTAAATTTGGGACGTTCCACCTGATGATGGCCGTCTTTGACCCATCGTGCTGTGTAGACATGCCGATACGGGACGATCTTCCCATACATGTATTTTTCAATGACACCAGCATTCGTGATCTTCCTGGAGGTGTCTCGATCGGTGATATCTTGCTGTTAAGAAACATATCCGTAAGTTGTAGCAAGAAGCTAAGGATAATGGGGTATAGTGATAGTGATCGAGAACAGAATAGCGTTGTGGGATATAGTGATAGAGTACAGGTGCTCCTCGACTTGCAATGGCGTTACATTCCAACAAACCCATTGTAAGTTGATGGTGGATGCTGATGATGGATGCTAACGATAATGGATGATGATGATGGATGCTTACGATAATGGATGATGATGATGGCTGCTGCTGGTGGTGGTGGTTGTAGTTTTATAATACTGAACTTAAATGTAAATAACATTATTAAGGAGAGGGGTGGGATTAAATTATGGGGAATCAAATACAAAATGGGAGTTGACACAGTTACTTTTTACTGATGATACTGTACTTATGGGAGATTCTAAAGAAAAATTGCAAAGGCTAGTGGATGAGTTTGGGAGGACATGTAAGGGTAGAAAGTTGAAAGGAATATAGATAAGAGTAAGGTGATGACGGTATCAAACAATTTAGATAAAGAAAAATTGGATATCACATTGGAGGGAGGGAGTAAGGAAGAAGTGAATGTTTTCAGATATTTGGGAGTTGACTTGTCAGCAGATGGGTTTATGAAGGATGAGGTTAACCATAGAATTGATGAAGGAAAAAAGGTGAGTGGTGCGTTGAGGTATTTATGGAGACAAAAAAACGTTATCCATGGAGGCAAAGAAGGGAATGTATGAGAGTACAGTGGACCCCCGCATAGCGACTTTAATCCGTGCAAGAGGGCTGGTTGTTATGCGAAATGTTCGGTATGCGAATTAATTTTCCCCATAAGAAATAATGGAAATCAAATTAATCCGTGCAAGACACCCAAAAGTATGAAAAAAAAAATTTTTTACCACATGAAATGTTAATTTTAATACACACAAACTGAAAAAGGCATGCACACTTACATGACACTTACTTTTATTGAAGATCTGGTGATGATTGATGGGATGGGAGGAGGGGAGAGAGAGTGTTAGTGTTTAGAAGGGGAATCCCCTTCCATTAAGACTTGAGGTGTTGAGTCCTTTTCTGGGGTTACTTCCCTTCTTTTAATGCCACTAGGACCAGCTTCAGAGTCACTGGACTTCTGTCGCACAACATATCTGTCCATAGTGGCCTGTACCTCTCGTTCCTTTATGACTTCCCTAAATTGTTTCACAACATTGTCAGTGTACAGGTTGCCAACACGGCTTGCAATAGCTGTGTGAGGGTGATTTTCATCCATGAAGGTTTGCACTTCAAGCCACTTTGCACAGATTTCCTTAATCTTTGTAGTAGGCAACTTCTTCAATTTCTCTCTCCCCTCCTCTGAACCAGTTTCCTCAGGTCTGGCCTCTTGCTGTTGAAGTTGATCTATCAGCTCATCAGTGGTTAGTTCTTCATTGTCCTCCTCCACCAACTCTTCCACATCATCCCCACTAACCTCCAACCCCAAGGACTTTCCCAATGGCATAATCCTCTCAGGGTTAGCCTCAAACCCTTCAAAATCCCTTTTGTCTACACATTCTGGCCACAGTTTCTTCCAAGCAGAGTTCAAGGTCTTCTTAGTCACTCCCTCCCAAGCCTTACCTATAAGGTTTACACAACTGAGGATATTAAAGTGCTCTCTCCAAAACTCTCTTAGAGTCAGTTGAGTTTCTGAGGTCACTACAAAGCACCTTTCAAACAGAGCTTTTGTGTACAGTTTTTTGAAGTTTGCAATAACCTGCTGGTCCATGGGCTGCAGGAGAGGAGTGGTATTAGAGGCAAAAACTTCACCTTAATGAATTTCATGTCCCCATAAAGTCGCTCTGCCACGTCTGTAGGATGACCAGGGGCATTGTCTAACACCAGGAGGCACTTAAGTTCTAATTTCTTTTCAGTTGAGTAATCTTTCACATTGGGGGCAAATGCATGGTGTAACCAGTCATAGAAAAAGTCCCTAGTGACCCATGCCTTACTGTTTGCCCTCCACAGCACACACAAATTCTCCTTGAGGACATTCTTTTGCCTGAACGGTCTGGGAGTTTCAGAGTGATACACTAATAAAGGCTTAACTTTGCAATCACCACTAGCATTGGAACACATCAACAAAGTAAGCCTGTCTTTCATAGGCTCATGTCCTGGGAGTGCCTTTTCCTCCTGAGTAATGTAGGTCCTGCTTGGCATTTTCTTCCAAAACAGGCCTGTTTCATCACAATTAAACACTTGTTCAGGTTTCAGTCCTTCACTGTCTATGTACTTCTTGAATTCCTGCACATATTTTTCAGCTGCTTTGTGGTCCGAACTGGCAGCCTCACCATGCCTTATCACACTATGTATGCCACTACGCTTCTTAAATCTCTCAAACCAACCTTTCCTGGCCTTAAATTCACTCACATCATCACTAGTTGCAGGCATTTTTTTAATTAAATCCTCATGCAACTTCCTACCCTTTTCGCTTATGATCGCTTGAGAGACGCTATCTCCTGCTAGCTGTTTTTCATTTATCCACACCAATAAGAGTCTCTCAACATCTTCCATCACTTGCGATCTCTGTTTCGAAAACACAGTTAAACCTTTGGCAAGAACAGCTTCCTTGATTGCCTTTCTGTTGCCCACAATAGTAGAGATAGTTGATTTGGGTTTCTTGTACAACCTGACCAGGTCGGTGACACGCACTCCACTCTCATACTTATCAATGATCTCTTTCTTCATCTCTATAGGAATTCTCACCCTTATTCCTGTAGGGTTGGCACTAGAAGCTTTCTTGGGGCCCATGGTCACTTATTTTCCAGATAAAGCACCGAAAACACTGTAATAATACGAAATATTCCGATTGTATGCTTGGATGTTACCCCGGAGGCTGGCTGGTAAACAATGCCACCGGCGGAACATGTGAGGCTGGCTGAGGGCGCACATTGGACGCGTCTTGGACGAAGAGCGGTGAGCGGATTTTTGGGAGGTATGCGAGGCAAAATTTTTGCGATAAAAGCGAGCGGTATGCGGATTGTACAGTATGCGATGCGTACGGTATGCGGGGGTCCACTGTATAGTGGTACCAACACTTATATGTGTGTGAAGCTTGGGTTGTAAATACTGCGGCAAGGAGGCAGTTGGAGGCAGTGGAGATGTTGTGTTTAAGGGCAATGTGTGGTGTAAATATTATGCAGAGAATTTGTAGTGTGAAAATTAGGAGGTGTGGAGTTACTAAAAGTATTAGTCAGAGGGCTGAAGAGGGGTTGTTGAGGTGATTTGGTCATTTAGAGAGAATCAAACAAAGTAGAAAGACTTGGAGAGTGTATAAATCTGTAGGGAAAGAAAGGCAGGGTAGGGGTCATCCCTGAAAAGGAGGTTTTGTGGGTGAGGGGCTTGGACTTAGAGCAAGTGCACGTGAGTGTGTTAGGAGTGAATGGAGATGAATGGTTTTTGGGACCTGAACAGCTGTTGGAGTGTGAGCAGGGTAATATTTTGTGAAGGGATACAGGGAAACCAGTTAGCCGGACTCGAGTCCTGGAAATGGGAAGTACAATGCCTGCACTTTAAAGGAGGGGTTTGGAATATTGGCAATTTGGAGTGACATCTAAGCTGTCGTATCTGAGCGCCTCTGTAAAGACTGATTATGTATGAGTGATAAGGAAAGTGTTGAATGATGATGAAATTTTTTCTTTTTTTCTTTTTGGGTAACCGTGCCTCGGTGGGAAATGGCCGACGTTATTTTATTGTACGTGTTGTGACATTATTTTCATCAGTTTGGTATACCTTAGTGTATATGCTGAGATTTTACCACAGATAGTGAAGCTGATAGACTTCAAACCTTATAAATTAACCATTGATAGGCTTGAAACTTTGTAAATTAACCTCTTTAGGCTTTAAACCTTCTAAATTAACCCATTAATGTTCCATCATGGAAATAAAGGGATTTGTATGTGTTTCTATTTTGTTATAGACTGGACCTTTTTAAGACCTTTTTACCCGTGACTTTTCCTGTGACTTTCATAGTTTTGCTGGTGTGATTTTTTGAAAGTGAGTCCAAGCAGTCATTCTTGGTGCTTACAAGCGATTGTAAGCCACCCTACACTGCTTGGCATTTGTCAAGTCTAGAACTACACTGCTTGACATCTGTCAAGTCTAGAACTACACTGCTTGGCATTTGTCAAGTCTAGAACTACAGTGGACCCCCGCATACCGTTGACATCACATAACGTTAAATCCGCATAGCGATACATTTTATCACTAAAATTTTGCCTAACATAGCGCTAAAAAACTCGCTCAGCGCTATTCGTCCGAGATGCGTCTATGTGCGGCCTGAGCCAGCCTCACATGTTCCGCCTGTGGCATTGTTTACAAGCCAGCCTCCGCTGTAACATCCAAGCATACAATCGGAACATTTCATATTATTACAGCATTTTTGGTGATTTTATCTGCAAAATAAGTGACCATGGGCCCCAAGAAAGCTTCTAGTGCCAACCCTGTGGTAAAAAGGGTGAGAAATATTATCGAAATACTGTGGTACCATGGTCAACTGCTGATGCTGCTGCTGTAGCACTGTCTGCTGCTGTAGCACCGTCAGCTGCTGCTGCTGCTGCTGTACCACTGTCAGCTGCTGCTGATGCTGTAGTACCATCTGCTGCTGCTGTAGCACCTTCTGCTGCTGCTGTAGCACTGTCAGCTGCTGCTGTAGCACTGTCAGCTGCTGCTGCTGTAGCACTGTCAGCTGCTGCTGCTGCTGCTGTAGCACTGTCAGCTGCTGCTGCTGCTGCTGTAGCACTGTCAGCTGCTGCTGCTGCTGCTGTAGCACTGTCAGCTGCTGCTGCTGCTGCTGTAGCACTGTCAGCTGCTGCTGCTGCTGCTGCTGCTGTAGCACTGTCAGCTGCTGCTGCTGCTGCTGTAGCACTGTCAGCTGCTGCTGCTGCTGCTGTAGCACTGTCAGCTGCTGCTGCTGCTGCTGCTGCTGTAGCACCATCAGCTGCTGCTGCTGCTGCTGTAGTACCGTCTGCTGCTGCTGTAGCACCGTCTGCTGCTGCTGTAGCACTGTCAGCTGCTGCTGCTGCTGTAGCACCGTTGTTGGTGTGGCTTATTGAGAATACCAAGAAACAATTAACCCCAGAGGGTTAGCCACCCAGGATAACCCAAAAAAGTCAGTGTCATCGAAGACTGTCTAACTTATTTCCATTGGGGTCCTTAATCTTGTCTCCCAGGATGCAACCCACACCAGTCGACTAACACGCAGGTGAACAGGGGAAAACGCCTGGAACTAGTGCTCATATTGGTGAATTTAAAGCCAGCAAAGGTTGGTTTGAGAGATTTAAGAATTGTAGTGGCATACACAGTGTGATAAGGCTTGTTCTGGAAGAAAATGCCAAACAGGACCTACAGTACTCAGGAGGAAAAGGCACTCCCAGGACACAGTGTCTCATCAGTCATTGCTGCATCTTCAATAAAGGTAAGTGTCATTTATTCTTCATTTAGTAGAGTAGTACATGCACAATATATACTGTGCATGTACTACTCTACTATTGTGCATGTATCCTTCTCTTTGTGTGTAGGAAAATGTATATTTCATGTGGTAAAATTTTTTTTTTCATACTTTTGGGTGTCTTGCACGGATTAATTTGATTTCCATTGTTTCTTATGGGGAAAATTCATTTGCATAACGATAATTTCGCATAACAATGAGCTCTCAGGAACGGATTAATATCGTTATGCGGGGGTCCACTGTACACTGTTTGACATCCGTCAAGTGTAGAACTACACTGCTTGACTCACGAAATCGTAATGACACGATTGCAAACAAACCATACCATGGGCGGGATTTGAACCCGCGGTCAGAGTTTTGAGACTCTCTGACCGCGGGTTCAAATCCCGCCCATGGTATGGTTTACACTGCTTGACAACCGCCAAGTGTAGAACTACACTGCTTGACATCTGTCAAGTCTAGAATGAGTTAAGAATCTTTGATTGGCTCACTGTGGAAGACAAAAACTTCAACTAATTGGCTAGATGCACCACAATTTATTTAATATTCCATGATAGGCCTATATAAATTTTTCTGGCTGTAAGAATGACAAAGCAGTTAACTGTCGTACTTGTGGTTGCAGCTGGAGCCGTACAAAGACAAGATCCACGGGACGGTCTACGACCCCAAGCAGATTATTAAGTTTTCATCTGACCCGGAAGTCCCCATCGAGGCAATCACCCTTAAGCCCCGTTATGAAATACCTGGTGAGTGGTCAGTGGATTGGGGATCATGGGAACCATAAAGAGGATTTCATCATATAAAAAAAATGTGGCAAAATAGGTACTCCTCACTTAACGACCGAGTTCCATTCCTAAGAGTCGGTTAACCCTTAAACTGTCCAAACATAGATCTACGCTTTTACCGCTAGAGCTCTGAACGTAGAGCTACGTTTTTTTTAACATTTGAAAGCACGTAAAATAAAACGCAAATCTACGTTTGGAGCACTAACAGTTGAGGGGTTAAGTGAGGAGTCTCCCCTTATTGATATTTCCAGCACACTGTACTGGTAATGGGTTTGTGTCAGGCATCTTTGATATTGTTTTAATGTCGCCTTTGCACCATTTATAACTTTTTTAGTATATTGAAAATAGAACTAGGCATTAAAACACAATAAAAAAAAGTAAAATACACACACAGTACAGTGGTCGGAGAGGTGGTCGTAAGTCTGAGTGGTCGTTAAACAGGCAGGTCCGCTTGACGATCAGCTCCCAATGCGACCAATTATGTCGGAGAGGTGGTCGTAAGTCTGAGTGGTCATTAAACAGGCAGGTCCGCTTGACGATCAGCTCCCAATGCAACCAATTATGTCGGAGAGGTGGTCGTAAGTCTGAGTGGTCATTAAACAGGCAGGTCCGCTTGACGATCAGCTCCCAATGCGACCAATTATGTAAGCGTATTTATGTAAGTGCATTTGTACGTGTATGTTTGGGGGTCTGAAATGGACTAATCTAATTCACAATATTGCTTATGGGAACAAATTCGGTTAGTACTGGCACCTGAACATACTTCTGGAATGAAATAATATCGTAAACCGGGGGTCCACTGTATTACCTGTATGCTAAACAACCCTCTTAACCACAAACATGTCAAAAACTCTCTTACTTTCATTACCTGTAATCATAATCCAGTCATAAGTAATATAATTTGTAAATTTATTGTTTATGAGCCTATACAGTGGACCCCCGGATAACGATATTTTTTCACTCCAGAAGTATGTTCAGGTGCCAGTACTGACCGAATTTGTTCCCATAAGGAATATTGTGAAGTAGATTAGTCCATTTCAGACCCCCAAACATACACGTACAAACGCACTTACATAAATACACTTACATAACTGGTCGCATTGGGAGGTGATCGTTAAGCGGGGGTCCACTGTACATGTATATTCGTAAGTTTGGCCAAAATGCTTTGCATAACTATGGACTTTCTATATGTACACCTAAATGTGACTCGTCCCTGTACAAATGTGTCATTCTAAAATAAATTATTATTATTATTATATTATTACGTTAATAGATTTTGTTGGTGGTGGTAATGGTGGGCTGGCAACCCTGCATTTGTATGTCCGCTAACACAGTATTCCGGTTAAACCACAGTAATCAAATTATTCTTTCTTTCAACGCACCGGCCTTATCCCACCGAGGTGGGGTGGCCCAAAAGGAAAAAGAAAAGTTTCTCCTTTTAAATTTAATAATATATACAGGAGAAGGGGTTACTAGCCCCTTGCTCCTGGCATTTTAGTCGCCTCTTACGACACACATGGCTTACGGAGGAAGAATTCTGTTCCACTTCCCCATGGAGAAGCAATAATTTTTTTTTTTTTTAACAAGTCAGCTGTCTCCCACCGAGGCAGGGTGACCCACCGAGGCAGGGTGACCCACCGAGGCAGGGTGATCCAAAAAGAAAGAAAATCCCCCCAAAAAAAATACTTTTTTGCAGAGGTGCTCAGAACACAACAGTTTAGAAGCACATACGTATAAAGAAACACAACATATCCCTCCAAACTGCCAATATCCCGAAACCCCTCCTTTAGAGTGCAGGCATTGTACTTCCCATTTCCAGGACTCAAGTCCGGCTATATAAAAATAACCGGTTTCCCTGAATCCCTTCACTAAATATTACCCTGCTCACACTCCAACAGATCATCAGGTCCCAAATACCTTTTGTCTCCATTCACTCCTATCGAACACTCTCACGCATGCCTGCTGGAAGTCCAAGCCCCTCGCCCACAAAACCTCCCTTACCCCTTCCTTCCAAGCCTCAGGCTGTGTGGGCCAGCAGGCTGCCAACAGCAACAGCCTGTAGAGAAATGGTTCACAGAGCCGACAAGTTTATAAATTAACACGTGTACAACTTAGTAGGTATCTTTATTGAGGAAATGTTTCATCAGACAGTGGCTTCATCAGTCCTATACCAAGGAGACTGGTGAAAATCAAAAGGAGTTAGAGGTAATCAGTCCCTCAGCCTGGAGTCTATGTAATCAGTCCATCAATCTTGAAAAGAATGCAGCATATGCTGTATGATAAAGTCACTGTGTGAAATATTTCCTCAATAAAGATAACCAAATGTTATACATGTGTCTAATTTATTAACAGCCTGGTTGAAGCAGCAGTCTATCCTCACAGCCTGGAACAAGGCTGCGAGGATACACATCGGTCATTTCCCACCAAGGTACGGTGACCCAACGAAGAAGAAAAACTTTAATAATCACTCACTCTATCACTGTCTTGCCTTAGGCGTACCAATAAGACAGTTCAAAAACTGTAGTACCAATAAGACAGTTCAAAAACTGTAGTACCAATAAGACAGTTCAAAAACTGTAGTACAGTGGACCCCCGGTTAACGATTTTAATCCGTGCAAGAGGGCTCATCGTTATGCGAAATAATCGTTATGCGAATGAATTTTCCCCATAAGAAATAATGGAAATAAAATTAATCCGTGCAAGACGCCCAAAAGTATGAAAAAAATTTTTTTTTACCACATGAAATGTTAATTTTAATACACACAAACTGAAAAAGGCATGCACAATTACATGACACTTACTTTTATTGAAGATCTGGTGATGATTGATGGGATGGGAGGAGGGGAGAGCATTATCTTCTTACTGTTTAGAAGGGGAATCCCCTTCCATTAGGACTTGAGTAGCAAGTCCTTTTCTGGGGTTACTTCCCTTCTTCTTTTAATGCCACTAGGACCAGCTTGAGAGTCACTGGACCTCTGTCGCACAACAAATCTGTCCATAGAGCTCTGTACCTCCCGTTCCTTCAAGACTTTCCTAAAATGGGCCATAACATTGTCATTGAAATAGTCACAAGCACGGCTTGCAACAGCTGTGTCAGGGTGATTTTCATCTATAAAGGTTTGCAGTTCAACCCACTCTGCACACATTTCCTTAATCTTTGAAGTAGGCACAATGGATTCCACAACTGGCATAGGCTTCTCAGGGTTAGCCCAAACCCTTCAAAATCTTTCTTAATTTCCATACTAATTCTCACCCTTTTTACCACAGGGTTGGCACTAGAAGCTTTCTTGGGGCCCATGGTCACTTATTTTCCAGAAACAGCACCGAAAATACTGTAATAATACGAAATATTCCGAGTGTATGCTTGGATGTTACCGCGGAGGCTGGCTGGTAAACAATGGGACGGAGCGGCACATGTGAGGCTGGCTGAGGGCACATTGGACGCGTCTCGGACGAAAATCGGTATGCGGGTTTTTAATCGGTATGCGCGGCAAAAATTTTGCGATAAAAGTAATCGTTATGCGGAAAAATCGCTATGCGATGCCATCGTTATGCGGGGGTCCACTGTACCAGCAAACCTCTGGCAAGACAGTGATGGAGTGAGTGATGGTGAAAGTTTTTCTTCTTATTATGATTCACTTAATTTCCTTCTTGACGACTATGTTGTGTTTATGCTACTTTTTTGAATTTATAAATGGCTAATGTGTAAAAGAATCAAAATGACATTTTTAATAACTGAATTACACAGTACCTCATACACGGCCAGATGAAGTTCGTGAGAAAGTCATCTCGCTACGTGATTGGTGGGGGGTACAGAAGGATATGTTAATGCCGGCCGCCAACACTAATGCAGACGGAGCCGAGCTGCTGAGCAGCTGCGATGACATGCCTGACTTGCAAATCAAAGAAATTTTGGAAGTAATGGCCTTCACATTATGTTGTCAGGTTAGTGTTACGTACATTATTATTATTATTATTTAAAATGATGCATAAATAAAAAAAATAAAAAAATTTCAAATTGCTGAAAACCGTCTTAAGAACAAGACGACCACTGAAAATAATGCAGGTTGTCCTCAGCTTACGATGGGGTTACATTCCGACACGCCCGTTGTAAGTCAGAAATATCGTAAGTTGAATGTGAAAATAATATGCTAAATAAATAAGAAAATAACAACTACTGTCATTGAATAAATAGAGCAAGTAATTACAGTAACTAAATAACAGTATTGAAGAGTAAATGAATGCAAGTTAGGGACTTGTTGCCTTCATGCTGGGTAATTATCTTAAAGGTTCATCTCTATTTAATTGCTGCCGCACCATCGTAAGGTGGAAATATCGTAAGCCATGGAACACCTGTAAATATGAATATAGTAATTGAATAAGCGCCGTATTAGCTAAGCGCTCTTAAGCAACTGTAGTATTAGCAAGTATGCTTGTACACGCATTTACAACCCTCATTGAGGTGTGTGTCTACCATGGGTATACACTGAGTGCTTTTGTTTTCTGGGCACACAGGTTATGGAGACATACAGAGTGAAGGCCACCAACAGAGAGTGTCTCTTCAAGGTTCAAGACGGCACAATGACCCAGATCTGCTTCAAAGAGGTATGTGTAGTTGTCGTATCAGATGTTAGCATATTAAATGAATAACGTTCGACCAGTGTTCAGCAGACTGTGCAGTGAAATCTTTATACCCAAAAATGGCTTGTATAACCAGTCACTTTTCATGTGATATATTAAATGTCATCCATTTTTAAAAATTATGTATCGTGTGGAAATAAATAATTATTTTTAATGCACCGGCCGTCTCCCACCAAGGCAGGGTGACCTAAAAAGAAAAATAAGTCTCTCTTTTTACATGTAGTAATTTGTGCATTAGAAGAGATTACTAGTCTCATGCTCCCATGCTCCCTCCTGTGCAGCACTAGCCCTATGCTCCCTCCTGTGCAGCACTAGCCCTATGCTCCCTCCTGTACAGCAGTAGCCCTATGCTCCCTCCTGTACAGCAGTAGCCCTATGCTCCCCCTGTACAGCAGTAGCCCTATGCTCCCTCCTGTACAGCAGTAGCCCTATGCTCCCTCCTGTACAGCAGTAGCCCTATGCTCCCTCCTGTACAGCAGTAGCCCTATGCTCCCTCCTGTACAGCAGTAGCCCTATGCTTCCTCCTGTACAGCAGTAGCCCTATGCTCCCTCCTGTACAGCAGTAGCCCTATGCTCCCTCCTGTACAGCAGTACCCCTATGCTCCCCTCCTGTACAGCAGTAGCCCTATGCTCCCTCCTGTACAGCAGTAGCCCTATGCTCCCTCCTGTACATCAGTAGCCCTATGCTCCCTCCTGTACAGCAGTAGCCCTATGCTCCCTCCTGTACATCAGTAGCCCTATGCTCCCTCCTGTACAGCAGTAGCCCAGAAACCTAACCTGCTGTATAAGTGGGGCCCTCCTGCACAGCAGTGGCCTGGAACTTAACCTGCTGTATAAGCAAGGCCCTCCTGTACAGCAGTAGCCTAGAACCTAACCTGCTGTATAAGCAGGGGCCCTCCTGTACAGCAGTAGCCTAGAACCTAACCTGCTGTATAAGCAGGGCCCTCCTGTACAGCAGTAGCCTGGAACCCAACCTGCTGTATAAGCAGGGCCCTCCTGTACAGCAGTAACCCAGAATCTAACCTGCTGTATAAGCAGGGCCCTCCTGTACAGCAGTAGCCTGGAACCTAACCTGCTGTATAAGCAGGGCCTTCCTGTATTCATTTTGGGAATTGATTCTCAGATGCCTGTGGTCAGAGGCAGGAGTATATTTCAGGGTGTTGTAATCCAGGAAACGTGGATTACTTGGATTATGTCCATGAAAAATGGATTTCATGGATGCACAGTACTACATTATACATTTTTCACTAGTACAATGTACCTATATAGTATGTCATAGATGCCAGCTATGGTCTGTATAAGTTGTATCATGTACTGCTAGAAATAAACATTATTATTATTAATATTATAGTATGTCATTGGTGTCAGCTATGGTCTGTATAAGTTGTATCATGTTCTGGTAGACATTTTTTTTTTTTTCAACAAGTCGGCCGTCTCCCACCGAGGCAGGGTGACCCGAAAAAGAAAGAAAATCCCCAAAAAGAAAATACTTTCATCATCATTCAACACTTTCACCACACTCACACATTATCACTGTTTTTGCAGAGGTGCTAAGATAAGATAAGATAAGATAAGATTTCGTTCGGATTTTTAACCCCGGAGGGTTAGCCACCCAGGATAACCCAAGAAAGTCAGTGCGTCATCGAGGACTGTCTAACTTACTTCCATTGGGGTCCTTAATCTTGTCCCCCAGGATGCGACCCACACCAGTCGACTAACACCCAGGTACCTATTTGCTGCTAGGTGAACAGGACAACAGGTGTAAGGAAACGTGTCGAAATGTTTCCACCCGCCGGGAATCGAACCCGGGCTCTCCGAATACAACAGTTTAGAAGCATATACGTATAAAGATACACAACATATCCCTCCAAACTGCCAATATCCCAAACCCCTCCTTTAAAGTGCAGGCATTGTACTTCCCATTTCCAGGACTCAAGTCCGACTGTATGGAAATAACCGGTTTCCCTGAATCCCTTCACTAAATATTACCCTGCTCACACTCCAACAGATCGTCAGGTCCCAAGTACCATTCGTCTCCATTCACTCCTATCTAACACGCTCACGCACGCTTGCTGGAAGTCCAAGCCTCTCGCCCCACAAAACCTCCTTTACCCTCTCTCTCCAACCCTTTTTGAGGACGACCCCTACCCCGCCTTCCTTCCCCTATAGATTTATATGCTTTCCATATCATTCTACTTTGATCCATTTTCTCTAAATGACCAAACCACCTCTACAACCCCTCTTCTGCCCTCTGACTAATACTTTTATTAACTCCACACCTTTTCCTAATTTCCACACTCCGAATTTTCTGCATAATATTTACACCACACATTGCCCTTAGACAGGACATCTCCACTGCCTCCTCGCTGCTGCATTTACAACCCAAGCTTCAGACCCATATAAGAGTGTTGGTACTACGTACTATACTTTCATACATTCCCTTCTTTGCCTCCATTGATAACGTTTTTTGACTCTTCATATACCTCAATGCACCACTCACCTTTTTTCCCTCATCAATTCTGTGATTAACCTCATCCTTCATAAATCCATCCGCCGACACGTCAACTCCCAAGTATCTGAAAACATTCACTTCTTCCATACTCCTCCTCCCCAATTTGATATCCAATTTTTCTTTATCTAAATCATTTGATACTCTCATCACCTTACTCTTTTCTATGTTCACTTTCAACCTTTACACACATTCCCAAACTCATCCACTAACCTTTGCAATTTTTCTTTAGAATCTCCCATAAGCACAGTATCATCAGCAAAAAGTAACTGTGTCAATTCCCATTTTGAATTTAATTCCCCATAATTTAATCCCACCCCTCTCCCGAACACCCTAGCATTTACTTCTTTTACAACCCCATCTATAAATATATTAAACAACCATGGTGACATTACACATCCCTGTCTAAGACCTACTTTTACCGGGAAGTAGTCTCCCTCTCTTCTACACACCCTAACTTGAGCCTCACTATCCTCATAAAAACTCTTTACAACATTTAGTAACTTACCACCTATTCCATATACTTGCAACATCTGCCACATTGCTCCTCTATCCACTCTATCATATGCCTTTTCTAAATCCATAAATGCAATAAAAACTTCCCTACCTTTATCTAAATACTGTTCACATATATGCTTCAATGTAAACACTTGATCTACACATCCCCTACCCACTCTGAAGCCTCCCTGCTCATCTGCAATCCTACATTCTGTCTTACCTCTAATTCTTTCAATTATAACCCTACTGTACACTTTTCCTGGTATACTCAGTAAACTTATTCCTCTATAATTTTTACAATCTCTTTTGTCCCCCTTCCCTTTATATAAAGGGACTATACATGCTCTCTGCCAATCCCTAGGTACCTTCCCCTCTTTCATACATTTATTAAAGAAAAGTACCAACCACTCCAACACTATATCCCCCCCTGCTTTTAACATTTCTGTCATGATCCCATCAGTTCCAGCTGCTTTACCCCCTTTCATTCTACGTAATGCCTCACGTACCTCCACCACACTTACATTCTGCTCTTCTTCACTCCTAAAAGATGGTATACCTCCCTGGCCAGTGCATGAAATTACCGCCTCCCTTTCTTCCTCAACATTTAAAAGTTCCTCAAAATATTCTCGCCATCTACCTAATACCTCCATCTCCCCATCTACTAACTCCCCTACTCTGTTTTTAACTGACAAACACATACTTTCCCTAGACTTTCTTAACTTGTTTAACTCACTCCAAAATTTTTTTGTATTTTCATTAAAATTTCTTGACAGTGCCTCTCCCACTCTATCATCTGCTCTCCTTTTGCACTCTCTCACCACTCTCTTCACCTTTCTTTTACTCTCCATGTACTCTGCTCTTCTTATAACACTTCTGCTTTGTAAAAACCTCTCATAAGCTACCTTTTTCTCTTTTATCACACCCTTTACTTCATCATTCCACCAATCACTCCTCTTTCCTCCTGCCCCCACCCTCCTATAACCACAAACTTCTGCCCCACATTCTAATACTGCATTTTTAAAACTATTCCAACCCTCTTCAACCCCCCCACTACTCATCTTTGCACTAGCCCACCTTTCTGCCAATTGTCGCTTATATCTTGCCCGAACTTCCTCCTCCCTTAGTTTATACACTTTCACCTCCCTCTTACTTGTTGTTGCCACCTTCCTCTTTTCCCATCTACCTCTTACTCTAACTGTAGCTACAACTAAATAATGATCCGATATATAAGTTGCCCCTCTATAAACATGTACATCCTGGAGCCTACCCATCAACCTTTTATCCACCAATACATAATCTAACAAACTACTTTCATTACGTGCTACATCATGCCTTGTATATTTATTTATCCTCTTTTTCATAAAATATATATTACTTATTACCAAATTTCTTTCTACACATAGCTCAATTAAAGGCTCCCCATTTACATTTACCCCTGGCACCCCAAATTTACCTACTACTCCCTCCATAACATTTTTACCTACTTTAGCATTAAAATCCCCAACCACCATTACTCTCACACTTGATTCAAAACTCCCCATACATTCACTCAACATTTCCCAAAATCTCTCTCTCCTCTACACTTCTCTCTTCTCCAGGTGCATAAATGCTTACTATAACCCACTTTTCACATCTAATCTTTATTTTACTCCACATAATCCTTGAATTAATACATTTATAGTCCCTCTTTTCCTGCCATAGCTTATCCTTCAACATTATTGCTACTCCTTCTTCAGCTCTAACTCTATTTGAAACCCCTGACCTAATCCCATTTATTCCTCTCCATTGAAACTCTCCCACCCCCTTCAGCTTTGTTTCACTTAAAGCCAGGATATCCAGCTTCTTCTCATTCATAACATCCACAATCATCTCTTTCTTATCATTTGCACAACATCCACGCACATTCAGACTTCCCACTTTGACAATTTTCTTCTTCTTATTCTTTTTAGTAATCTTTACAGGAAAAGGGGTTACTAGCCCATTGTTCCCGGCATTTTAGTTGACTTTTACAACACACATGGCTTACGGAGGAAAGATTCTTATTCCACTTCCCCATGGATATGAAAGGAAAAGTAATAAGACCAAGAACTATTAAGATAAAATCAAAGAAAACTCAGATTAGCGTGTGTAAATAAACGTGTACATGTATGTGTAGTGTGACCTAAGTGTAAGTAGAAGTAGCAAGACATGCCTGTAATCTTGCATATTTATGAGACAGACAAAAGACACCAGCAATCCTACCATCATGTAAAACAATTACAGGCTTTCGTTTTACACTCACTTGGCAGGACGGTAGTAGTACCTCCCTGGGTGGTGGCTTGATTTTTTCTATAACAGCACATATAATGCCTTGTTTTTGTAGTAGCAAGTGACTCGGGGAAGTGTTTACCAGGCCTGCATCAAGGAGGGTCACTTGCATCACTAGCACAAGAGTTGTCACATTCCTTCTTGTACAGGTTCACTCTGCCTTGGCGGGAGACTGCCGTCACGTTAAAAAAATATTAAGACGTTTATGAGGAATTATTCCCCTCTGTATACATTACTAAAGTTAAAAAGAGAAACTTGTTTTTCTTTTTGGGTTGCCCTGCCTCGGTGGGATGCAGCCGGTTTGTTGAAAAAAGAAGATGTCTGAGGAATGTCTTAATATGTCTCACTTAAATTATAATTAGCTCCTTATGATGGTTCCAAATATTGGTACTGTACCTGAGTCTGCCATGACACTGCAGCTTAAATTAGCACACAAAAAATATAAAAACTGACTTATGCATAGGATAGGTAGTTCATTCTCGGTTTAGGGGTTAATTCCGCCTAAGGTTAATCAGTACGCTTTCCTCACTATACAGATCACTCATAGCAAATGTATATCACACAGAATAATCAGGTGAAATGGGACATGACATAATACAAATTAAATCAAAAGTTTATTTCTTTGCAAAGGTTACAATGTGTGTTTACAGTTCAGTAAATCCTCGACTTACAAACACATTGGGGACCTTCTGAATTGTGTATAATATTCATAGTGCTGGATGTCTTCAACTTACGAACACATTGGGGACCTTCTGAATTGTGTATAATATGCCTAATACTGGACGTCTTCAACTTACGAACACATTGGGACCTCCTAAATTGTGTATAGTACATGTATTCCTAATACTGGACGTCTTCAACTTACGAACACATTGGGACCTCCTAAATTGTGTATAGTATTCCTAATACTGGACGTCTTCAACTTACGAACACATTGGGACCTCCTAAATTGTGTATAGTATTCCTAATACTGGACGTCTTCAACTTACGAACACATTGGGACCTCCTAAATTGTGTATAGTATTCCTAATACTGGACGTCTTCAACTTATGAACACATTGGGGACCTGAATTGTGTATAATAATAATATACACAATAATGATATGCAGTGGAACCTTGGTTTTTTAATTTAATTAGTTCCAGATGTCGATTCAGCAACCAAAATTGACAACAACCAAAGCAGTTTTTCCCATAAAGAATAATGTGAATAGAATTAATCCATTCCAGATGCCAAATGACAATGTAATTTTTTTTTTTTTTTTTTTTTTTTTCAACAAGTCGGTCGTCTCCCACCGAGGCAGGGTGACCCAAAAAAAGAAAGAAAATCCCCCAAAAGAAAATACTTTCATCATCATTCAACACTTTCACCACACTCACACATTATCACTGCTTTTGCAGAGGTGCTCAGAATATAACAGTTTAGAAGCATATACGTATAGAGATACACAACATATCCCTCCAAACTGCCAATATCCCAAACCCCTCCTTTAAAGTGCAGGCATTGTACTTCCCATTTCCAGGACTCAAGTCCGACTATATGAAAATAACCGGTTTCCCTGAATCCCTTCACTAAATATTACCCTGCTCACACTCCAACAGATCGTCAGGTCCCAAGTACCATTCGTCTCCATTCACTCCTATCTAACACGCTCACGCACGCTTGCTGGAAGTCCAAGCCCCTTACCCACAAAACCTCCTTTACCCCCTCTCTCCAACCCTTTCGAGGACGACCCCTACCCCTCTTTCCTTCCCCTATAGATTTATATGCTTTCCATGTCATTCTACTTTGATCCATTCTCTCTAAATGACAATGTAATAATATATTAATAATGTACTAACTGCTACATAAAACAAGATTATACAGCTCAGGGAAACTAAAAATGAATACTAAATGAAACTTTCATTGAAATACAGTGGACCCCCGGTTAACGATATTTTTTCACTCCGTAAGTATGTTCAGGTGCCAGTACTGACCGAATTTATTCCCATAAGGAATATTGTGAAGTAGATTAGTCCATTTCAGACCCCCAAACATACACGTACAAACGCACTTACATAAATACACTTACATAATTGGTCACATTCGGAGGTAATCGTTATGCGGGGGTCCACTGTACTGTACAGTAAATGAAAATTGAACAGCCCCTTACGTGTCAGAGGAGAGGTAATAGCATACTGGAAGCAGGAGGTGGAGGAGAGGAGGGGGGATGTCACTGCTTGGAAGGAGACTCACCTGTTAATATGTCATGCAACTGTCCTGGTGATCTCTTCTTTGTCTCTCTTTACCACCGTCCAGTGCGCAATCCACGAGCACTTAACCTGAGCCGCTTCATCCCATTCACGCGAAAACTTGTCTGTCGACAACCGAGACAACTTACAAAAACCGGGACAATTTTCTCGAACGCCTCATTCAAAAACCAATTTATTCGACAAGTAACACAATCAACAACCGAGGTTCAACTAAAATAGCGATATATACAATAAAGGAGATTCTGGTGTTTGTAAGTCAAGGACATACTGTAACGAATTTGTATTTAATAAAGAAAACCTGTAGTTGCTTCATTAAAATATCAGCGCTTTATGACCCTTATGGGTTTAGTGGTTAGTTATGATTATAATAATTCATTAAATTACAGAATATCGTTACTTTTTTATTTTCAGTATAGAGGCCATGACGCGACAACAGAGGGAATAACACAGACGGAGTACTATACTAATCCAGGCAGTCTGATGGTGGATGTGCTTGTCAAAAATGCTTGCTCTGCAGCTGAGAGCATTGTGGTGAGTGTTAAGGTAGAGTGCCTGCACTCTGAAGGAGGGATGGTGGTGGAAAGTACTGTGTAGTGCCTGCACTCTGAAGGAGGGGTGGTGGTGGTTGGAAGTACTGTATAGTGCCTGCACTCTGGAGGGGTGAGGGTGGAAAGTACTGTACAGTGCCTGCACTGTGAAGGAGGGTTGATGAGGGTGGAAAGTAGTGTATAGTGCCTGCACTCTGAAGGAGAAGTGGTGGTGGAAAGTACTGTATAGTGCCTTCACTCTGAAGGAGTGGTGGTGAGAAGTATTGTACAGTGCCTGCACTCTGAAGGAGTGGTGGTGGTGGTGGTGGTGGGAAGTACTGTACAGGTTAGCATAGGCACCACTGTGACCACAAATGCAAGTTTTTACAGAGCATACCACCCGTGGTATGGTTTGTTTGCAGTCATGTCATTACGATTTCGTGAGTCATGTTGACAGCTTTGAGGGGACTTGAGCTAGAGTTCGTCACGGACACGCTAGCGGGAGATTCGTCTGCAAAAACTTGCATTTGTGGTCACAGTGGTGGCCTATGCTAACCTTCCTACAGTGTAGAAATATACCTAGTTGGATGAATCTTATTGAAGCAGCTGGCCCAGTGGCTAACGCGACGATCTGGAGTTTTGAGACTCTATGACCGTCAAACCCCACCCGTGGTATGGTTTGTTTGCAATCGTGTCATTAAGATTTCGTGAGTCATGTTAGGGAGAGTTAGCCACTCAGGATAACCTGGGGTAGGGAGGGTTAGCAACCCAGGATAACCCAGGAAAGTCAGCGCATCATCAAGGGCTGTCTGTCTTATTTCCATTGGTGTCCTTCAGTCTTGTGCCCCAGGATGCAACCCACACCAGTCCACTAACACCCAAGTACCTACTTACTGCTAGGTGAACAGTGACATCAGGTATAAGGTGACTAATACCCAGGTACCTACTTACTGCTAGGTGAACAGTGACAGCAGGTGTAATGTAGCTAACACCCAGGTACCTACTTACTGCTAGGTGAACAGTGACAGCAGGTGTAAGGTACCTAACACCCAGGTACCTACTTACTGCTAGGTGAAGACTAACAGCAGGTATAAGGTAACATGCCCAACATTTCCACCTGTGCTATTTCTTGGTTTTCTTGGGTTATCCATTAGCTGTCAGGGTTAACTAATCCAAATAATATTTAAACGTTCACTTAAGCCAGTGGGTGAATTGGACCTGCCTTGCATGGGCCAGTAGGCCTACTGCATTGGACCTGCCTTGCATGGGCCAGTAGGCCTACTGCAGTGTTCCTTCTTTCTGATGTTCTTAAATCAAGAAAGTATTTCCTTGTTGAAAAATTCTGAATTCCTGATTTAACAAGGTCTGTTAATTCTGGAATTGTTTGTTATTGTTATGGATAACATTTGCAACGAACATAGTCCGTTAATTCTAGAATTTTGTTATTGTTATGGATAACATTTGCAACGAACATAGTCCGTTAATTCTAGAATTTTGTTATTGTTATGGATAACATTTGCAACGAACAAAGTTCGTTAATTCTAGAATTTTGTTATTGTTATGGATAACATTTGCAACGAACAAAGTTCGTTAATTCTAGAATTTTGTTATTGTTATGGATAACATTTGCAACGAACAAAGTCCGTTAATTCTAGAATTTTGTTATTGTTATGGATAACATTTTGAAACGAACATAATTTGTTAAATCCAGAATTGTTCATTTCTGTTCTGAATGTGGAAGAACAATCACGTCACTTGGATTTAACGACCAATTCATTTTAACGGACGTCTCCCCCCCCCACCCCACCCCCACCCCCACACCCCCCCATTAGTAAAATCAAGAGTTCACCTCTAAAAGTTTTGTTTTTATTTTGGCCAGAATTCCCTTCTATTGATCTTTTACATACATTTTTAATTTATTGGATTTTTTTTTTGGGGGGGTTGGAGGGATTTTATTGAATTTCTTGGAAATTCAGTGGAATTTTGTAAGGCAGAGGATTTTTTTTTTTTTAATTTGTAATTGCATGAAATTTTTAAGATTTTTTTTTTGGGGGGGGAATTTTAGGTTAAGTTTTTTTTTACACTTTCAGAATTTGTCTAAAATTTGTTATTTTTAAATGCTATATTTTTGGATTGTTATTAGAACTTGATCGGACTTTTTTTTTTTGGCCTTTTTTTTTCATTTAATTTCTCTAATTTTACTTTATTGCACTTTTTTTTAGCCTTTTATCATTTAATTTCTTTAATTTTAATGTGTTTGTAGCCTTTCGAAAATTTTAATTTAGACTTTGCATATTTTACGTTTTTTTTTTTTTTTTTTTTTTTTTTTTTTTTCCAGTTTTGGGGAAACGTTTGAAATCCTTGAAATTTACCACCTTTTTTTTTTTGTATTTCAGGCTAAGGACGTCATCCAGATGAAAAACGTGAAGTGCTTAAAAGCTGCCAGAAACGGGGAAGACATGACCGTCGACAAACATGTGTTGATCCTGGACTGTAATGATGGCGAAATGGTGAAGCTGCCCAGTGTTAACATAGTGGCTGCCAAGATCATTGAGTTAGTTAACACTTGTACTCTGGATCAGTCTTGTTAGTAGTTAACAAGATCATTGAGTTAGTTAACACTTGTACTCTGGATCAGTCTTGTTAGTAGTTAACAAGATCATTGAGTTAGTTAACACTTGTACTCTGGATCAGTCTTGTTAGAGGTTAGCAAGATCATTGAGTTAGTTTACACTTGTACCCTGGATCAGTCTTGTTAGAGGTTAACAAGATCATTGAGTTAACACTTGTACTCTGGATCAGTCTTGTTAGAGGTTAACAAGATCATTGAGTTAACACTTGTACTCTGGATCAATCTTGTTAGAGGTTACCAAGATCATTGAGTTAGTTAACACTTGTACTCTGGATCAATCTTGTTAGAGGTTAGCAAGATCATTGAGTTAATTAGCACTTGTACTCTGGATAAGTCTTGTTAGAGGCCAGCAAGATCACTGAGTAAATAGAGAAAGATTGCAGTCAGCAGGACTCAATCCCACTGCAGAGAGATGGGCTGGGTTCCCATCTCTCTTTGGTGGGATCGAATCCTGCTGACCACGATCTTTCTCTGTGTATGCCCACCTGTTTCTGATTGGTGTATTGATCGTCGAGTTAGTTAACACTTCTACCCTGGATAAATCTTGTTAGAGGTTAACAAGATCATGGAGTTAGTTAACACTTGTATTCTGGATTAGTCTCGTTAGAGGTTAACAAGATCATTGAGTTAGTTAACACTTGTATTCTGGATTAGTCTCGTTAGAGGTTAACAAGATCATTGAGTTAGTTAACACTTGTATTCTGGATTAGTCTCGTTAGAGGTTAACAAGATCACTCAGTTAAAATTTGTACTCAGCATCAGTCTTGTTAGAAGTCAACAGGATCGTTCAATAAGTTAAAACTTGTACTCTGGATTACTTTTACAATATTTTTCACATTTTTTATGATTTTTCTAGCATTTTGTAAGCTGTTTCAGTTTTTTCAGCTCATATTAACATAGTTTACCAAGCATAATTTAAAAATTTATTGTTACGAGGCATATTTGCCTTTATTCGCTTCTTGAGTAGGCCTTACATATTAGGACTAGTCTACCCATGCTAGTGGCTTTCTTTTGTGCCTTTGTAAATGGTCCAAGTCGGACCGAAACGTCGTAAGCTCCTCTCTTCTATGTTCGGGTTATTTGTGTATTATTTTACCACCTGTGAACCACACTACAGTGGTACATGTACCTCGTGTTTCGTACAGCTCCCAACTCGAACAATTATGTAAGTTTATTTTTGTAAGTGTATTTTTGGGGGTCTGAAACAGACTAATCTAATTTACATTATTCCTTATGGGAACAAATTCATTCGGTCTCAAACAGCCTTCTGGAATGAATTAAGATTGTAACTCGAGGTACCACTGTCCTTGTATACTGCAGAAAAGAAATTTGTTAGTTTTATTCATATTTTGATAGGTGTAATGTTTATCAGGAAGCAGGACAAGCGTTTCCTGACGCTTTGCATTTAATGTGTTAATTGTTATATTTATCCTTGCAGTCGGGTGAAAAAAGCTGCAGTCGGCCGTGGAGATAATTCAGTCAGCAGTGATTCCACCATGGTGCCTACACCAGCATGGTAAAGATGTTTTACACTTGTTTGTACTGCGACTCACTGTTTGATAAACATTACTTGCCAAGTGGTGTTTGCGTGTGGATGTATTTGTGCTGGTGATTTGTGGACTTTCTGTACTCAGTCGTGTGTACTCGTCTATACCAGTGCTCCTCGATTTACGATGGGGTTACGTTCTGGTGAACCCATCATTAGTTGAAAATATCATAAGGCGAATATGAAGCGGGGAAGTGGAACAGAATTCTTCCCCCTTAAGCCATGCATGTCGTAAGAGGCGACTAAAATACAGGGAGCAAGGGGCTGGTAACCCCTTCTCATGTATATATTACTAAATTTAAAAAGAGAAACTTTTGTTTCTTTTTGGGCCACCTCACCTTGGTGGGATACGGCTGGTTTGTTAAAAGAAGAAGAAACAACTACTGATAATGGAGACATTGGGATCTATAAACCTTCCGAATAAACCACGGAATGAATGAGGTTTGAACCCATGGTGATTGAGTTATAAAACTACAGGTCAGTGCATTAACAACTGGGCCAGCTGGTTACAGTAATATTCATCCAACTAGGTATATTTCTATACACCATAGGGAGGTTAGCATGGGCCACCACTGTGACCACAAATGCAAGTTTTTATAGATGAATACCTGCCAGTGTTTCTGTGATGACCTCTAGCTCACTTCTCTTCAAATATGTGTAATCTTAAGTAGTGTGTAAGCATTAGGCTTAGTCTGCCCAAAATGCCCGTGTAATATTTTACAATGCTGTATAGCCCTTGTGGCTTAGTGCTTCTTTTTAATTATAATAATAATAATATTTTACAATATGTAAACTACATAGGGAAGTGGAAGATAATTCTTCCTCCGTAAGCCATGCGTGTTGTAAGAGGCGACTAAAATGCCGGGAGCAAGGGGATAGTAACCCCTTCTCCTGTATATATTACTAAATTTGAAAGGAGAAACTTTGATTTTTTCTTTTGGGCCACCCCGCCTCAGTGGGATACGGCCGGTGTGTTGAAAGAAAGAAGAATAATATTTTACAACATGTAAACTACATAGGGAAGTGGAAGATAATTCTTCCTCCGTAAGCCATGCATGTCATAAGAGGCGACTAAAATGCCGGGAGCAAGGGGCTAGTAACCCCCTTCTTCTGTATGCATTACTAAACAAAGGAAACTTTTGTTTTTCTTTTTAGGTCACCCTGCCTCTGTGGGATATGGCCGGTTCATTTACAAAAAAAAAAAAATGTGAACTGTAGTTTGTATACTACAGAATTTAATTAATTTGTATTGTAGTGATGTTGTTGTGTGCTTCAGGCCTACTCCTGCGAAGCCTAGTCCCAACCGCATCAGCAGTCAACCTTTCAGCCCCAACCAGATGACCGGAGATCCCAGGAGCATCTTTCTAATGCCACTGCACCACAACAGGTGAGTCGTGTGTACCCTGGGATCCCCAGCTTGTCAACGAGTTGTGTTGCTGATGTTTCGATATTCAAGTTGTGTTACACTTACAAAATTGTGTTGCTGATGTTACGAAGTTGTGTTACTAGCACTTTGCTCCTGGAATTTAGTAATGTATACAGGTGTTACTAGCACCTTGCTCCTGGAATTTAGTAATTTATACAGGTGTTACTAGCACCTTGCTCCTGGAATTTAGTAATTTATACAGGTGTTACTAGCACCTTGCTCCTGGAATTTTAGTTGCCTCTTATGATATGCATGCCTTACGGAGGAAAGATTCTTCTCGGCTTTTCTTTGGAGTATGCCTGTCTTATTTTTTTTCCCAGTCATATCCTCCCTAATTTTATGCCTTTCAAGGATGTAGATTCAGTGCCCTTAGTCTATCCTCATAGGAAAGATTTCTGATAAATGGAATCCGTATGTTCTCCAGCACATTTGTGTCCATTCTGTAATACAGTGACCAGAACTACCCAGGTGTGTTGTTGCTGGTGGACTATCAGGCCACCAGCAGTAATAGCCTAGTTGACCATGCAAGCACCAGTAAGCCTGGCCCAGCTGGGCTCTGGCAGTGGGAAAAACATGAAAGGTTTGGTAAAGGTTTTATTTCTTTGGTTGAACCTGATTGCCTCTCATTCCCCAGGTGGTCTATGACCCTGTGGGTGTGGAGCTTCCCAATGAAAATACTAATTATCTGCTGTACAGTAATATTTGCAGCTCCGTAAATATCACAGCCACACTATTGCTATGTTCATTCCTGTGTAAATATCACTGCTACACTGTTAGTATGTTGCTGTGTAAATATCACTGCTACACTGTTACTATTACTACTACTGTACTAATTTTTTTTTTTAACAAGTCGGCTGTCTCCCACCGAGGCAAGGTGACCCACCGAGGCAGGGTGACCCACCGAGGCGGGGTGACCCACCGAGGCGGGGTGACCCACCGAGGCGGGGTGACCCACCAAGGCGGGGTGACCCACCGAGGCGGGGTGACCCACCGAGGCAGGGTGACCCACTGAGGCGGGGTGACCCACCGAGGCGGGGTGACCCACCGAGGCAGGGTGACCCACCGAGGCAGGGTGACCCACCGAGGAAGGGTGACCCACCGAGGCGGGGTGACCCACCGAGGCAGGGTGACCCACCGAGGCAAGGTGACCCACCGAGGCAGGGTGACCCACTGAGGCGGGGTGACCCACCGAGGCGGGGTGACCCACCGAGGCGGGGTGACCCACCAAGGCAGGGTGACCCACCGAGGCAGGGTGACCCACCGAGGCAGGGTGACCCAAAAAGAAAGAAAATACTTTCATCATCATTCAACACTTTCACCACACTCACACATAATCACTGTTTTTGCAGAGGTGCTCAGAACACAACAGTTTAGAAGCATGTACATATAAAGATACACAACATATCCCTCCAAACTGCTAATATCCCGAACCTCTCCTTTAAAGTATACTGTCATTGTACTACTACTACTACTGTACAGTATTCAACTTTGCATGTTTTATTGCTTGTTATAATGCAGTGGGCTAAAGTACAACTGTACTAGAATGTGCTCGACCGCCGGTCTGAACTGTCACTCCATTTGAATTTTAAAATTGATTATATGTGTCATTTTGCAGGAGTTTCTTGCCGCCTTCTGAAACTTCCACACAGCAGAGTTCCTTACCCTCCAATGACACCTTCGTAGGTTTAGTCAAGGACCTCCATACTCCGTCTCAGCTTTCCAGGTTGCAAGTTTTTTGTTTTTCCATATCTTTTCAGATTTGTATCAGATATTTGTTTTTAAAATAAAGAATACTCAGATAACCTGCATATAAGAGAAAGAAACTTTACGACAACATTTCGACCCGACTTGGAATAGTTAGTAGTCCAAGTTGGACCAAGATGTCATCGTAAGTTTCTTTCCCCTATGTGTATGTTATTTGTGTATTGTTCCAGTCACAATATTGTTCATTTTTATTTTTTGAGAAATATGGAAGTAAGTCTAAAAATATTTCTGGGCTATTAAAAAATTATGCACCTCCATTCAGAGTGACTTTGGTTACACATTCTTATTCTTTTAATACCTTCAAGCTTCTGGCACACTTTTGGCAAGACAGCAGTTGAATGAGTGATGGCAGATGTGTTTCCTCTTTTTTTACTGTTTTGAGTGTAGGGGGGTCTCGCTACCGTGGCGACAGCCACTGTGCTTAACTTGTAAACGTTCCAGACGTATATATACGTTTTTTCAACATTTGAAAGTACAGTGGACCCCCGCATAACGATTACCTCCGAATGCGACCATTTATGTAAGTGTATTTATGTAAGTGCGTTTGTACGTGTATGTTTGGGGGTCTGAAATGGACTAATCTACTTCATAATATTCCTTATGGGAACAAATTCGGTCAGTACTGGCACCTGAACATACTTCTGGAGTGAAAAAATATCGTTAACCGGAGGTCCACTGTATGTAAAAAAAGTAGATCTTGTTTTTGTTTTTTTTACATTTGAAAATATGTAAAAAAAACGTAGATCTACTTTTGTAGCGCTACACATGTGAACGTAGATCTGCTTGGACCGTTTATGGGTTAAAAAGCAAAAAAAAAAAAAAGGATAATTGAATTGTCTAGCATTCTTTCCACATTTTTAGCCATATTTCATTTCTGGAAAAGCCAGAAATTTTTTTCCCCTGACAGCTCTGTTACTAAGGCAGGGTGATATATTTTTTATTTTTTTTTACGGGTTTTGAGTTTTTTCCTTCTGCAGCCTGGCCCTGGACCAGGCTCATCTGTTGGATCAAGCATATCAAACTTTCACCATCATTCATTTAATATAACTATCTTGCTGCGAGTGTGCAGACATCACAGTTCATTAGATCAAAAATATTCATTAACAAGTAAGAGAAGTGGGGATTGCTGAGGCAATGAACTTTTATCATTACTAGTATTATTATTATTATTACTAATATTATTATTATTATTACTATTACTATTATTGTTATTACTATTATTATTATTATTATTATTAGTGTTTTTGTTATATTCATTGGAAACGCTAAAACTGTAGTGATTATTATGCCCTTCGGGAAAGGTGAGTAATCAAATTTGAGCCTAGTAAGGCAAACGTTGTTTCAGTGTCTTGGATCAGGAACCCTTCAGCGTCATCAGGTCATCCCCATACCTGGAAAGAAGAGTAGAAAGTCACAATATTGTGGCTGGAACGTATCAAACAATAACCCACAGTTAGAAAACTTATGACGACATATTGGCCGACCCTGGACCGTTGTGAAGTCGTCACTGAGTGAGGAGATACAGGGGAGACTAGAAGAGGGGGTCTACCTGGAGGGTATTCTGGGGGGGTCAACGCCCCTGCGGCCCAGTACACGGCCAGGTCTTGTGGTGGATCAGGGCCTGATCAACCAGGCTGTTACTGCTGGGTGTACATAGTCCAACATATGAATCACAGCCTGGCTGATCTAGCACTGACTTGAAGTATCTGGGTCAGGAAGAGAGAGAATGAGGGGACAGAAGGGAGGGAAAGGGAGGGACAAAAGGGGAAAACCTTAATGAAAAAAAAATGCCTAGATAAGGCTGCCTGGAAAATCATTACTACTGAGGGGAAGTTCCTTGATGCTGGTGAGGGGCTCTTGATCTAGGGAATAGGACCTTTTCTTGAGTTCTTTGAATCGAGTCTGAATGCCTTCCGTACCCCCAGACGTATAACCCCTATTGGTTCAGCACACCCCATGAATATCTTCTTTCAACAAACCTGCCACATCCCACTGAAACAGGGTGGCCCAAAAAGAAAAAGAAAAGTTTATAGGATGGATGGGGACTTGATTCGTTGTCTATGCTTCTAGCAAGCTCAGTGCTGTGGCCACACAGCCACAGCTTACCATAGATGATTTATACAACCAGCAGTTCTGTGATGATGCGCAACCATTACCAACTGTGGTGATGCTGTTTTATCCTGCACCTTCAGAGGTACAAGACACTAGGGCAGTGGTATTCATTGTGCGGCTCGTGATGACTCAATTCACGGCTCTTGTCTACTTTTTCTCATTTATTGTATTGCACTAGCAGCTCAGTACTACTTAATTTAGTTGAATTACGCTAACTTACAGTAGCTGCGGCTCTCTCAATCAATGTGTTTAACCAAAGTGGCTCTCTTGCAAAAATTAGTGAATAATACTGCACTAGGGTCATAGTTGGGCTGCTGATACAACCAAATATTGTATTGTCCAGTATATGGGGTATCCTTATTTTTTCCCAACAAAAATCATGGGGAAATCAGCCTATGTCTTATATGCTCAAGTTACTGGTACGTGGTGTTTTAAAATAACAAAAAAAGGCACAATACCGTGACTGGAACGATACACAAATAACCCGCACATAAAAGAGAGAAGCTTACGACGACGTTTCGGTCCGACTTGGACCATTTACAAAGTCACTTTGTAAATGGTCCAAGTCGGACCGAAACGTCGTCGTAAGCTTCTCTCTTTTATGTGCGGGTTATTTGTGTAAGTGGTGTTTTATAAATGGACGTACAGTTCATTATGGCAATTAAGTTGTAATGCTCATGTGTCCTATATGCCGGAAAATATGATAGTTTTATGATGGTTCGACATAATGTTGCAAGAGCAATTACTTAGAGATAAAACTTAAGATAATTACCCAACATAAAGGCAACAAGTCTGTAACGTGTATTCATTTATTTACCTTTCAATACTGGTACAGTGGACCCCCGGTATTCGATGGCATCGGTATTCGATAAATCCGGTTTTCGATGCATTTTAACGCAAAAAATTTTCCTCAGTATTCGATTGAAAACCCGGTATTCGATACGATTCATACGACACCTGTCCACATGTGGCCTGAACTGCTCCGTGTGTGCTAGTGTTTACAAGCCAGCCAGTGTGCGCGCATCTAAGGATACATTCGGTACATTCCATATTATCACTGTGTTTGATGCTTGTTTCTGCAAAATAAGTCACCATGGGCCCCAAGAAAGCTTCTAGTGCCAACCCTTCGAGAAAAAAGTCGCTAATGACTTATGAAATGAAGAAAGAGATAATTGCAAAGTACGAAAGTGGAGTGCGTGTGTCGGAGCTGGTCAGGTTGTATAATAAACCCCAATCAACCATCTCTACTATAGTGACCAGGAAAACGGCAATCAAGGAAGCTGTTCTTGCAAAAGGTGCAACTGTGATTACGAAACAGTGACTGCAAGTGTTAGAAAATGTTGAGAGATTGTTACTGGTGTGGATAAATGAAAAACAGATAGCAGGAGATAGCATCTCTCAAGCGATCATTTGTGAAAAGGCTAGGCAGTTGCATGACGATTTGGTAAAGAAATTGCCTGCAACTAGTGGTGATGTTAGTGAATTTAAGGCCAGCAAAGGTTGGTTTGAAAGATTTAAGAATCATAGTGGCATACATAGTGTGATTAGGCATGGTGAGGCTGCCAGTTATGTTGTGCGACGGAAGTCCAGTGACTCTCAAGCTGGTCCTAGTGGCATTAAAAGAAGAAGGGAAGTAACCCCGGAAAAGGACTTGCTACCTCAAGTCCTAATGGAAGGGGATTCCCCTTCTAAACACTAACACTCTCCCCTCCTCCCATCCCATCAATCATCACCAGATCTTCATTAAAGGTAAGTGTCAATTATTTTATTGTTATTGTAATTATTCTATTGCATTAAACTTAATATTTCATGTAGTAAAAATTTTTTTTTCACACTTTTGGATGTCTTGCACGGATTAATTTGATTTTCATTATTTCTTATGAGGAAAATTGATTGGGTTTTCGATATTATCGGTATTCGATGAGCTCTCAGGAACGGATTAATATCGAATACCGAGGGTCCACTGTATTTACAGTAATTATTTAATTACTTATACAGTGACAGCAGTTATTTATTTATTTAGCATATCGTATTCATATTTGATAAATGATAATTTCAACTTTGGATGAGTGCGTAACCCCTTTGTAAATCAAAGACCAATGGTAATCATATACAATGTTGTATTTAACCTACTTACATATTTTTTTTTTTTTTTTTTTTCAACAAGTTGGCCGTCTCCCACCGAGGCAGCGTGACTTACATTTACAGTCATCAAATTCTTATTTGTGTACACCAAATAACCTTATATACATATCTGTAATATTTATTGCCCTTGCAGTATTAAGTTAGGCTTAAGTTTGCCCGAAATGCTCTGCATAACCATGTACTTTTTACATGCGGTCAAATGTCTCTCATTCCTGTATAAAGATTGTATTGTGGAAATACAGGAGGGCGCCGCATGTACTTCTTTTCATTGGGTTCAAATTGAGCCATTGTTCATTATGTTCATTGCACCAGCGATAGTTGCTGGTAGGTGGAACAATGGCTCACTTGAAAGTCAGTGAAAATATGGAACACCAGAAAGAGATGCTGTATATGCGGCGCCCTCCTGTAAACTATGACTTACGTCACAGACGTGCTGGTTGTGAAATCCTATTGTAAGCTCTGTAACTGAATGTTTATAGCATTGGGCCCACTATATGCTGATATTGTGGTTCGAGTCGCCATCCATTCTTTAGTTTACTCGTTGAAAGCTGTTTATGATTTATCTTGGGTTTACCGAGCTCTCTGTTGTGTTGACAGATCGCAGAAGCCCCAAGACATGACGGCTAACAGTCACACCAGCAGGCTCTCAGGGAAAGCAAATGAAATTGGTAAGCTATTTTTCCTTTTACTTTGCAGACCTTAATATATTTTTGGGCCGCCCTCCCTTGGTGGGAAACTGCCGATTTGTTAAAAAAATTATCATTCATTTATTTATTTTTTAACTCTTTCAGGGTCGGCAGGCCGTCTCCTAAACCTGTTCTCAGGGTCGGAAATTTTTATTTTTTCTTATGAAATGATAGAGAATCTTTTCCCGATCATAATGACACCAAAAGTATGAAATTTGATGGAAAACTTACGGAATTATGCTCTCGCAAAGTTAGCAGTCTCGATGATGTTTACGCATCGGCGATTTCGCCCACTTTGATCCCTATTTTTGGCCAATTTCAATGTCGACAAAAATCATAACTATTTTGCTAGAACTCTATTTTTTTGTATCGGATGAGTACAAGAAACCACCCATTTACCTATTTCAACTATCCAGTAAAGTGGTCAGAATTTAGCAATTTTGCCAATTTCACATAAATTTCAAAAGATGCCAATTTCAAAATAGGGTCCAGAATAAACAAGAAAGACATTCCTGGCACTAAAATAACATTTACTCTGTTCATTAGTCACGTTCCCAGGCCCCTCTTGCATTCTTTTGCTTTCCACTTTGAATTTTTATTTTCACAAAAAAATAGAGGATTTACTATTATGCAGACTACTGCATTAGTGTAGAAATGGTATAAATAATATCAGCGCACTTGTGAAAGAATATTAGACTCGCCAGTTGATGTGTATTAGATGCATGGCATGATTTGTTTACTTTTGAACTTCGGCAAAAATCGAACATTTCTGCTACTTTGAGCTTAATTTCAAGGTACTTTTCATTGTAAAACCAACCAAAATCATCTCAATTTCTGTAATATGTCTTCCATTCTATAAAATGAGACCAGGAAAGCTAGAATACAACCATAAATACCATACGAAAATACACTGCAAAGTCGCTGTTTTAATCCAAAAATACGGTCATAATTTTTTCTTTTCTCATTATGCACTGTGTGCTGCAGGATTTTTTTTATACTGTGCACACTGACCACATAGACCCATTCTTCCATATGTAGGCCTACCAGCTTTCTCTCGCTAGAATTTATGCGTACTAGTACGGCACCAACCCTGAAAGGATTAACACACAGGCTGTCTCCCACCAAAGCAGAGTGACCCGAAAAAGAAGGCTTTCTTTGTACATTTAGTGATTTATATAAGAAAAGAGGTCTGGTATCCACTGTATCAGTTATCCACGGTTTACCGTGATCCGAAAATAACCCTTAATTTTGCTTAATAACGGCCCCAAAGGGCAAAAGTAGTGATGATGGCAGTTCTTCAAAGTCTAAGAGAAGCTGTGAAGTGCTTCCCATCAGTGAAAGTTATAATTCTATACCTAATGTTTACCTGGAGAGAGTTCTGGGGATCAACGCCCTCGCGGCTCGGTCTGTGACCAGGCCTCATGGTGGATTAGGGCCTGATCAACCAGGCTGTTACTGCTGGCTGCACGCAATCCAACGTACGAGCCACAGCCCGGCTGGTCAGGTACCGACTTTAGGTGCTTGTCCAGTCCAGTTTATCAATTAAACTTTATAATAGGGATACACAAATAACCCGCACATAAAAGAGAGAAGCTTACGAAGACGTTTCGGTCCGACTTGGACCATTGACAAAGTCACTTTGTCAATGGTCCAAGTCGGACCGAAACGTCGTCGTAAGCTTCTCTCTTTTATGTGCGGGTTATTTGTGTATCGTTCCAGTCACGGTATTGTGCCTTTTTGTTATTTATAAAAGGGATGTATGTAAATGAAAAATGACATATACATATACATATACATATACATATACATATACATATACATATACATATAGGGTTTGCTACTATCAGTGGTGTAGGTGTCTGCAGCATGTCCTTGGAATGTATCCACAATGGATATGGGGGTCCTACTGTACAATGGACAAAGTTTGTTCATTACAGAATTGCTTCTTGTTACAATCACATCAAAACAATGCTTCCTTTCTCCAGCATGTTCATGTTTATTTCAGATAATAACATGGTAACGGAGAACTCGGAAATTCCTTCAGACGTGACCTCTAACACCCAGAGCTCCTTTCAACCTCTAGCTCAACCTGCAGTCACTGGAGGTAAGTGTTATTGCTAGTTCTTGAAGGACCAGTATCTGATGAACAAGAAATGTGAAGTGTACGTAGCAGAGGATATACTGCCAGTACCTATATACCACCTAGGTAGTAGGTTGGTAGACAACAACCGCCCAGGGAGGTACTACCGTCCTGCCAAGTGAGTGTAAAACGAAAGCCTGTAATTGTTTTACATGATGGTAGGATTGCTGGTGTCCATTTTTCTGTCTCACAAACACGCAAGGTTTCAGGTACGTCTTGCTACTTCTACTTAGGTCACACTACACATACATGTACAAGCATATATATACACACCCCGCTGGATTTTCTTCTATTTTCTTACTAGTTCTTGTTCTTGTTTATTTCCTCTTATCTTCATGGGGAAGTGGAACAGAATTCTTCCTCCGTAAGCCATGTGTGTTATAAGAGGCGACTAAAATGCCGGGAGCAAGGGGCTAGTAACCCCTTCTCCTGTATATATTACTAAATGTAAAAGGAGAAACTTTCATTTTTTCTTTTGGGTCGCCCCGCCTCGGAGGGATACGGCCGGTGTGTTGAAAGAAAGAAGACCTATATATCAGGGCTAGTCAGTTGGTGGCCCACAGTCCGAATCTGGACCCTCTGAGTGTTGTAGTTGGATCACAGGCTTTAGGAGAAAGCTTAGTTAAATAACAGCTGTTGCCATATTCAGGATCAGGTGGTACTCAAGAGCAAGATTAATACATTATTTTATCTGAATGGACTACATACACTGAATGGAATACAGTATTGTAGCATAGCTAAACACTGATATTTTCTTCCATTCAGTGGTAATTCATATTGGTAATTATCACTTGTGCAATGAAGTTAACTTTTTTTGGCATTTTAGAAGAAGAGTTTGGATGCATATGGGCTGGGAAAAAAATATATCTGGACCTCTGCATACATTGGTACTTGTCCAAGTGGACCTTTGCTCATAGTAGTTGAGTAGCCCTGCTATATACCATCCTGTAGAGAGGATTCAATGAAATAGAATGACTTCGAGAGTGTATAAATCTGTAGTGGAGGGAAGGTGGGGTAGGGGTCAGCCTAGGAAAGGTTGGAGGGAGGGGGGTAAGGGAGGTTTTGTGTGGAGGAGCTTGGACTTCCAGCAAGCATGCATGAGCATGTTAGTGGTTTTTAGGACTTGACGTGCTGTTGGAGTGTAAGCAAGGTAACATTTATGAAGGGATTCAGGGAAACCAGCAGGCAGGACTTGAATCCTGGAGATGGGAAGTACAGTGTCTGCACTCTGAAGGAGGGGTGTTAATGTTGCAGTTTTATAACTGTAATGTAAGCGCACCTCTGGTGTGGCGGCCTCCTGCCAAACTAGTGGCTAGATTGTTAACCTGCCGGCCTGCAGTACCACTGGGTACGTCATCAAATCCAATGTGGGGACTGTTGAGCTGGCCTTAGAAGCAGTATTTACCAGACCACCTTACGGTATACATCTACTGGTAGTAGAAAGTATTCACCTGAACACCTTACGGTGTATATCTACTGGTCTTAGAAGCAGTATTCACCTGACCACCTTACGGTATACATCTACTGGCAGTAGAGAGTATCAACCAGATCATCTTATGGTATACATCTACTGGCCTTGTAGAGAGTATTCACCAAACTACCTCATGGAGTACATTTGAAAGTGATGTCTATGGACTCACTGCTGACTTCAGTCAACTGCGGGCCTCCTGGCTGCAGTTACTTGTCACTCAGATTCCTGCGAACTTCAGTTACCTGAGGGCTTCGCTTAGTCTGCTGGCTTCAGTTATTGTGGGCCTCAGGACTTGGTTACCTGTGGGCCTTTGGTTGTAGTTTTACTAGCCAGTTTTGCAGACTTCGACCTGTGGGCCTTGGTGAACTTTGCTGATCTAAGGGAGTGTAGTGTTTGGCTGTCTTCTGAAGAGAAAGACGCTATGCGGGTGACACAGCCGAGAAAGAGTTATAACAGAGATAAGGGTGTCATGTGACACAGTAGAGATGGCGTGTGTGACGCAGAGACAAGGGTGTCATGTGGACACGGTAGAGGAGTGTCGTGTGACACAGAGATAAGGGTGTCGTGTGACACGGAGAGAAGGAGCGTCATAACACAGACATGGGTGTCATGTGACACGGTAGAGAAAGTGTTATAATACTGAGAAAGGAGTGTAGTATAACTCCGTGTAACTAGTGTAGTATGACTGAGTGTGACACAGTAGTGTCAGGAACGTTGTACCCTGTGTGTGGTAGGGTCATGACTTGATTATAATTTATTATTTTAGGATTTATATATATATATATATTCGTACAAAGATGTTAATTATAATTTATTATTGTAACATGTATATTTTTTTTTTTTTTTCAACAAGTTGGTCGTCTCCCACCGAGGCAGGGTGACCGAAAAAAAGAAAGAAAATCCCCAAAAAGAAAATACTTTCATCATCATTCAACACTTTCACCACACTCACACATTATCACTGCTTTTGCAGAGGTGCTCAGAACACAACAGTTTAGAAGCATATACGTATACAGATACACAACATATCCCTCCAAACTGCCAATATCCCAAACCACTCCTTTAAAGTGCAGGCATTGTACTTCCCATTTCCAGGACTCAAGTCCGACTATATGAAAATAACCGGTTTCCCTGAATCCCTTCACTAAATATTACCCTGCTCACACTCCAACAGATCGTCAGGACCCAAGTACCATTCGTCTCCATTCACTCCTATCTAACACGCTCATGCACCAAAGATAATAGGTTTTTATCAGATGTTAATATATTAAAAATTATTTATTATAGAATACTTGACGTGCTGTTGGAGTGTGAGCAAAGTAACATTTATGAAGGGATTCAGGGAAACCGGCAGGCCGGACTTGAGTCCTGGAGATGGGAAGTACGGTGCCTGCACTCTGAAGGAGGGGTGTTAATGTTGCAGTTTAAAAACTGTAGTGTAAAGCACCCTTCTGGCAAGACAGTGATGGAGTGAATCATGGTGAAAGTTTTTCTTTTTCGGGCCACCCTGCCTTGGTGGGAATCGGCCAGTGTGATAATAAAAAAAATAAAAACCTGTAGACCAAAGGTTGTTTTTATATGATAGTAAAAATTATCAATTTTTTATGTTTATTGAGTATCCCGAACTCTCATATTACTGCACTAGTATAAGCCTAACTAGTGTTTTTGTAATATCTGGCAAGACAGTAATGGAGTGAATGATGATGAAAGTTTTTCTTTTTCAGGCCACCCTGTGGTGGGAAACAGCTGATGTGTTAATAAAAAAAAATATAATCTACAAAGTACCCCAGTAAATGCCATCAATATCTACATAGCATCCCAGTGAAAGCTATTAGTACCTACATACCAACCCAGTGAATGCAACCAGTACCTATGTAGCACCCCATTAAATCGCCAGAATTTGTCACAGTATTAGTTAGTTTTTTTTAGTTTAATATGTTTATTATGCCCCCCATACCCATCCTGTGGGCAGTAGTCAAAAGATTACAGAGGTACATAATGGGTCCAGGGACTGGGCCTCAAAGTTTTGATAGCTGAGCAAGTTACAGAGGTAATGAACTCACAATTTACAAAGGTAATGAACTCACAATTTACAAAGGTAATGAACTCCAGGTAGGTCTAGTCACAATCATGACAAGTGGCAACAGCAAGATAAACTTTTATGTTTTGGTTGCAGCCCTGGGTGTGGAAATCTCACATTGTATTTACATTTTTATATTTTATTAATAAGTGTATAAATTTTCACCCCTTGTACATAAACGTTTATGTCGTATGTGTAAATTTTTACCCTTTGTGTATAAATTTTTATCCTGTCATATTAGTTCTGAGAGTTTTTCTGTTCCCAGAGCCTGGCCTGGGACCAGGCTTGTCAGGCTCACTAGGTATGAGCCAGGCTCGTCAGGCAAGGGTCAGGCTCACTAGGCATGAGCCAGGCTTGTCAGGCAAGGGTCAGGCTCACTAGGTATGATCCAGGCTTGTCAGGCAAGGGTCAGGCTCACTAGGTATGAGCCAGGCTCGTCAGGCAAGGGTCAGGCTCACTAGGCATGAGCCAGGCTTGTCAGGCTCACTAGGTATGATCCAGGCTTGTCAGGCAAGGGTCAGGCTCACTAGGTATGAGCCAGGCTCGTCAGGCAAGGGTCAGGCTCACTAGGCATGAGCCAGGCTTGTCAGGCAAGGGTCAGGCTCACTAGGTATGATCCAGGCTTGTCAGGCAAGGGTCAGGCTCACTAGGTATGAGCCAGGCTTGTCAGGCAAGGGTCAGGCTCACTAGGTATGAGCCAGGCTCGTCAGGCAAGGGTCAGACTCACTAGGTATGAGCCAGGCTTGTCAGGCAAGGGTCAGGCTCACTAGGTTATGAGCCAGGCTCGTCAGGCAAGGGTCAGGCTCACTAGGTATGAGCCAGGCTCATCAGGCAAGGGTCAGGCTCACTAGGTATGAGCCAGTCTCTTCAGGCAAGAGTCAGGCTCACTAGGTATGAGCCAGGCTCTTCAGGCAAGAGTCAGGCTCGCTAGGTATGAGCCAGGCTCACTAGGTATGAGCCAGGCTCATCAGGCAAGAGTCAGGCTCACTAGGTATGAGCCAGGCTTGTCAGGCAAGGGTCAGGCTCACTAGGTATGAGCCAGGCTCATCAGGCAAGAGTCAGGCTCACTAGGTATGAGCCAGGCTCATCAGGCAAGAGTCAGGCTCACTAGGTATGAGCCAGGCTCATCAGGCAAGAGTCAGGCTCACTAGGTATGAGCCAGGCTCATTAGGCAAGAGTCAGGCTCACTAGGTATGAGCCAGGCTCATCAGGCAAGAGTCAGGCTCACTAGGTATGAGCCAGGCTCATCAGGCAAGAGTCAGGCTCACTAGGTATGAGCCAGGCTCATCAGGCAAGAGTCAGGCTCACTAGGTATGAGCCAGGCTCATCAGGCAAGAGTCAGGCTCACTAGGTATGAGCCAGGCTCATCAGGCAAGAGTCAGGCTCACTAGGTATGAGCCAGGCTCATCAGGCAAGAGTCAGGCTCACTAGGTATGAGCCAGGCTCGTCAGGCAAGGGTCAGGCTCACTAGGTATGAGCCAGGCTCGTCAGGCAAGGGTCAGGCTCACTAGGTATGAGCCAGGCTCATCAGGCATGCATCAGACAAACCTGGACCAAGACCAGACTCTTGGGGTAGAAAAATTCTTATAACTCGTCAAAGATAAACCAAAAAAACTGAATTCATTTGTTAATTTCAGATAACACTGAGGATGAGAGTGTGGTATTCCCTTCAAAATTGCCCTCCAGCACCCAGATCTCCCCTCAATCTCAGCCTCGAGTTGCAGCCACTCAAGGTTAGTACAGTAAGTCCTTGAATTACGAACATATTGGGGACCTCCTGAATTGTGTATGATAATGATGTACAGAATGATATGCGCAATACAGAAGATTCTCAGCATGTTTGTAAGTCAAGGACTTGTAGTATTCAGCTTTGTATTGAAGGGCCAGGGACTCACTCGTAACAGCATGATTGCAAACGAGTCACAGAACTTCCCTTCAAGGTTTAGTATTCCCCTGTCATGAGTTTGAACCCCCACCTGTTCTGTGGTTTAGAAAGGCCCCCTGGCTGACAAACTAGGGATGCAAAATACAAGATTTTTTAGATTTTGTCGCCATAGTGGTTAGTGTATTATGCACCCCATGTCCATCCTGGGGTGCACAATAAACTAGCCACTTCGGTGGCAAAAATCTAAATCATCTATTAAAATTGTCACAATTTGTCTTACATAGGGTTTTATCAGTACAGTGGACCCCCGGTTAACGAACTTTTTTCACTCCAGAAGTATGTTCAGGTGCCAGTACTGACCGAATTTGTTCCCATAAGGAATATTGTGAAGTAGATTAGCCCATTTCAGACCCCCAAACATACACGTACAAACGCACTTACATAAATACACTTACATAATTGGTCGCATTTGGAGGTGATCGTTATGCGGGGGTCCACTGTATGTTTTTTCATTTTAAGAAATATTCATCTCATGTGTTTTATTGGAAAATAATTATAATAATAATATATGAGAAGATCGTAGTAGGTGATATTAAATTTTCGATGGGCTTTTTCAGTTTCTTTCACAAACAGTTGCACTTTATAGGTGAGCTTTAAAAGAGCACTTGCACAGGACAAAATCTTTTGGGCCATTTAATTCGGAAACAGTGGACAAAGGTTGTTCGTTTACAGAATTGTTCTTTGTTACAATCACATCAAAACAATACTTCCTTTCACCAGCATTCGCATATTATGGCCTCGTGTTTATTTCAGATAATAACATGGAAACGGAGAACTCGGAAATTCCTTCAGACGTGACCTCTAACACCCAGAGCTCCTTTCAACCTCTAGCTCAACCTGCAGTCACTGGAGGTAAGTGTTATTACTAGTTCTTGAAGGACCAGTATCTGATGAACAAGAAATGTGAAGTGTAAGTTGGAGAGGATATACTACCAGTACCTATTTTTACCATCCTGGTCATTGTTACTGTACCTATTTTTACCACTGGTAAATGTTACCAGTATCTACTTAGCACCCCAGTCAATACCAATACATACATACATTGCGTGCACTCTGAAGGAGGGGTGTTGATATGTTGCAGTTTTTTAACAGTAGTGTAGATGCACTTCTTGCAAGACAGAGATGGAGTGAATGATGATGAAAGTGTTTCTTCTTCTTTTGAGTCACCCTGCCTGGGTGGGAAACAGCCAGTGTGTTAATAATAAAAAAAATTAACCCTACAAACTACTGCAGTACATGCTACCAGTACTTACGTAGCAACCCAGTAAATCACCAAAATTTGTAACAATGTTAAGAGTTTAGAGGTTTCTTTAGAACATAGTAGCGGATAGATCCAAAATAAGCCGTAATAAATGACTGTTGACAAATAAACATTGAATGGATGGAAATTGAACTGTGTGTGCGTATAGCACGGTTAAAGTGTTGGGCGAGCTACATGCATGAGCCATGGCTCAAGTTCCCCATCTCTTATTTTGTGTACTCATAGTACCGCCTCTCCTCACTTAATGACGGAGTTCCGTTCCTAAGACCACATCAGTAAACAAATTCGTCACTAAGTGAGGAGCATACTATAATGGTAGTGGGTTTGTGTCAACCATCTTAGATATTGTTTTAATGTCACCTTTGCATCATTTATAATATTTCTGGTATATTTTTAAATGTTTGTACAGCAGTGTACTGTATATTGTAATAAACAGAATTTAGGAAATCAGCTCTAATATACATTATTTAGGTATGCATACTGGTCAGAGAGCCCATCGTAAGTCCGAGTCAACAATAAGTGAGTACGTCACTAAGTGAGGAGAGGCTGTAATAGCTGCCTGCAGTTATATATCTGTGCTTGAGCAAAGGAAGATATTTAGGGACTCCACATTTGTCATATCTGTGGAGTCATAATGAAATGTGTTTTCTGGCACAGATGATCACTCTGGCAATGTGGGTATACCTACTTCTGACAGTGGTTGCAGTGGTGAGAAGAGTGGTGTAGTCCTCAAACCTTCGACCATGCCTTGTTCTACGAAGATACGTGTTCCCACAAGCAGTAAGGCCTTGTCTAGTTATTATATGTAGATACTAGTACTGCAAGCTGGACAGTTTGACAAGTTATTCATTGTACAGTAGGGCCCCACTTATACGGTGGGTTAGGTTCCAGGCTGTCGCCGGAAAGCAGACATCGCCGGAAGGCAGAACGCCATTTTTTCCATGTATAAATCCATATAAATGCCAGACAACAAGTTTACACTAAATTATATAGAGTTAGTAACAGAACTAGGCATTAAAAACACACAAAATAAAACACATTCACAGTACACTCATTACTTTTCTTAAAGTATTTGTAATCTTAATGTAGGGAGAGAGGTGAGTAGTACTTATTTGTAGGAAGTCAGGTGCAGGTAGCCCAGGTGTAGGTAGCCCAGGTGTAGGTAGCCCTGGCTCCCCGTCTCATACTTAATATACGATATTTAAAACATCCCAGAGAGGCAAAATACACATACAGTACACTCATTATTTACCTTAAAATATGTGTAGTCTTAATATAGGAAGAGAGGTGAGTAGTATTTATTTGTAGGAAGTCAGTGTATGTAGCCGGTAGGTGTAGCCTGGGCTACGCCTACCGGCTACCTACACTGTGGCCCAGAGCCATATTATTAACATCAACATACCTTGTTCACTGAATTTAATCATTTCTAACAACTACCTTTAGGTGCCATCATAAACGAAGGGAGAAGTGATGAATAATTCATGCCGAAAATTGTAAACAAAAGCGAAGTGGGGGAGTGGCTGGGCCAACGCAGATTCATACACGTTTTCTCTGATGGCTGAGCAGAGAAAATGTAATGTTGTCCCTCCACCCGGCTACCACACAGCTCTACAAGCATTATTATCAGAGCACACATAAAATATGCAATAAATGCCAGACAACAAGTTTACACTAACTTATATTAAGTTAGCAATATTATTATTATTATAATCAAGGGGGAAGCGCTAAACCCGTAGGATTATACAGCGCCTGTGGGGGGGGGGATGTGGAAGGCATTCAGGCTTAATTCGGGGAACTGGAGCACAGATCCAATTCCCTAAATCAAGAGCCCCTCACCAACGTCAAAGTTAGCAATAGAAATAGGCATTAAAAACACAATAAAAGGTAAGATATACACAGAGTACACTTATTACTTACCTTAAAATATTAATATTAATGTGTGAGAGGTGAGTGGCAGGTTGTTTATTGAATAAAATCAGAATGGCACACCATCATCCTCTAACTTGCCACTTAAAGCAAGAGGCTTACGACTTCTCTTTTTATTATAGCTAACCTTAGACGCCATCGTCAATGAGAGCCAACTAGTTAACGAAAGAGTAAACGAGAGAGAGAACGAGATACAGAGTTGAGACAATGTAAGAACACAAACTGAACAGGTAGTGGGCGATCACTTGGTCAGGCGAAATAAATGCGTATTAATATGTGTCTACTTTTAGTTCATTCACGTACGTTTGTAAGAGTTTGTAAAACATTTACCTCAATATTATTTTATAATAATAATTACCTGACAATACAAATACTTTTACATTGTGTACAAGTTAGTTCAGAATAAACAAACAGTAACACACCATTTTTAGAGTGAATGAAGATAATAATAATAATAATAATAATAATAATATTATTATTATTATTATTATTATAATAAAAAGCACTAAACCCACAAGGGTCGTGAATTGCTATAGAGTAAAGGCATATGAAAAGAACATTTTTCTACAGTTATCCCCCAGTTTGACTAGAGAAAACGTAATTCTTCCGACACTACCTACACAGCTGCTTTGTAAACAAATCTCATATTTACGTTAATTTTTATTCTGTGAGTGTATGTATCATGTTTATATGCTACGTTATGGGTTTCATATATAATTTTGAGGAAAATATCATAGATGGATTAATGAAAATGCCTATAATAATGTAAAATAAGACATTTAGTGTGCCCAAGAGTGATTATTATTACGTAGTATTGGCGTCATGAGTAGAGAGAGACTTAGCGATTTTAATGTGTACCTGCACACCAGCACAGTATGTAAGTATATTTAGGTACAGGTACACATAAGTATAATTATCAGAGTACATATAAAATACGCAGTAACTTTAAAACACTTGAAATTTTGGAAAATTTCCTGACATAATAGATGTGGTTATGGAGAATGTAAACAAACCGGGTGGGGGCGCTGTATTTGAAAGACCGCTTGCCATATAGCAAATTTTGGTCATAGTTTGACATCGCCGTATTAGCGGAATGCCATAAAGCGGGGCCCTACTGTATGTAGATACTTGTACTGCAAGCTGGACAGTTTGACCAGTTATTGGTGAAGGGCTCTTGATTCAAGATATCAGAGCTATCTTTCCCCTTGGATCAAATTTGACTGCCTCCCATTTTCCAGGCACTATGAATTAGACATTCACAACACCTGCTTATGTTTATATGTAGGTGTTTTGTCAACCAGCATCTTTACCATGACAAATATACCCAGGTGTCTCACGTGTCTAATTCAACTTGTCGTTATTGTATACCATTGATATAAAGCCACTCTAACTTTATTACTGTAATTACCTCAAATTTTTGAGGTGCTGTATTACCCCTACACATTTTGTACTTCCCCATGAATATCATAATCTTCCTTTCCCAGTTATGGCCTCAATAGCTTTAGTAGTTAATACACAAATAACCCACACATAGGAGAAAGGAGCTTATGACGACATTTTGGTCCTATGTGTGGGTTAGTTGTGTATTGTTCCAGTCCCGGTATTGTGCCTTTTTGTTACTCAGTAATTAACATTGAATATATTAACAAATAGTCCACACTTGGGAAAGGAAACAGATGTAGTCTGTTATCAGGTCACAGGTTGTAACTCAATATTGGTCCACAGTGGACTGAAATAAGCAAAATTACGTCTCCGAAAGTGTGGATCATTTGCGAGTTGTTTGAGCCACAGTATTGACTTTTATTCTGTAATGCTTGTTTCACTTAAATGTTACATACTGTTCTAATAATTGTAAGTTATTTGCTGTTTAGAGTGACATCTAAACTGTCGTATCTGCACACCTCTGGCAAGACAGTGATAGTGTGAATGATGGTGAAAGTATTTCTTTTTCGGGTCACCCTGCCACGATTAGAGACAGCCACCACATTAAAAAAAGTTATTATTATCACAGTGGTACCCCAAGTTTCGGCCATAATTCGTTCCAGAAGGTTGTTCAAGTGCCATTACCAAACGAATTTGTTCCCATAAGGAATAATAAATTAGATTAGTCCGTTTCAGACCCCCAAAAATACACTTACAAAAGCACTTACATAATTGTTCGAGTTGGGAGCCGGTCGTAACTCGTGGTACCACTGTATATTAATATAATTATTATTCTTATAATTTATTTTAGTGAGCAAGGGGCTAGTAACCCCTTCTCCCGTATAAATTACTAAATTTAAGAGAAACTTTCGTTTTTCTTTTTGGGCCACCCTGCTTGGGTGGGATACGGCCGGTGTGTTGAAAGAAAGAAAGAAAGAATTTTATTTTAATTTTGTAAGATGGCTGGTATCTCTCATTTCCAAACACTTTCAGAGAACATCCCTCTTCGCAAAAAACAACCTGTAAAACGAAAGCTCAACATGGAGACACCGTCTACAAGCGCCGGACACACAACAGTGACTCCCAACATAAAAAAAATTATAACAGGTGAGGAGCATAAAGCTATTTGTTAGTTTTTGTGGCTTTGAGTTGATAAGAAACCTTTGATTTGCTGGCATCTTAATATTATCATAATCTTTTTTTCAGCATGATAGTGTTAGTCCAGAGATGGATGATATTTAGGGGTGCATACAGAAAGCCCCTTTATATACAGTATCTCTGGCAAATTTAAACTTATCCCTTAAACTGTCCAGACGTAGGTCTACGTTCACTCGCCTACTGCTCCGAACGTAGATCTACGTTCACTCGCGTACTGCTCCGAACGTAGATCTACGTTCACTCGCGTACTGCTCCAAACGTAGATCTACGTTCAATTTTACATGCTTTATGTAAAAACAAAATGTAGATCTACGTTCGAAGCACTATGTGAGTGAACACAGATCTACAGTGGACCCCCGGTTAATGATATTTTTTCACTCCAGAAGTATGTTCAGGTGCCAGTACTGACCGAATTTGTTCCCATAAGGAGTATTGTGAAGTAGATTAGTCCATTTCAGACCCCCAAACATACACGTACAAACGCTCTTACATAAATACACTTACATAATTGGTCACATTCGGAGGTGATCGTTATGCGGGGGTCCACTGTACATTTGGACAGTTTGAGAGTTAAAAAGGCAATAACTAATTCATTGCTTATATGTACTATATAACATTATACAGGGTGTTTCAAAAGGATGGAACCAATTTCAAAGTATACCGCTCTAAATTGGGTCTATCTTTTTAAAGCACCCTGTTTATCACCATTTTGTGAAGGTTCAGTAAAACTTAACTATAATAGACTTTAGAAATAAATTGTACATGTAAGGGGTGTTAATGCTGCAGTTTTATAACTGTAGTGTAAAGCACCCTTCTGGCAAGACAGTGATGGAGTGAATGATGGTGAAAATTTTTCTTTTTCGGGCCACCCTGCCTTGGTGGGAATCGGCCGATGTGTTAATAATAATAAAAAAAAAAAACAATGTAAGTCCTTTATTTTCAGTATTTATGATGGTATATCAGTCTTCCATAAACAGTGGTCATTGCTATCTAAATTTAAATGAATAAAGGTAAATCAGGGAGGAAGGTGCTAGTAACACCTTCTCCTGTATGAATTACTAAATTTAAGAAGAAACTTTTTTCTTTCGTTTGGTTTTTCTTTTCAGGTCACCCTGCCGTGGTGGGATATAGCCGGTTTGTAAAAAAAAATCTGTAAACAGTGTACAATGCTATATAGTGGACCCTCGCATAATGTTGGCATCACATAACGTTAAATTCGCATAACGATACTTTTAATGCTAATATTTTCCCTCGGATAACGTTAAAAAACTCGCTTAACGATATTCGTTCTCGGGTACCAATTAATATCGTTATGCGAGGGTCCACTGTATAAGTATTTAGTTGTATGCCTTTTTTTTTTATATATATATAACACAATTTGACGGACACTCCGTTAATCGCCCATTAGTACGTCCAGGATTTAACAGGTTTCAGTAGTTACAGAATTACATTTATTAATAGTCACTTGAACAATCTTACCTTATCATCCACCGCAGTTGCTATTACCGGCCACCTGCTCCCGCACCCCCATTACTCCGTTAAGAGAGAGATTTCGTTAGGATTTTTAACCCCGGAGGGTTAGCCACCCAGGAAAGTCAGTGCGTCATCGAGGACTGTCTAACTTATTTCCATTGGGGTCCTTAATCTTGTCCCCCAGGATGCGACCCACACCAGTCGACTAACACCCAGGTACCTATTTGCTGCTAGGTGAACAGGACAACAGGTGTAAGGAAATGTGTCGAAATGTTTCCACCCGCCGGGAATCGAACCCGGGCCCTCCGTGTGTGAAGCGGGAGCTTTAGCCACCAGGCCACCGGGTCACCGTTACATCTCAGCTTTACTGTAATGAGTTGGGTAAGGAGTTCTGTGAACCAAATTTTTTTTTTTTTTTTCACTTTGTGGCTAAGTCAGTATATTGTAAACTTGCTATTGTAAGGATGCTAGTTTGCTTCCCAAAACACCTTATACAAAAAAAACATTTTGATATTGCCTTTGTGTTATTTCCACGTCTCTTCGAAGAGGGAGGACAGAGAGAATTTAGACCTGTACGTGTACTTCCCTTAGATCCAATTTCATTACTCTCCAGGCATTGTATGACCCCTATGGGCTTAGTGCTTCCCTATTACTATAATGTAGTAATTTTCTTTCTTCTAGCAAACCAGCCATATCCCACCGAGACAGGGTGACCCAAAAAGAAAAATGAATGTTTCTTCTTTTAAATTTAGTAATATATACAGGAGAAGGGGTTACTTAATGTAATGATAATCATTTTATAATGGTAACTTAGAAATAATTTATAATTTTTTTTTTCAGTTGTGGACGAAGGGTTTGTTGATATCACCTTCTCAAGCCTTCTTGCTCGGAGCGCTTGTGGGACGTTGTACAGAGTGCATGCGTACATCACTGAATTATTCAGTCTCACCTCCAGGGTCTGCACTCGCTGTAATAATGGTAGGTTTCGACCTCATTATATGAAAGCATTCATTCAGACCCCAGTATGCATTTATTCAAATTCCAGTATGCATTTCAGACCCCAGTATGCTTTTCAGACCCCAGTATGCATTTCAGACCCCAGTATGCATTTATTCAAATCCCAGTATGCATTTCAGACCCCAGTATGCATTTATTCAAATCCCAGTATGCATTTCAGACCCCAGTATGCATTTATTCAAATCCCAGTATGCATTTCAGACCCCAGTATGCATTTATTCAAATCCCAGTATGCATTTCAGACCCCAGTATGCATTTATTCAAATCCCAGTATGCATTTCAGACCCCAGTATGCATTTATTCAAATCCCAGTATGCATTTCAGACCCCAGTATGCATTTATTCAGATCCCAGTATGCATTTCAGACCCCAGTATGCATTTATTCAAATCCCAGTATGCATTTCAGACCCCAGTATGCATTTATTCAAATCCCAGTATGCATTTCAGACCCCAGTATGCATTTATTCAAATCCCAGTATACATTTCAGACCCCAGTATGCATTTATTCAGATCCCAGTATGCATTTCAGACCCCAGTATGCATTTATTCAAATCCCAGTATGCATTTCAGACCCCAGTATGCATTTATTCAAATCCCAGTATGCATTTCAGACCCCAGTATGCATTTATTCAAATCCCAGTATGCATTTCAGACCCCAGTATGCATTTCAGACCCCAGTATGCATTTATTCAAATCCCAGTATGCATTTCAGACCCCAGTATGCATTTCAGACCCTAGTATGCATTTCAGACCCCAGTATGCATTTCAGACCCCAGTATGCATTTCAGACCCCAGTATGCATTTCAGACCCCAGTATGCATTTCAGACCCCAGTATGCATTTCAGACCCAAGTATGCATTTCAGACCCCAGTATACATTCAGTCAGACTTCAGTGTACATTCAGTCAGACTTCAGTGTACATTCAGTCAGACTTCAGTGTACATTCAGCCAGACTTCAGTATACATTCAGTCAGACTTCAGTATACATTCAGTCAGACTTCAGTATACATTCAGCCAGACTTCAGTATACATTCAGTCAGACTTCAGTATACATTCAGCCAGACCCCAGTATACATTCAGCCAGACTTCAGTATACATTCAGTCAGACTTCAGTGTACATTCAGCCAGACTTCAGTATACATTTAGTCAGACTTCAGTATACATTCAGCCAGACCCCAGTATACATTCAGTCAGACTTCAGTATACATTCAGTCAGACTTCAGTGTACATTCAGCCAGACTTCAGTATACATTCAGTCAGACTTCAGTATACATTCAGCCAGACCCCAGTATACATTCAGTCAGACTTCAGTATACATTCAGCCAGACTTCAGTATACATTCAGCCAGACTTCAGTATACATTCAGCCAGACTTCAGTATACATTCAGCCAGACCCCAGTATACATTCAGTCAGACTTCAGTGTACATTCAGTCAGACTTCAGTGTACATTCAGTCAGACTTCAGTGTACATTCAGTCAGACTTCAGTGTACATTCAGCCAGACTTCAGTATACATTCAGCCAGACTTCAGTGTACATTCAGCCAGACTTCAGTATACATTCAGCCAGACTTCAGTGTACATTCAGCCAGACTTCAGTATACATTCAGTCAGACTTCAGTGTACATTCAGTCAGACTTCAGTATACATTCAGTCAGACTTCAGTGTACATTCAGCCAGACTTCAGTATACATTCAGTCAGACTTCAGTATACATTCAGTCAGACTTCAGTGTACATTCAGTCAGACTTCAGTGTACATTCAGTCAGACTTCAGTGTACATTCAGTCAGACTCCAGTATACATTCAGTCAGACTTCAGTATACATTCAGCCAGACTTCAGTGTACATTCACTCACACCACAATTTGCCGCTGGCAACACAGTGATGGAGTGAATGATGATGAAAGTGTTTCTTCTTTTAGTCACCTGCCTGGGCAGGAAATGGCCAATGTGTTAAGAAAAAAAAAAGCGTGAACATCCAGCAGACCTTGACGGCATAAGATTGAAAATGAGGGGAGGAAAACTATTTTTAGGATTTGCTGTGCTGTTGGAGTGTGGACAAAATAAATCAATGAAGGAATTCAGGAAAATAGGTTATGCAAGAAAGGTATAAAATACCGACAATATGAAAGTTAAGACACATGTACAACATCTGGGTATCTTTATTGTAGATGTTTCGCCATCCAGTGGCTTTATCAATACAGATTCTAGGACATAATTAGAAGACAGTAGAACCATATACAAAAGATGAGGTAATCAGTCCCTCAGCCTTGGAGTTAGTGTTCACAGCATTGTGGTGGAGGAGAATCTGTATTGATAAAGCCACTGGATGGCGAAATGTCTACAATAACGATATCCGGATGTTGCACATGTGTCTTAACTAAAATAGGCTATCCAAATTTCACTTCTGAAGGTGGGAAGTACAATGTCTGCACCTTGAAGGATAGATGGGGATGTTATAATTGTGAGGGTCATTTGAATTGTCAGACTATAGAAAACTTGTACCATTGAATAATATTTCTTATAGCTTCTGGTAAGACGTCAAAGAGTCATGGACCCCTGCTGTTAACTTTTTTTTTTTCCTAATTGTGGTTTTGGTGCCCCTGTGTTTCTGGCAAGATCCTGAGTACACAGTAATGGGCTGACTTTATTCAAATGGCCCTCTGTATCACAGCATCCCCACCTATCCCTCAGATGGTAAGCAGTGTATTTCCCACCTCGAGAACTAATATCAGCATCTCCACCTATCCCTCGTATGGCAGTGTATTTCCCACCTCGAAGACTAATATCAGGGTAACCTATCTCACCAAATTCCTTCATAAATGTTTCCTTGCTCACACCTCAACAGAAAATCAAATCTCAACTAGCACTCGTCTCTATACAGTAAACATGAAGTGGAAACCTGTTGAATGTTTTGCACTCTGGCAGGATTGATCTTTTATGTCTCATAAACATTTGAGATGATAAGTGAATCTTACAAATCTGTCAACAAACCGGCCATATCCCACTGAGGCAGGGTGGCCCAAAAAGAAAAACGAAAGTTTCTCTTTTTAAATTTAGTAGTGTATACAGGAGAAGGGGTTACTAGCTCCTTGCTCCCGGCATTTTAGTTGCCTCTTATGACATGAATGGCGTATGGAGGAAGAATTCTGTTCCACTTCTCCATGGAGAAAATCTTACAAATCTCTACTTATATTCAGTATACACTTAGTTTGTGCCTCTCAATAGTTCGTAATCCTACCACTACTTTCTCCACTTCCTTCTTCCTCTTCTAGTATATATACTGGCTCCCTTACCTTCGTGTGTTAGTGTTTGACTAGTTGATGGTCCAATTCGGACCAAAACGTCATCATAACTTTCTCTTATGTGTTCTTTAATCCTATAATATTTCCTTTCCTACCTAGGAGATCTGGTCTGAGACCAGTCCATGAGGAGGATAATCCCCAGAATGCTGATAACACAATAGGACCAACACAGATAAAAGGGAGTAAATCTGGCAAGTGGAAGATTAAGAGATACTCAGACTCTACCACATATAGGCAGGCACTCTGGTGTAACATGGTCACATGTCTTCTGGATGTTAACACCCACCCTGGGATATACCCTATCCTTCCTTCTATTCACCCCAGGTTTATACACAAAATTACTTTACCTGCCTTGTTTCGTTGTTCCTAATTTATACATTTTCGTAGTAAAGGAGTTGTATCGATTCACCTTGAATGACCCATGTTTCTTCATTTTTTTAAGTATAACATTAGCATAATAATAATAATAATAATAATAATAATAATAATAATAGCAGTTTGGAGGGATATGTTGTGTATCTTTATACGTATATGCTTCTAAACTGTTGTGTTCTGAGCACCTCTGCAAAAACAGTGATAATGTGTGAGTGAGGTGAAAGTGTTGAATGATGATGAAAGTATTTTCTTGTTGGGGATTTTCTTTCTTTTTTGGGTCACCCTGCCTCGGTGGGTCACCCTGCCTCGGTGGGTCACCCTGCCTCGGTGGGTCACCCTGCCTCGGTGGGTCACCCTGCCTGGGTGGGTCACCCTGCCTGGGTGGGTCACCCTGCCTCGGTGGGTCACCCTGCCTCGGTGGGTCACCCTGCCTCGGTGGGTCACCCTGCCTCGGTGGGAGACGGCCGACTTGTTGAAAAAAAAAAAAAAACATTAATAAATTCTGTAGCGTGATTTGACAACTCTTAATTTCTTAACACGCCGGCTGTCTCCCACCAAAGCAGGTTGACCCAAAAAAAAGAAACACTTTCACCATCATTCACACTGTCACCGTCTTGTCAGAAGTGCACAGATATGAGTGTCGTGATACATAATCAGTTACACAATACAGTGGACCCCCGCTTAACGATCACCTCCGAATGCGACCAATTATGTAAGTGTATTTATGTAAGTGCGTTTGTACGTGTATGTTTGGGGGTCTGAAATGGACTAATCTACTTCACAATATTCCTTATGGGAACAAATTCGGTCAGTACTGGCACCTGAACATACTTCTGGAGTGAAAAAATATCGTTAACCGGGGGTCCACTGTACTAAGGTTGTGTAGAAGAATAATCGTACCTAGGTTGGTTATTTACGGACTATTTAAATTGTGGTATTGTTTGCAGTTTATGGTTAAAATGGTGATTGACAGGGAGAATTAAGGGACTCCTTGATGCTATTGTAGGGCTCTTGATCCAAAGGAATTGGAGCTACCCTTCCATTCCTCAGATCAAACCCAATTACCTCTTTTTCCCAGGCACCGTATAACCCCTGTGGGTTTGGCTCCCTGTAAATATAATGATAATTTACTGGATAATGTACAGTGGTTTAATGACGATAAATAAGTATTAATGCACAAATAAACGGCACATAGGAGAGAAGCTTATGATGACATTTTGTTCCCACACGGGCAATTTATGATGATGTTTTGGTCCAAGTTGGACCAAAACATTGTCGTAAGCTTCTCTCTCCTATGTGCGGGTTATTTGTGTATTGCTCCAGTCACAGTATTGTGCCTTTTTGCCCTTAATAAATATCTGATTATATTGCTTTTACTTTTGTGATTGAAGGTTGTTTCTGTATCCACTTGTGGGTATGGGGTCTGTGTGAAGCATGTGGAGTGTGCACAGAGGGCGCGGCACTGCAGCGACTATACTCAAAGAACGACTTGCTTACACGTCGTACTCTTCATTGCCACGTGTGTCGTACACATTCCAGTAATGGTCGTATTAACCCCCAAGGTACGTGGATCAAGGAGGCTATTATGAATTTTGAGCTATAAGGGTGATAATGATAATTTGAATTTTAAACTGACGTAATAGGTTTTGACCCCACAACACATTGTCCCGCCTCAAGGGACAACACAACGTATATGTCACCTTATTCACTCCGCCATTGATCCAGGATCGACAATGGAGTGAATGAGGTGATACGTACGTTGTGTTGTCTCTTGAGGCGGGACAATGTGTCGTGGGGTCGAACCCTGGCCTGCTGCAGTTTGGTAAATGATTCAATATCACTTGTTTCGTGGTTTCATTGCTATAGTGACACATGTGTAAATTACCCATCAGGATAACACAAAAAAAGTCAAAGCAACTTATTTCCATTGTGGTTCTTGTAATATTTAAACCTTAAAAGTTATAACAGCTAAGTAACTCAGCTGTGTGAAAATCAGTTGCAATAAAAGGAGATGTACAGTGGACCCCCGCATAACGATCACCTCCGAATGCGACCAATTATGTAAGTATATTTATGTAAGTGCGTTTGTACGTGTTTGTTTGGGGGTCTGAAATAGACTAATCTACTTCACAATATTCCTTATGGGAACAAATTCGGTAAGTACTGGCACCTGAACATACTTATGGAGTGAAAAAATATCGTTAACCGGGGGTCCACTGTACTAGGAATAAGGTAAACTGAGTTGTTTACATTAACAGCATGGAGTGTACCAATGGATGAAAAATGGTTAATGTATCAAGAGTATGGGTGTGAGGTATGATCTTCACAGTATTGTAGTGTGGAGCAGCTGGAGGCGGTGATGATGTTGGCTTCAAATTAATCCGGTAGAAACTTGCGTATCCATAGGCACATGTGACTGAGTATGTTAGAAGTGATTGGAGACCAGACTTTTAAGATTTGATGTGCTGTTGGAGTGTGAGCATGTGAGAATATCTCATTAAGTTGGTCTGTTATGTGTTGTTTCCAATAGACTTATCTCTGGTTAGATCCATGTACAGTTGTTCTTATCTTTAAATGTTATGTAGTTATTATATGCATGAGGTACTACACTAGTAGAACCAAACAGTACCTGGGGAATGGATGGCAAACAATTTTAACCAGATGAAGAAGAGAGTAACTATTTCTTGGATTAATAACTGTTCACCGTTAAGGCACACTGAGGTGTTGCGTGTTCAGTCACATTGAGATTTAGGATGTAACAGGGAAGAACAAGCTTCCTAAATGAAAGAAAAGTTCTGTTGAGAGTATTTTGCAATATTATTAACTTAATTCTTGATTGGCAGGAAAGCCGAGTACTAGCACTGCAGAGTACCAGGGAACAGTTTCACCCATCGTTAGACTTGTTTTGTGTCTTAGAGACCCTGAGACTGGCTTTATAGGAAGGTTTAATGTCAGTGCCGACTCTGCAGAGCGTCTCTTGGGTAAGTTTAAGAAATCCACAGTTTGTAAATACAGTGGTACCCTGAGTTTCGTACAGCTCCCAATTCGAACAATTATGTAAGTGTATGATTGTAAGTGCTTTTGTAAGTGTGTTTTTGGGGGTCTGAAATGGACTAATCTAATTTACATTATTCTTTATGGGAACAAATTTGTTCAGTAATGGCACTCGAACAGCCTCCTGGAACGAATTATGTACGAAACTTGGGGGTACCACTGTATAACAAGAACCAGACTGGCTTTAGAGTTCAGTTTAACCAGCTGCATTTCTAGAGGTCTTGTGAATCTGGAATGAGTGAATAAGAATTTTTTTTTTTTTTCAACAAGTTGGCCGTCTCCCACCGAGGCAGGGTGACCCAAAAAGAAAGAAAATCCCCAAAAAGAAAATACACTCATCATCATTAAACAGTTTCACCACACTCACACATAATCACTGTTTTTGCAGAGGTGCTCAGAACACAACAGTTTAGAAGCATATACGTATAAAGATACACAACATATCCCTCCAAACTGCTAATATCCTGAAACCCCTCCTTTAGAGTGCAGGCATTGTACTTCCCATTTCCAGGACTCAAGTCCGGCTATATAAAAATAACCGGTTTCCCTGAATCCCTTCGCTAAATATTACCCTGCTCACACTCCAACAGATCGTCAGGTCCCAAATACCATTCGTCTCCATTCACTCCTATCAAACACGCTCATGCATGCCTGCTGGAAGTCCAAGCCCCTCACCCACAAAACCTCCCTTACCCCTTCCTTCCAACCTTTTTGAGGACGACCCCTACCCCGCCTTCCTTCTCCTACAGATTTAAATGCACTCCATGTCATTCTACTTTGATCCATTCTCTCTAAATGACCAAACCACCTCAACAACCCCTTTTCTGCCCTCTGACTAATACTTTTATTAACTCCACACCTTTTCCTAATTTCCACACTCCGAATTTTCTGCATAATATTTACACCACACATTGCCGTTAGACAGGACATCTCCACTGCCTCCAACTGCCTCCTCGCTGCTGCATTTACAACCCAAGCTTCACACCCATATAAGAGTGTTGGTACCACTATACTTTCATACATTCCCTTCTTTGCCTCCATAGATAACGTTTTTTGCCTCCACATATACCTCAACGCACCACTCACCTTTTTTCCCTCATCAATTCTATGATTAACCTCATCCTTCATAAATCCATCCGCCGACACGTCAACTCCCAAGTACAGTGGAACCTCAAAAATCGAACTGCTCCCAACACGACCAATTATGTAAATGTATTTTTGTAAGCGCTTTTATAAGTGTATTTTTGAGGGTCTGAAATGGACTAATCTAATTTACATTATTCCTGATGGGAATAAATTCATTCGGTAAAGGCACTTGAACAGCCTTCTGGACCGAAGAAAGTTCGATATTTGAGGTTCCACTGTATCTGAAAACATTCACTTCTTCCATACTCCTCCTCCCCAGTTTGATATCCAGTTTTTCTTTATCTGAATCATTTGATACTCTCTGTCCATATAATTGAAAAAATCAGGCTGTAAATATTGGCATTCCTATGAAAGAAAGTGCAAATATTGGAGGTTTGGCCATGGGAAATATATTGAGAATATTTTTTTACAAAATTGGCACCGAGAATAATTGTAGCTGTTCATTAGAGCTCTACTACTAAACTTAAATTTATTAAGCGAGATTGATGCATATTTTTAAAGCCGAGTTCCTGGGCCTTATATCCATATGCTCTTTTGAAGTAGAAAATATATTACCAATAATGCAGATGAGAGTGTACAAGTGTAGATGACTAGGACATTTTTTTAGATATGTGCCCCCTCAAGGGAGGTTCCTTGATGCTGGTGAGGGGCTTTTGACCTTGGGAATTGGATCTGTGCTCTTTTGCTTGAAGAGAATTTCAATTCCTTGATTTCATATTATTATTATAATCAAGGGGGAAGCGCTAAACCCGGAGGATTATACAGCGCCTGGGGGGGGGGATGTGGAAGGCATTCAGGCTTAATTCGGGGAACTGGAGCACAGATCCAATTCCCTAAATCAAGAGCCCCTCACCAACATCAAGGAACCTTCCTTGAGGGGCTTGATTTCATAGATGACTGGAACTGATGTTTTCACTTTCCAGGAGGAGTAACGCCCAAGTTTTCCTGGATAATTCAAGAAACTGAAGCACAGCTTCGTGAATTACTTGCAGCCATTCTCTCAGTTCAAGACCGATTGCATTTTGGTATCAAGAAGACAAGGACAAGCCAAGGGACTCCGCAGTACCTTGTAAGCAACACTTCTTTGCTCTTGATAGATGCATAGTTGGCTCCTATTTGATCTCTAAGGAGTGTGTTGCAGTTTTTATGCTAATTTTTATAAGGAAGAGTAGTTGTTATACTTTATTTTATTTTTTACCATGTTTAATTTGCTCAGCTGTTTCTCTGGAACACGAATTGTGAACTGAATTTAAGAAAAGAAAAAAATGGATTTTATATTTGATGCATTTTTTTTGTTGATCATTTTTTTTCATGCTAACCTTAACAGTGTCCATTATCACTCATTTTAATGTCACTTTTGTCTTGTGTTGCTAATCCATCCCCATCTGCGGATGTTTCCATTTCTACTTTTAAGAGTTGCTGATTACAAAGAGAATCTCTTGAATAACAAAAAAGGCACAATACCGTGACTGGAACGATACACAAATAACCCGCACATAAAAGAGAGAAGCTCACGACGACGTTTCGGTGTGACTTTGTAAATGGTCCAAGTCAGACCGAAACGTCGTCGTAAGCTTCTCTCTTTTATGTGCGGGTTATTTGTGTATAGAATCTCTTGATTTAGTTCTATAGAATTACCAGATCTGTAACATGCTTAATTGCAGTGCCTAGTTTTATTCAGCTTTGAGGTCTGTCTGGAATACTGGTTATTTCAGCTATGATATACCATGCTTACCTCTCCATCATCATCTTTCTCCCTCCCTTGTTCTTTCTTCTTTCAACGTACCAGCCATATCTCACTGAGGCGGGGCGGCCCAAAAGAAAAAACTAAAGTTTCTCCTTTTAAATTTAGTAATATATACAGGAGAAGGGGTTACTAGCCCCCTTGCCTCCCTTATTATTATATTATAATCATGGGGGAGTGCTGAACCCATAGGATTATACAGTGCATGGGGGGGGGGATGGAAGGTACTCGGGCTCAATTCAGGGAACCGAAGCATAGATACGATTCCCTAGATCATGAGCCCCTTGCCAGCATCAAGGGACCTCCCATGAGGGGCTCCCTTCCTTAGACTTCTGTTCCTTCTACCCACCTCCCTTTATTTTATGTACTCCTCTAGGGAGGCTCCTTAATGCTGGTAAGAGGCATGTAATACAAGGAATCAAGTTTATTCTCTCCTTCCTTGGGTTGATACTGATCGTCTTCCATCCCCGAGCACTGCATAAGTATGAATCTTGTACATTACAAGTAATGTGAAAAAATTAGTAACTTTTTTTAAACAATTCTCAGATGAATGGATAAACATATTACGTATAAGTTTAAAGTGTACAAATATAGAGGCGAGATATATTGACAGTAAGACAAAACCAGTTGTTATACATACTAGAGTTTTCATGAGTACAAATCGATAGTATTTTCTGATGTAAAGATAAGGCACTTGTAGTTTGTCATTTGCTAAAAAAACCATACCACGGGCGGGATTTGAACCCGCGGTCAGAGTCTTAAAACTCCAGACCGTCGCGTTAGCCACTGGACCAGCTAGCTGGTCCAGTAGCTAACGCGACGGTCGAGTTTTGAGACACTCTGACCGCGGGTTCAAATCCCGCCCGTGGTATGGTTTGTTTGCAATCGTGTCATTACGATTTTGTGTGTCTTTGCTATTTAGTAAGAGCGTATTGGAGTAATTAAGTATGCCTTTTCTGCAGCAGTGTAATAAGGTTACTGTTTCATCGTGCTGACCATCACATTACAACTGTGTACACTGTTGATTGCCTTGTCACTTTACAATTATAAATGATTTCAGTGATAATGATGTCATCTTGTGTGTGCAAAGGAAAATAACCTGGTTGAACAGATTGCTGTTGATCTCTTGTACCCTCAGTGGTTGTTCAGTATTATTACAATCAAAACTAAGTGCTAAACCCACTGGGGTCATCCAGTGGTTCTGGAAGAGTGTCGTAACTTCAGCAACTGGTTCACGGCTTTTAGGCATTTCACTGTACATTATTAAATTCAACGCATGTGTGGACCCTTGTGGGATTAGCACTTAATTTTGATTGTAATAATCAAAATATGCATTAAATCTGCATGAGTTATATGGCACAGTGGACAGGTATGTACAGAATAACAGTTAATGTTTACTGTACAGGTTGCTAGGCGCCCATATCTTGGTGTCAAGTAATGTAACTTTACATCTACTGTTCTACCTCAAGTCCAGCTCCTGACTCACTATGGTCATGCTGTGTATATATATATAAGTAGAATACGTAGAAAATTGAAATTGAACATAGATAAGAGTAAGGTGATGAGGGTATCCAACAATTTAGATAAAGAAAAATTGGATATCACATTGGAGAGAGTATGGAAGAAGTGAATGTTTTCAGATACCAACACTTATATGGGTGTGAAACATGGGTTGTAAATGCTGTAGCGAGGAGGAGGCTGGAGACAGTGGAGATGTTGTGTCTAGGAGCAATGTGTGGTGTAAATATTACGCAGGCATTGTACTTCCCATTTCCAGGACTCAAGTCTGGCTAACCGATTTCCCCGAATCCTTTCACAAAGTATTACCCTGCTCTTCACACTCCAACAGCTCGTCAGGTCCCAAAAACCATTCGTTTCCATTCACTCCTATCTAACACACTCACACGCACTTGCTGGAAGCTCAGGCCCCTCCGTCCAACCTTTTCAGGAACAACCCCTACCCTCGCCTTCTCTGCCCTACAGATTTATACGCTCTCCAAGTCATTCTACTTTGATCCATTTTCTCTAAATGACCAAACCACCTCAACAGCCCCTCTTCAGCACTCTGACTAATACTTTTAGTAACTCCACACCTTCTCCTAATTTACACACTACGAATTCTTTGCATAATATTTACACCACACATTGCTCTTAGACAGGATATCTCCACTGCTTCCAGCCACCTCCTCGCTGCTGCATTTACAACCCAAGCTTCACACCCATATAAGAGTGTTGGTACTACTATACTCTCATACATTCCCTTCTTTGCCTCCATGGATAATGTTCTGTCTCCACATATACCTCAACGCACCACTCACCTTTTTTCCTTCATCAATTCTATGGTTAACCTCATCCTTCATAAACCCATCCACTGACAAGTCAACTCCCAAATATCGGAAAACATTCACTTCTTCCATACTCCGTCCAATGTGATATCCAATTTTTCTTTATTTAACCCTTTGAGGGTTTTGGACGTACTAGTATGGCTTACGACCCAGGGTTTTTGACGTACTAGTACGCCTAAATTCTAGCGGCCTCAAATCTAGTGGGAGAAAGCTGGTAGGCCTACATATGAAAGAATGGGTCTATGTGGTCAGTGTGCACAGTATAAAAAAAATCCTGCAGCACACAGTACATAATGAGAAAAAAAAAACTGACCATTTTTTTTAATAAATCAGCGACTTTGCACTGTATTTTCGTATGGTATTTATTGTTGTATTCTAGTTTTCTTGGTCTCATTTTATAGAATGGAAGACATATTACAGAAATTGAGATGATTTTGACTGGTTTTACAATGAAAGGTGCCTTGAAATTGAGCTCAAAGTAGCAGAAATGTTCGATTTTTACCAAACTTCAAAAGTAAACAAATCATGCCAAGCGTGCAATACACGTCAACTGGTGAGTCTAATATTCTTTCACAAGTGCACCAATAATATTTATACCATTTTTTACACTAATGCAGTAGTCTGCATAACAGTAAATCTTATATTTTTTGTGAAAATAAAAATTCAAAGTGGAAAGCAAAAGAATATAAGAGGGGCCTTGAAACGTGACTAATGACTAGAGGAAATGTCATTTTAGTGCCAGGAATGTCTTTCTTGTTTATTCTGGACCCTATTCGGAAATTGGCATCTTTTGAAATTTGTGTGAAATTGGCAAAATTGCTAAATTCTGACCACTGTACTGGATAGTTGAATTTCATAAATGGGTGGTTTCTTGCACCCATTCGATAGAAAAAATGGAGTTCTAGCGAAATATTCATGTTTTTTGTCGACTAGTACAGTCGAATTGGCCGAAAATGGGGCTCAAAGTGGGCAAAATCGCCGATGCGTAAACATCGCCGAGACCGCTAACTTTGCGAAAGCATAATTCCGTAAGTTTTCCGTCAAATTTCAAACTTTTTGTGTCTTTATGATCAGGAAAAGATTCTCTATCTTTTCATAAGAGAAAATAATTTTTTTTTTTTTTTAAATTTGGCCGACCCTGAGAACGAGTTTCGGAGAGGGCCTGTCGACCCTCAAAGGGTTAAATCATTTGATACCCTCATCACCTATATTATCCATTTCTTAAGATTTCACATAAAATGGTCTAAACATAAATTTGGACATTTGGCTGTAATGGCCAAGTCTTACACCATTTTCTTACAGTCATGGGGTTATCGCTAAACCTGTACGGTTTATACAGTGCCTTGGGAATGGGGAAGCAACTCAATTCTTGCATCAAGAGCTTCTTGCCTGAAGCAGGAAACTCTTTTAGGGGTGATCTTCATGTAGTCACTAGACTAAGATTAAGACACATGTACAACAGTTGGGTATCTTTATTGATGAAATGTTTTGCCTACACAGTATACTTCTTCAGTCAAATGTGGAAGCAGCAGTAGTGATGAAATAAAGATGTAATCAGTCCATCAACCTTGGAGACAAAGTATTTGAGGTGGTCAGTCCCTCAGCCTGGAGAAGAGTTCAGCTCCATAGTCTCTTCTCCAGGCTGAGGGACTGACCACCTCAAATACTTTGTCTCCAAGGTTGGACTGATTACATCTTTATATCATTACTATTGCTGCTTCTGTATTTGAGGAAGCTTACTGTGTGGATCAAATTCTTCAACAATAAAGACACCCAACTGTTGCACGTGTTTTAATCTTCAACTTGTCAGTATTTTATACCATATTCGACAAAACGCACAACACCATGAACCGACCCGAGTGTGACATTACCACCATGGTATTATTGAAGATGCTGTGAAAAACAATCCTCAGATTCCTTGATGTTGGCAAGAGGCTCTTGATTCAAGGAATTGGACTTGTCTTTCCTTTCCCCAGATGACCCCTACTGGTTTAGTGTTTCTCCATAATGCAAAGAACATCACTATAATTTAAAAAATTTCTGCTTTTATTTTTATGTATGATATACTGCACAATAAACTTTAAATCATGTTAATTATTCTTTTTCTTTGGAGACATCTATAAAAAAAATTCAACGACCTCCATAAATCCATTTTATTTACTTCTGGGTTATCAGTGACTTTCTTGCCAGTGTCAAGATGCAAAGGTTGATTGATAAGAGGAATTTGCGAGGGGAATTAAAAGTGAACCGAGAAAAAAAGATATTGAGAGTAACAAAAAGGGTAAACAATGAAAGACTGGCTACCAGACGAGGGAGTATTGAAGTAAATGTGAAGGTGGACGTGTCAGCGGGTACGTCTGTGAAAATGTGAATCATAGAATAGACGAGGGGAAAAATGGTAAGTAGATTGAGGCATACGGTGGAACCTCTGGTCACAAACACATAATCAGATGCTGAATCCACTTCCTGTTGTTTGTTGTATTGTATTTCATAAATTTTTGAATTCATTTGACAACTAACCATGGCCTCTAAGCAAGTGAAGAGTGATAATGTGGGTGAAAATAAGGGTCTGAAGAAAATTAAAATAGAAGTGAAGAAGGAAATTATCAAAAAGTATGAGGATGGTGTGCGTGTTACCAGTCTTGCTGGGGAGTTCAAGAAGCCTAAGTCTGCGATCTCAATTATTCTGAAGCAGAGAGTGGCTATTAAAGCGGCTAATGTTGCTGAGGGAGTTACGATGTTAACCAGGCACTGGAAGAGGTGAAGAAACTGTTGCTAGTGTGGTTGAACGAGAAGCAACTTGCAGGTGATGTGTACGTCAGGCGTTCATATGCAACAAAGCCAGGAAGATACACAGTGACTTGTGGCAGAATTACCCTTTTGTGAATGCAGAGTGATGAATTTAAAGCCAGTAGAGGACGGTTTGAAAAGTTTCATAAGAGAAGTTGCATTCATAGTGTGGTAAGGCATGGAGAGGCAGCTAGTTCTGATGCTGCTGCTGTGGAAGCATTCACGAAAGATTTTGCTGAATTCGTGAAGGCCGAAGGATACGTCCCACAACAAGCGTTTAACTGCGATGAGGCCGAGTTGTTTTGGAAGATGCCGAGGACCTACATCACCCAGGAGGAGGAGGCTATGCTCGGCCACAAGCCAATGAAGGACAGATTAACCCTTTTGATGTGCGCAAACGCAAGTGGTGATCTTAAAATTAAACCTCTAGTCGTCTACCAGTTCGAGAATCCTTGTGCGTTCAAGCAGCACGCTGTGTACACAGCCAGACTGCCCATGATGTGGAGGGTGAATACAAAGGGTTGGGTCACAAGGAGCTTGATTTCAGAATGGCTTCACAAGTCTTTTGCTCCCACTGCTAGGAAATATCTTGCCGACAATCTTCTGCCTGAAAGGTGCCTTCTTCTGATGGACAATGCACCAGCACACGCTCGAAGTTTGGTTGACAATATGAACATTGAGTATGACTTCATTAAGGTCAAGTTCCTCCCTCTCCAACATGACTCCTCTTCTGCAGCCCATAGACCAGCAAGTGATCTCCAGCTTCAAGAAGCTGTACCAGGTGTTTTAATGTGACCGAGGAGACATCTGATGCTGAAGGAGTTCTGGAAGAACCATTTCAACATTGTACATTGCATCAGCCTCATCGACAAAGCCTGGGGAAGGCGTCATGTACCGGACCTTGAATTCAGAGTGGAAGAAACTTTGGCCTGAATGCATTCCTGAACGAGATTTCAAAGGATTTGAGACCTCTGTTGTAGAGATCATGTCCATGGGCAAGAGCATGGGTCTTGTAGTTGACAGTGACGACATCTAGGAACTGGTTGAGGATTACGAGGAGGAACTGACAACGAATGAACTCACCAAACTCTAGATGAGCAGTATAAGGTGCTCACTGAGGAGCAGTCATCAGAGGAAGAAGAAACGGAGGAGATTAAAAGTGATGTGATAAAAGCCATCGTAGAAAAATGAAATGAGTGCCAGAATTTCTTTGAGAAGAACCACCGTGACAAAACTGTTACAGAGTGCTGAACATGATGAACAATAACGTCATCTCTCATTTCCACAACGTTTTGATGCGAAGGAAAAGACATCATATTAGATCGTTTTGTGGTGAAGTTTGGTTCACCAGCTAAATGAGAGAAAACACCTGAAGGAGAACGTCCCTCCATCACGGAGGTGGACTCTTCCTCAAAACAGTAACCTCCTCCCCACTTCCTTCATGCCAGAAGTCGACTCGTGCAAGGTTAGTTTTCTTGGTTGTTTATGGTATGTTATTTAAGGTTTTTTCTCTGTTAAACTGGATTATTTTGTATAAGGATTTTTTCAAATTTTTATTTTTTCTGCGCTTAAAACTCTTGAAAAAAACAAAATTCACAGTGAATGGTTCATAGGGGTCTAGAATGGACTCATGCAATGTTAAGTTTTCTCAGTGTTATTCAAGGTTTTTACATTTAGTTTACTATTACAATGTGCATTCTATGGTATAATTGACTATTTTTGTGCCTAAAAACCTTAAAAAAACAATATTTACATATAGTTCATAGGGGTCTGGAATGGATTAATCGTATTTACATACAATCCAGTGGGGAAATTAGGTTTGGGTCACGTCCAGAGTTTTGGAATGCATTATGGTCGTGACCAGAGGTTCCACTGTATGTGGAAATGAAGTTGATCCATGGAGGCATAAAAGGGGAATGAACCAAGAGTACAGTGGTACCAACAATGTTACATGGATGTGAGGCATAAGGCTTAGCACTGGAGATGTTTGAGATCAATGTGATGTATGATATTCACAACACATTGCCCTCCAGTCACCTTCTTGCTGCAATGTTTAAAACCCATGTTTCACACCTACATAAGTGTTAATAACACTATACTCTGGTACATTCTCCTTTATTGCTTCCATAGATAAATTTGTCTCCACAAATACTTCAACACACCAACTATTTTCCTCTGTTATCTGTTCTATGACTCATCTTTTAAAGATCCAATTGCCAATAAGCTCACTCCCAAATACAGTGGACCCCCGCTTTACGATCAGCTCCCAATGCGACCAATTATGTAAGTGCGTTTGTACGTGTATGTTTGGGGGTCTGAAATGGACTAATCTAATTCACATTACGTATTATTATAATCAAGAGGGAAGCGCTAAACCCGGAGGATTATACAGCGCCTGGGGGGGGGATGTGGAAGGCATTCAGGCTTAATTCGGGGAACTGGAGCACAGATCCAATTCCCTAAATCAAGAGCCCCTCACCAACATCAGATCTAATTCACAATATTCATTATGGGAACAAATTCGGTCAGTACTGGCACCTGAACATGCTTCTGGAATGAAATAATATCGTAAACCGGGGGTCCACTGTATCTACATACTCTGCATATATTTCCTCCATACTCCTTCCCTCCAATCTTTCATTGTCTAGACTTTTTTTTCGTTACCCTGTTACATTGCTCTTTCCTATGCTCACTTTTAATTTCCCTTTCTTTACATAGCTTCCCAAATTCCTCCTGCAACTTCTCTTCAGAATCTTCCACAAGAACTGTCATCAACAGGAAGCAACTGTGACAATTCCCACTATGTAACTAGGTCTATGTTTTAATCCCACACATCTCTCCAACACCCCAGCATTCAATCTTCTAACTAATCTAAGTGCCATATATAATACAGGAGGGCCCCGTTCCCACGGCTGTTATGTTCCCAAGTCCTGGTGATAAGCAAAAATCCCCAGTGGGTCGAAAAGAGCGTTTTTTTAATATCAAATGCATCTAAAATGCCTGGTAACATGTTTAAACTATCATATATGCTTAATACACTAAAGCATAAAATAATAGATAGAAAAGTAAAATATAGAGTATATACAATACTAACCTTAAAAATATGCTGGTTGTTGTCCTTCCCTTACTTGTCTGTTGTGCGGAAAAGTGGAAAACACCAGACATAAACAATGGCTCAGTTTGTAAAGTAAAAGGACACAAGTGCAACTAATGTGTCCTTTTACTTTACTTTACATATTGTTGGTAATTCTACAAACTTTATTACAACGGCTCAGTTGAAAACCACTGAAAATATGGAACGCCAAAAAGAGGGCGAGGAATATGCTGGGTATTGCTGTACGTAGTTTCATGTTTCACAGACCGGGCCGCGGGGGCATTGACCTCCGGAACTCCCTCCAGGCATACACAAGTGTTCCAGATGTCTGGCACCGGTACAAAGTTCAGTCAGGCCATGAACTTAATTATGCATAAAAATAATAATGTTTTTTAAACAGTAGCGTTGACACACCTCTGGCAAGACAGTGATGGAGTGAATGATGATGAAAGTGTTTCTCCTTTTTCAGGCCGCCCTATCGCAGTGGGAAACAACCAATGTGTTAAAAAAATAATATTCAATGCATATTGCAAGCATCACCAATCACATACAGTGACTCTAAACTGCATATTATTATTATTATAATCAAAAAGAAGCGCTAAACCACAAGGGCTATACAGCTTAAACTGCATATTATTACCAATAAAATTGGAACACTCCATAAAAGGAAATTTGCATAAAATTAATGAAGTGAGATACAGTGGACCCCCGCATAACGATCACCTCCAAATGCGACCAATTATGTTAGTGTATTTATGTAAGTGCGTTTGTACGTGTATGTTTGGGGGTCTGAAATGGACTAATCTACTCCACAATATTCCTTAAGGGAACAAATTCGGTCAGTACTGGCACCTGAACATACTTCTGGAGTGAAAAAATATCGTTAACCGGGGGTCCACTGTATACAGAAACAGATCAAATATATTATATATATCGCACATATTAGGAAATAAAACACAGGAGTATGAGTGTGTGACTTCATTGAATATGTGACAAGATGTCAGTCTGGATAAGAGGATTGTTGGATAATTCTTTGGTTTATTTCTCACATGGTAGAAAATTTACAAGGTCGTCCATGACGGTGGTCGAGAAGTTTGAGGTTGCACCAGGTCAAGGTAACTCGTTTCTCCAAAATTAATGCTTGTGTTGCAGAAATAAACTAGCATTGCAAGTGGAGTATCCAATGGATGTTCCAGTGTTGCAGAAATGCATTGGAATTGCAAATGGAGTAGCCACAGGATGCTCCAGTGTTGCAGAAACTTACTGGAAATGGTACTGGCATGTTCCCTGGATGTTCCAGTGTTGAAGAAATGCATTTGAAACACAAAATCAACAGCCAAACATATTAGAGGTGACTAGATTGTAAGTTTTGATGCAATTACAAAAAATAATCCCACCGACAATACACCCGGGCTTACAGTAAACACAAAAAGAAAATCCAACACTTTGGGTACCATTCACACTTAAAGTAATTCAAGAGTTACTGCCAAAATTACATTAAATCCTGAGCTTACAAACTTCTAGTTATATTCTGTCCAATTATAAAATGTACATAACTTTTATTGCTCAACCAAAACACGCCTTTAGTGAGTTTTGAGAATCTGTCTACTCCAAGAGCCTGGCCATGGGCCGAGCTTGACCAGTGCTAGCACACAAATATCTTAATAATGTTTGGAAAAACATAAAGAAACGTGATAATGCAAAATATGCATGTTTCTCATTTCATATTGTATTCCTCTTGTTTTCAATATTGTTGACAAGTTGTTGGTTTGAAGACAAAAGTTATTATACGAGCTTTTAGTGGAGCAATATTTTTATATGTGTAAGGCTTTATCAATGATTTAAGCTGAGTAAAGCTTTATCACATGACGACTGAAGCTTTATCAAATTATGATGAAAGTTAAGTAGAGTTTTATCAAGCTAGGACTAAAGCTCTACGTACGGCAAAAGAGTCCCAGTTTGTTCCGAGTAAGTGATGTCTCGCCACCACAGGATATCTGGTTCACCTTAAAACTCCCTTAAGCCTTAAACGGTCCAAATACAGTGGACCCCCGGTTTACGATCAGCTCCCAATGCGACCAATTATGTAAGTGTATTTATGTAAGTGTGTTTGTACGTGTATGTTTGGGGGTCTGAAATGGACTAATCTACTTCACAATATTCCTTATGGGAACAAATTCGGTCAGTACTGGCACCTGAACATACTTCTGGAGTGAAAAAAGTTCGTTAACCGGGGGTCCACTGTAGATCTACATTCATATCCGTACTGCTCCAAAAGTAGATCTACTTTTTTTTTTACATATTTTCAAATATATAAAAAAATAAAAAGTAGATAAAAGTTTCTTTTACACGTTTTCAAATATAAAAAAAGACGATGTAAATTTTTTTTTACATACTTTCAAATGTTGAAAAAACGTATATATATGTTTGGACCGTTTAAGGGTTAATCAGTAATCCTTTGGACTCTAACAGCTGCATTTTCCACCACATGGATTCCCCATACACAGGAGACCCCAGCATGTACAGCAACTTGTTGTCGGTGTTCAGTGTTTTCTCTGGCTTCGAATTAAGCCGTTGTTCATTACGTTCCGTCCACTGGTAATTGTCACTGGCTAAACAAGAGTTCAACTGAAAGCCTACAAAATGTGGAACAACGAAAAGAGGTGTTGTACGTGTAAGGCCGTCCTGTACCTGCTGCTTTTGTTATAGCATTGAAATGTCAACATTTACCTATTTGAACAAAATCACAGAGCGCTCATCCCTTCCCAATACATTAAGCCCTTGTCTTACAAACATGTTAAGAATCTCTGTAATATTATATATATCATTAGTATGTATAGTATCATTATTATACACAATACAGAAGGTCCCCAGTGTGTCCATAAATTGAGGACTTCCTGTACTTGCATAAACCTCAGGTGCATCGGGTGGGACTTAACACAAACCTAATTTACAAATCCCATGGTACTCTTCGATTGGTACAATTTTGATTAAGGGTATTTGAGATATGGATTAAGGAGTTACCTTCACTTCTCAGCCCCTCACAATGCAAAGCAGTTAGTACTTAACCTTAACGTGGTGTCAACATTCAAGTCAGACACAGACACATCTGAGAAAATAGAAAAGTTGGCCATAATAAAATACTGACGAGACTAAACGTACACAAAGGTCGACTTAAAAAATCCCGTTCTTCCACTTCTTGGTAAAAATAACAAATAAAGAGCACTTCTGCACTACCTGACTCTCTCAAGTCATTTACAACAGTACAAACTCACAAGTACATCATTAAGACAATTGATTTCTCCCTAAAAATGGCATTTACTAGGCCATATAAAAAATCCTCGTTTAATACCAAATAATACAAGCACGATGTACAAATAAAGTGCACAAAATGTGTGTTATTTCTCCATTCCACAAGGCATCAAATGCTCATTTAATACCAAATAATATGGGCATGATATACAAATAGTGCATAAAAGATATTTCAGTGGTACACATGGCATCACGCAGAGAACTCGACACTCACACACTCTCAGGTATCTTACTCTCACTGGGCTCACTCCCACGAATGCAAAATTATACTAAGGCAAATCACTTAAAATTACAAAGCCCTTATATACAAAATCAGAGACTGTAATCACAAAGTTGTCCCCGTACCCTGGGACGATATCGAGAATAACGAATGTACAGTAAACTATCAATTTAACAGACTAATAGATTGGTGCGGGTAGCTAGTAATGGTGACTGTGGCGGATAGTGACGAGACTGTTTTGTTGAGATTATAACAATAATAAACAATTCTAGACCTATGAACAAGGTTTGGTGGTTCCAAATCAACTGACCCGGCAGATTTTGTCCAGTATTTGCAAAATTTGTTAAATTGAGAGTTTACCGAACTGCCTTAGGATTTAACCGCCTTTGGCTAATGCAGAGGTAACGACTAAGTATATAAAAGTACTCAGACCTTCCAGATTGACTATATGGCTTATAAAAGTAGGAATACAATAGTCATCAATTTCTAATCTCATCTAGGAAAAAAAAAAGACAGTATAAAACTGGGGTGATCATTGGTTGGGATCAAGATTCCAGTTGCAGAGTTAGGCAACCTTGCACTACCAGCTCACGTGTCTGCAAGAGAGCGCGCATAAACATCCTGTTCTAGGAGCCTTTAGAGCCCTATCCCAATATCCCTCCTGATTTATAAAATATTTTGTTCCATACCCGAGGATGGCTGCAATTCCTGTGACTGAACAAATTACTGTACAGGGGCTCTTCACTTTACGATGGCACGACTTACGATATTTTGACTTTACGATGGTGAGATAGCGTTGTACATTTAGTAGTCATCAAACTTTTGTACAGGACTATACATATATTGATATGATAAACTTGTATTTATTTATTTACTTTTCAATACTGGTATTTTAGTTACAGTAATTATTTATTTATTTAGTGACTAGTTATTTGCCTTTATTTATAATATATTCATATTCGACTTATGACATTTGCAACTTACAATGGGTTCTTCGGAACAACCCCATCGTCAGTCGAGAACCTCCTGTATAATAAAGCTGGCATCGAGGAGTGTCGAGTGGGGGATGGGGTTCGCAGGCGCTACTCACTGGTAGTGAACTCCCAAGCACAGTGCACCAGTCAGCTCCTCCTTGAAATGAGGTTAACCGGAGTAATTTTAAAACTACAGTACGTTTATCGTACACATTATCTACGAATGTACAGCTAAAATATTACTAGCGAACAGCTGGGCTGATGACATTCTATTCCTGAGTAAGTTACTGCACTTCTGAAGATATTAAATAATTTCATTTAGAAAAACATAATTTGTTTTGGATTACAAATGAATCACAACCAAATCCCGAGACTAACAGGATGAATCCTACCAAATAAATGATCACAATGTAATAATGTTGGTAGAATTACCAACAATTTGTAAAGTAAAAGGACACAAGTGCAACTAATGTGACATTTCATTGTGGCAACGTTTCGCAAAACGTTGCCACAATGAAATGTCACATTAGTTGCACTTGTGTCCTTTTACTTTACAAATAATCACAGTAAGCTTTTTTCTCTGTGGGGAAGTGGAACAGAATTCTTCCTCTGTAAGCCATGCTTGTAAGAGGCGACTAGGGTGCCGGGAGCTAGGGGCTAGTAACCCCTTCTCCTGTATACATTACTAATTTAAAAAGAGAAGCTTTCAGTTTTCTTTTCAGGTCACCTGGCCTTAGTGGGATATGGCCAGTTTAAAAAAATAAAAGAGTAAGCTTTCTTTCACTAAGCAGCAAACAGCACTAGTCTTGATTACTCAGCAAAGTGGTTCTATAAGCAGGAATTGCAAGCCATGAGCCCAGCCGTCAGTAGCAGGTACCTATGTCTACCTATGGCTAATTCCATTAATGGCGATAAAGCTAAAGTCCTTCTGAATCACGTTTGCACAACCACACGGGGTAACAGTATTATGTCTGCAGACTTTTTCCATATTGCCGGTCATAAAATAAATATTTTATATCCATGATACAATAGCTTTTTGTAAAGTTGTGACATTTAATATGTGTGGAAAGTCCCTGGTTATGCAGAGTATTTCGGACAACAGGTCCGAATGTCAAGATGTTCTGAAGGTGAATACGTGACTAACGAGAGAAAACGTAAATTTCGTTACTCCTTAGAACAAACTAAAAACATAATGGAGAGCTCGTCGACAGTTCAAATAATAAAAAGCAAACATGACTAGCTTAAATGTCCCATTGAAAAATGATCAAACTATGTCAACAAGCTTGGCACATACATGTACAGGTATTTGAATGTATAGCAAATATTTCACCATGACCTAGCAGAAATGTCACGCATCAGCACGAACGATGCGCAACTGGTATCTTCTTTGGGTATAATCTTACACATTAATGTCTCCCAAACTTCAGATTTAACCCACACTCATATTTTCATTCTTTTTGTTTTTAGTAAACTGTACGGGGCAGTGATATGTGTGAATGATGGTGGGAAACAGCCAGTATGCTCAGAAAAAAATCCTTCATTTTATCCAGGAGCAAAAAATCCAAAATTACATCTTTGAGTCGGGCACAAAATAAGTCGTGCAGATTTAACACGCACAAAATTGATCAAATGTTCCAGCTTCAATTGTGTCATAATCTGGCTGCATGTAAAACCTTGTAAAGAAAAATGTATGGCAAGTAAAAAGTATGTGGAATTTCAGTGCCGCTGCCAATCAATGCTTTATTGCACACTATGCAACACGGTGATGCATCACCTCGCAATGTCAGCTCCTACGATGGCAAAACAGAATGCAATGCATTGCCAAACTTTACCGGTTATCCCCTGTCATGAAATAATTTGTCCCTCCCCACCTTAAAAAATATCAATGGAAGCAGCACTACAAAAACAATTACAAAATCAAAACTGTCATAACAAATCCCACAATTTTAATTTACATAAGCCTCTCTGATTTCAAGTGTATAAATATATTTTATGAAAATGGCAGTTTTTCTTTGTTACTGCTTCCATGACTTCTGTATTTAACACTGGAAATTTCTCTTATCAGATCTATGACTTTCTCACAAAGAATTAAGTCACATCATAATGCAGGAGTATCCCAACTTACAAACGTGTAGTGTTCCTGATGTTTCAACTTACAAACGTGTAGTGTTCCTGATGTTTCAACTTACAAACGTGTAGTGTTCCTGATGTTTCAACTTACAAACGTGTAGTGTTCCTGATGTTTCAACTTACAAACGTGTAGTGTTCCTGATGTTTCAACTTACAAACGTGTAGTGTTCCTGATGTTTCAACTTACAAACGTGTAGTGTTCCTGATGTTTCAACTTACAAACGTGTAGTGTTCCTGATGTTTCAACTTACAAACGTGTAGTGTTCCTGATGTTTCAACTTACAAACGTGTAGTGTTCCTGATGTTTCAACTTACAAACGTGTAGTGTTCCTGATGTTTCAACTTACAAACGTGTAGTGTTCCTGATGTTTCAACTCACAAACAAGTTGTTTGTATGGAAAACAAAGGATGAGCAGCAAGAAATAACACAGTACACTAACATGATTGTAAGTACCTTAGGACATAGGCAAGCGTACGAATCCATGGCCAGTCCTAAAATTGGCAGGTCTTGTTTTGTGTTTGCACTGTAGTTCATGTTGTGAAATGTCAATGGGTTTCTAAGCGCCTCGTCTGCAAATGCGAAAGCCTGTACTGTGCTACGTTTGTGAGTTGGGGACCCCTGGTGTGTACTGCACTAGTAAACAATGTTTCCCTACTTCAGGTGATTAAAATAGTTCACAAATAACCCGCACATAAAAGAGAGAAGCTTACGACGACGTTTCGGTCTGACTTGGACCATTGACAAAGTCAACAAGTCGTAAGCTTCTCTCTTTTATGTGCGGGTTATTTGTGTATCGTTCCAGTCACGGTATTGTGCCTTTTTTTGTTATTAAAATAGTTTAACGTCACCCTTCAATGTTCGTTATGGTCCCCCTAATGACTCCAAATCTGGCTGGACACAGGCTATCTCAGAGCCTGGAACCCTCATATCATGCATCCACACATATTCCTAATGACATATCTCTTGTACACACTACTGTGCTACTGCTTGATGAAGCATATCCTACAGCAAATGGTTCATACAACCCACGTCTTGGTCACACCATACGCCTGTGTGGCTGGTTTATTAGGTGTAAAGCCTTTTTACTACACAAGGCTTATTAAGAATGCATGTCGCCTGCACACCACCAGTCTAGAATACCTCGGTCCCTGAGGTAAAGATATACACCTCTTGGTATACATTAAGAGATACACACCTCTCTACGTACATAGTACATACAATATCATCACATAAACCATACCATGAGCGGGGCTTGAACCCACAGTTAGAGAGTCGTATGGTGTTTGCCATCGTGTCTTTACGATTTCATGAGTAATGTCATCACATACCTGAGGGTTCTAAATCTGGCTGCAGCTTCTCACCTCCTGATTGTGTACTTTTGCTGGAACACAGAAATTTTCCTAAGCAAAACTGAACCACTAACTGCTTCAAGTACTGTACCTAATTATGTAAAACTGACCACTAGCAGCAACAGCCTGGTTGACACAACAATCAACAAGGAATCCCTGCAGTAATGAGTGAGGTTTGATCTCAGAGGTACCTGCCTAGTACAGGACCCGCCTTCTATAATACTGTCTCCATTCTACACTTCACTTCTGTTCAGAGAATCCTGGCCTTAGGCTGGGACCTCATGGAGGAAAAAAACAGAAATTGACAATAGATATGCCTTCACATGAACACAAATGCCATGTATATGAGTAATAATAAGAGATATTAAAGGCAACTTCTGAGAGATAATATACAGTAGTTTCCCCTGTATCCACGGGGATACATTCCAAGACCTACCATGAGTGTCTGAAGCCTCGGATAGTCGCCAACCCTATAATTAATTTTTTGGTTTATATACGTACCTACGATAAACTTTAATTGATAAATACGCAAAATGAGTTGAGAATTATCACTTATTCACTGATGGGAAGAACTTCACAGCTTCTCTTAGGCTTTGAAGAGCTGCCATCACTAGTTTTACTCTCTGGGGCCATTAAATTAAGGGTTACTTTCAAGCCACGGTAAACCGCAGAAACTGAATCTGCAGATACGGGGGTTCTACTGTACAACAAAACCTGACAAAGCTATTGCACTCCGTAGGAATAAGAAATACAATTCTAGAAAATATCAATAAATGCTACCAATAAATATAATTTAATCTCTGATTAATCTGTATCTTAGTCCGACACACAAATGGTACAAATGATTTATCTTGATAGTGAAACACTGAAGCCAATATAAAAATTAAAATTTTTAAAATACAAAAACCAGCTTAAAAAAAGTTTACTATTAACACGCAATATGGAAAGGAAAATTTCAACCGTGCTGGTCAGTACATTCATACACTGGACTACGTGCAGCCAGCAGTAACAGCCTGGTTGATAAGGCTCTGATCCACCAGGAGGCCTGGACACAGACCGGGTCACGAGAGTGTTGATCCCCGTGTTAACAGTGTAATTATAGATTTCCTAGTACCATTTATAGTAAGGCTCCCTTGGCGTGCTGACATCATGTGACAGCCCGTTCTAACCAGCCAGCTAGGCCTGTGGCCTACCTCTCAGAACTCAACTAGGCTTAGCAGGAAGCAGACATAGGCTGGGCTCTTCCCATGACTGCCAATAACGCCTCCAGGTAGATTCCAGGCACTGACCGACTATTACCAAGATGTGATGAGATAATAGTCCAGGATGGACCAATACCAGTTAATAGTGAATTGTTTCAGTCACAGTATGGACATTTGTTCTTTTTAAAGATAAGGTCAATACAAAGTTAATCTGTCACAGACTTAGCAACATGTGCTGTTTCCTGTACAGCTGCAGCCAAGAACTGAACTCGGCTGTTGTCCTAAATAATACCACACTACAGTCCCTGCTGACTACAGCTGCATCTGCAGTTCTTCCCTGCTGACTACAGCTGCATCTGCAGTTCTTCCCTGCTGACTACAGCTGCATCTGCAGTTCTTCCCTGCTGACTACAGCTGCATCTGCAGTTCTTCCCTGCTGACTACAGCTGCATCTGCAGTTCTTCCCTGCTGACTACAGCTGCATCTGCAGTTCTTCCCTGCTGACTACAGCTGCACCTGCAGTTCTTCTCTGCTGGCTACAGCTGCATCTGCAGTTGTTTCCTGCTGACTACAGCTGCATCTGCAGTTCTTCCCTGCTGGCTACAGCTGCATCTGCAGTTCTTCCCTGCCGACTACAGCTGCATCTGCAGTTGTTTCCTGCTAACTACAGCTGCATCTGCAGTTGTTTCCTGCTAACTACAGCTGCATCTGCAGTTCTACCCCAGGCTAAGCCAGCACATGCAATCTTGTATGTTGTGCAGCTCTACGATATATTACACATCGTTCACCTAAATGTCTGGTCTCCTGATACGCTTCGTTGCATGTAATTATTAATTCAAGTAAACTTAATGCTGATTCACTAAGCAATGACAAGTTTTTCACACATTATGACAGCAATGTTACCACCGATTTGGATCACCATGTCTTTTATGTGCAGCCTTAACGTATCTATTGACACATTTCTTGCATAATATAATAAATACATGTCTTGCCATGACACAAGTGACATTCACCACAAGTCGTCAAACACAAAGCCTCAGTTGCTCGACCTCTCATACACTAGTCATCAGGTCACACACGATCAAATTCACAGTGAAAATTGTGTAGATAAAAATTAAAGACATATAAAAAAGTGGTTTAAACGAGTTAAAAAGTTAAGCACCACTAATGGCACATTCATCACTGCTAGAAAAGTGTGTTTGAAACAGCAGGTGTTTATATTGCCTACTGGATATCATAGCTACTATGGCCTGCTACCTGCTTACGCATAACCTCTCCTGTCATGCTCACATCTGAACAAATTAAATAAAGCACCATTTCAGTAACACCTGCAGAAAAATATGCAAGATCTCAAGCTACACACCACAGCCTCAAAATTTCAAAGACTCCAAACCAAATACAGGAGGCAGCCGCATGTACAGGACTGCTTTTCGTTCCTCCACGTTTTTGTTGGCTTTCAAATGAGACACTGTCCCACTGCTGGTGAAAGTCGCTGGCAGGTAGACCACAAACAATGGCTCAATTTGAAGACAATGATATTGTGGAACACAGAAAAAAGAAGAAGCTGGATGTGCAAGTCCCTCCTGTATTGTGCTTATGAAAACTGATAAATTTAAGTCTTCATATGCGAGTTCAACAGCCCCAATAAAGACTACTACTGTTGTTTGGGTTCTGAGAAATGAGGCAAGATGATGCATTGGTCGTTAACACCTAAGAAAACTGTTCTTTGTACTTGGATGACTTGAGACCTGACTTGTCCGACACAACGAACACCAGCCCGGACACTTCTATATCGACAACCATCTCAAAATCTAGCTTTTCTTCATATAAATACACAGAAAATGAAAATGACAGGCATTTAACGCCTTTGGCCTCCAAGTAAATGTGTTGGTCAGTGCGGCGGCAATGGCATGAAAATACAAACACGACTATAGACAGCATGTGAATGCTTGCGGTGAAAGACACATAATTGACCAACCATACAAAACTGTTGTGAAAGGTAATATTGAATGTGTCACATGTACATTCCTCATAAATAGTACTGGAGGAGCATTAAGAACTCTGATTCAGTTGTATGTACTTGTACATCTGTGATATTTGTATGGTATGCATCTATATTTGTAGTCACTGTCTACGATGAAGGATCAATGCATACAGTCCACATTAAGTGTTCTGACCAGGGGTGTACATTCTGGGTGTGCTAGGTGAGTACTACACACTCACCAAAGATGGTAAATTCAATATAAATTTTAAGATCACTCAATAACAGCCTGGTTGATTAGGCCCTGATCCACCCTGAGACCTGGTCACAGACCGGGCCACGGGGGCATTGACCCCGAAATCCTCTCCAGATATACTCCAGGTATGAGTAATATGCCAGAGTAGGTTCAGCATGGTAGCACACACACAGTGACAATAACCACCATACACCACTGGTCCTGACAGTTATTCAAGACACGGTAACTGCTGAGAGAATACACCAAACTCCATTACACAAACTGAGCGCACTGGGAGTATCTGCAGCTCTCACAATATCGTGAAAGTCTGTGATGCAACGCACACAGTACGAACAACTCTCGCAGGAAGCTCGACATCATCAGCCAACCCAAGAGGAAGTTTTGAAAAAGATCAATGATTAAATCTGTCTTCAGAGTTTACTCTTGGCCCTATAAACAAAAGATCAATTTTGCAATACCTTGCCCACTAAGCAGCATATCTGGAAAACCATTCCTTACCCTCTGTCAAACACCATCTAGTTTTCTTACAGGAACAAAGGATACTCTTACATTATACTTACACAACATTAAACAAGGCATTGAAGTGTATTATTATCAATACATTAATATCATCATTTGGAAACTACAGGTGTAAGGTTGATACTCTTCTTACAGGTAAGTGAATACAGTTGGGCAGTGTTTCTGTCTTGCAGTTTGGTAAACGGAGGTTCAAGCCCACACGGTTCCTTGCTCTAAATCACCCGCACAGCTTCAGTGCTTCTCGTAAATGAAATGAGTCCTAGTGTATGATGCTGTGCTGTGTTTTAGTCCAACTGAATCAAGCTTTACACACACACAATGCATACATCTGCCTCCCATTATACATTTCTACGTAAAATCATAAAAACTTTATCCTTCAGCTTTTGCCTCATCTAAAATCGTCATATCTAAAATAAATTGGGATGTAGAAATAGGGTGGATGGACAGGATTAAAATCACGTGTCATTTCGAAAACACTATAGAAATTCAACTATTGTGATGCTGCTGATATTCCTAATTTGTTTCATATCCCAAATTATTAATATAAAAGAGAAATATAATCAATATATTCTGAAAATGAGAAAATGGGGTCAACATTAATAGGGGAGGCAGTCTTAAAACAGACAAAATAGGAACTAAAATAAAAAATAGAACAATCAACTGTCCTTCGACTTGTCTCTCAAAAGCTTCTCATTTATACTGCAGGTGAGTTTGTTATATACTGCCAGTATACCACAGATGATCTTGTAACATACTGCAGTATACTGCTGATCTTGTGACACACTGCCAGTATACTGCTGGTTATCTTGCAAGACACTGCCAGTACAAAACACTAATGCTACGTTGGGGCATGATGCAGTGCAACGTTGCAAGGTTGTTGCTCTTATCACGATATGTTGCCGGCCTCCTCCACTAGCAGACTCACTCTAGTCCTCCTGAGGAGACACAAAAACAATATGTAGGGGCGCATTTTAAATCCATTGAAAAATGTAATAAGCAAGGAACAAAAGTTAAGGCAAAAAAATAACGTGTGACTTGTAAATGATCCCAGTGGATCCAAAATGTCGTGGTAAGCTCCTCTCTGCTGTGTGCGGGTTATTTGTGTATTGTTCCAGTCATGGTATTGTGGCTTTTGTTCCTGTTCATTACAATATAATCTCTAGTGTCAAGCTCCTCTATACAGGAGGGCCCAGTTTGTATGACTTAGGTTCCAGAGTGTATTAAAGTTGGTAGAATTACCAACAATATGTTATGTAAAAGGACATAAGTGCAGCTAATGTGACTTTTATTGTGGCAACGTTTCACTCTCCAGGAGCTTTGTCCAGCTAAATACACAGTGCATACAATACTTACCATAAAATAAGGCGCCAGCTGCCCTTACCTTATGCAACTGTTGTACGAAAATTGAAGAAATGGCAGAAGAGCAGTAAAGGTACTCAGCTCGCACACTGAGATCCGGAGTTCGAATCTCCAGTATGGCTAAAGAACTTAGAATGTGTTTCCATAAGGCACCTGCTGTCCCTGTTCATCCATCAGTATAAAATAGGTACAGTGGTACCCCAAGTTTCAGCCATAATTCGTTCCAGAAGGTTGTTCGTGTGCCGTTACCGGACGAATTTTTCCCATAAGGAATAACATAAATTAGATTAGTCTGTTTCAGACCCCCAAAAATACACTTACAAAAGCACTGACAATAATATACTTACATAATTGTTTAAGTTGGGAGCTGTACGAAACTTGGGGTACCACTGTACGTGGGTGTTAGTGGACTGGTGTGGGTCGCATCCTGGGACAAAACTGACCTAACTTGCAGGAAATTCTCTGCATAATAAGTGGCTTTCTATATACTAGCATGTCACTAATGTCAGCTATGGTCTGTATAGCTGTATAGCCCTTGTGGCTTAGCGCTTCTTTTTGAATATAATAATAATAATATGGTCCGTATACCTTGTACATGTACTTGTAGAAATAAAAATCTTATTATTATTAATTGAAAGCTAACAAAAATGTCGAACACTGAGGAGAGGTGTTGTACACACGGGGGCCCTCCTGTGTAGTGGAGCTTTTTGCTAAATACAATCGAGATCAAAGTGCATCCAAAATTAATTACCGCATGAAAAGACCTTCATAATACAGTACTCTTTTTTAACTACACAGTGAACCCCCGCATAACGATCACCTCCAAATGCGACCAATTATGTAAGTGTATTTATGTAAGTGCGTTTGTACGTGTATGTTTGGGGGTCTGAATGGACTAATCTACTTCACAATATTCCTTATGGGAACAAATTCGGTCAGTACTGGCACCTGAACATACTTCTGGAGTGAAAAAATATCGTTAACCGGGGGTCCACTGTATTTGAAAAAATCACACTGTATAGAATAGCTCTATAAGAGAGTTTACTGTAGAAATTGCTGGCTTGCCAACGTCCAAGACACAATAATCCACACTTACCAACAAGGCTGAAAACACACTTTTTGTTCTGATGTGCTGGTTGTCTCCCACCAAGGCAGGTGACCCATAAAAGAAACAATTCCACCATCATTCACACTATCACTTCTTGCCAGAGGTGTAAAGATATGGCAGTTCAGAGGTCCCTCAAAACAGCAAATATCCTAAACCTCTCCTTCAGAGTGCAGGCACTATATTTACCACCTCCAGGACTCAAGTCCGGCTAACCAGTTTCCCTGAATCCCTTCACAACATAACATTAGTTTTACAAGCAACAATCCCTTCTCACAAACCTGTGATCAGTGGTGGGCACATTATTATTATTATTATTATAATCAAAAAGAAGCGCTAAGCCACAAGGACTATACAGCGCTGCAGGGCAGGAAGGAAGTGAGGGCATCAGGTGGCAAAAGGGAGATGGATGAGCAACAGGTTACGGATAACAGCGGGGCAGTGGAGTGGTGGGCACAGCTAACCGAAAAATTAGCTTTGCTAACCGCTAACTAGAAATTAGCTTCGCTAACCGCTAATCCGCTAACTAAAAATTAGCTTCGCTAACCGCTAATCCGCTAACTAAAAATTAGCTTCACTAACCACTAATCTGCTAACTAAAAATTAGCTTCGCTAACCGCTAATCCGCTAACTAAAAATTAGCTTCGCTAACCGCTAATCCGCTAACTAAAAATTAGCTTCGCTAACCGCTAATCCGCTAACTAAAAATTAGCTTCGCTAACCGCTAATCCGCTAACTAAAATTAGCTCCGCTAACACTAAATGCTAACCGCTAACTTTTTCACATGAATTCAAATTCGGTTAACTTTTTTGATCTTTTATTTTTACTTTTAAGAGTTTTAGAACAAACCTGGAGAACTTCCTTATAAGATACTATAAGGTTTTAATAAGACAAGATTGACTCAAAATAAAGAAAACTGATAAAGTGAAATTTTTATTATTTTTTTAGGCTAATGGAAAGGACAGCGTTGCCAACAGTAAAGTAACCAAGTAAAACTACTCGAGTACTGTACTTAAGTAACTTTTCGGTATTTACTTTTTAAAAAATACTGAAATTACTCACTACTTTTACTTAAGTACAGTGGACCCTCGACCAACGATGGCATCGTCTAACGTTAAATCCGACTAACGATACATGTTAACGCTAACATTTTGCCTCGACTAACGCTAAAAAAACTCGACTAATGATATTCGTACTCGGGTACCAATTAATATCGTTAGTCGAGGGTCCACTGTACTGAAGTCTGTTATTACTTTTACTTCACTACAGTCTGATAATGATACGTTACTCACTGCAGACTCGGCAACACCCTCAGGTGGAACAGAAGCGTCTCCCCTGTTCATAACGATAAGTGACAACGCACCCCGGTGATCGCTGACACTAAGACTATAACAATGCTGCTCGGATCCTGCTGCTGCTGCATTGACAAGTCACATTTACACTTAGTCAGCCAATAGCGTGCTTGACTGACTGTTGGAGAAATGCCCACAAGGGACAGGAACAAACAAGTGCGCCGTTGAAAAGGCACTGCTTTCCGACGACCAACAATGTATGAATTTTTTTTAGTGGACTCAAAGTTAGCGGAACTTTATTTAGCGGAAGCTAATTGGTCTGCTAACGGTTTCCAAAGTTAGCGGAAACACTAATCCACCAAACAAAAAGTTAGTTCTCCTAATTAGTGGTTAGCGGATCAGCAGAACTCTGCCCACCACTGCCCGTGATACAAAATGATAATTTTGCGCTATCATTTTCTATCAAACAACAGGCTTAGGGTTACAAATAACTTGTTTATAAGTTTGAAACACTGGAAATAAATGCGTCTTTAAGTTGAAACACCGGAATGAAATACGTCTGAAAGTTGAAACGTCGGAATCACAACTTATTCATAAAGTAGAGAGGAAAAAGGCACAATACTGTGACTGAAACAATACAGAAATAACCCGCACATATGAGAAGGAAACTTAATGGTGCAAGTCAGACGAAAACATTGCCATAGGTTTCATTCTATTATTATTATAACCAAAACTAAGCATTAAACACACAAGGATCATACAGCTCATTCTCCTATGTGTGGGTTATTTGTACAGAGTAAATTCAAAATGGGGAAGTGGAACAGAATTCTTCCTCCGTAAGCCATGTGTGTCGTAAGAGGCGACTAAAATGCCAGGAGCAAGGGGCTAGTGACCCCTTCTCCTGTATATATTACTAAATTTGAAAGGAGAAACTTTCGTTTTTCCTTTTAAGAAGAAGAACATAAGAACGAAGGAACACTGCAGAAGGCCTACTGGCCCATGCGAGGCAGGTCCAAGTCTCCTACCGGCTTAAGCCAATGCACCCAACCTAGTCAGGTCAGGTCACATTGACTTAAGGGAGGAACACGGCAACCGACCTGTTAGCACAAGCTATCAGGTCTAACTCACACCCACCCACATCTACTCATGTATTTATCCAACCTATTTTTAAAGCTACACAACGTTCTGGCCTCTATAACGGTACTTGGGAGTTTGTTCCACTCATCCACAACTCTATTACCAAACCAGTACTTTCCTATATCCTTCCTGAATCTGAATTTTTCCAACTTAAAACCATTGCTGCGAGTCCTGTCTAGGCTAGATATTTTCAGCACACTATTTACATCCCCTTTATTTATTCCTGTCTTCCACTTATACACCTCAATCATATCCCCCCTAATTCTACGTCTTTCTAGAGAGTGCAGTTTCAGGGCCCTTAGTCTATCCTCATAGGGAAGGTTTCTGATACATGGGATCATCTTTGTCATCCTCCTTTGTACATTTTCCAGAGAATTTATATCCATTCTGTAATACGGTGACCAAAACTGTGCAGCATAATCTAAATGAGGCCTAACCAAGGATGTATAGAGTTGAAGAACAACCTGAGGACTCCTATTATTTATGCTTCTTGATATGAAGCCAAGGATTCTATTAGCTTTATTGCGAACACTTATGCACTGTTGTCTTGGTTTCAGATTACTGCTAACCAGAACTCCTAAATCTTTTTCGCAATCCGTAATATTAAGATCTACATTATTTAGTTTATATGTGGCATGGTTATTGTCCTGTCCAACATTTAGAACTTTGCATTTGTCTATATTAAACTGCATCTGCCACTTCTCCGACCACTGCATCAGTCTATTCAAATCTTCCTGGAGTGCTCGAATGTCCTCGTCAGAATGAATTCGACGGCCTATTTTGGTGTCATCGGCAAACTTGCCGATGTCGCTCTTTATGCCCTCATCTATGTCGTTTATGTAGATTGTGAACAGCAGGGGGCCCAACACTGACCCCTGTGGAACACCGCTCGTGACGCTTCCCCACTCTGATTTCTCCCCATTTATGCAAACTCTCTGCTGCCTATTTGTCAACCATGCCTCTATCCAGGAAAAAATTTCTCCTCCTATTCCATGTGTTTTAATTTTCCTCAATAGTCTCTGATGTGGGACCCTGTCAAAAGCCTTACTGAAGTCCATATACACAATATCATATTCATTACCATGATCTACCTCCTCAAATACCTTAGTGAAAAAAGTTAATAAATTTGTAAGGCAGGAACGCCCCTTTGTAAAACCATGCTGAGATTCGTTGATTAATTTATGCTTTTCAAGGTGGCTACGAACTGCCTCGGCAATTATTGATTCCATAAATTTTCCCACTATGGAGGTTAGGCTTATTGGTCTATAGTTCGAAGCTAAGGACCTGTCACCTGTTTTGAAAATAGGTATCACATTTGCCATTTTCCACTTATCTGGCACCATGCCAGTTTGTAGTGATATGTTGAAAAGATTAGCCAAAGGTGTGCTAAGCTCCTCTTTACATTCCTTTAGAACCCTTGCATACAGTTCATCAGGGCCTGGGGATTTGTTAGGTTTTAATTTATCTATTTGCCTAAGGACCATGTCACTTGTGACCCTAATAGTGCACAGTTTATTATCGTCCTGTTCTACATAATTTATCATTACTGGAATATCACTGGTATCCTCCTGTGTAAAAACTGAGAGGAAGTATGTGTTAAAAATTCTACACATTTCCTTATCACTGTCAGTGAGCTGACCCGAGGAACTTTTGAGTGGGCCTATCTTGTCCCTGATCTTACTTCTGTATACCTGAAAGAATCCTTTTGGGTTAGTCTTCGATTCTCTTGCAACTTTAACCTCATAATCTCTTTTTGCTTTTCTAATTCCCTTTTTTATTTCTCTCTTTAACTGAATATATCGATTTCTTAATTGCCCCTCTCCTCTTTTGATTTGCCTATATATGCCTCTCTTTTGACCAATCAGATATTTTAATCTATTGTTCATCCATTTAGGATCATTTTTGTTTGATCTGATTTCCCTATTTGGAACATAATTTGACTGAGCAGCTAGAACTATGCCCTGGAAAGCATCATATCGGCAACCATCACCACCTACCTGACCCTTAGTCAGGTCATTCCAGTTCAGCCCACCTAAGTAATTTTTCAGTCCTATGAAATCAGCCAAGCGAAAGTCAGGGACGGAGACTTGATTGCCATTATTAGGGGAATTCCATAATATGTTAAAACTGAGTGATTTGTGATCACTCTCCCCAAGCTCATCATTAACCTCAAGATTATTAATTAGTGTTTGACCTGAAATCCAAAATTAAACAGACCATGAAAAAGTCTTCACAGAACATGTTATTCAATTTTTTATGCATTTTTTCAATCACACGTACAAGAAATTGCAATATACAGGAAGGCCCTATATACACAGCATCCCTTTTTTTGTTGTTCCACATTTTCGTTGGATTTCAACTGAGTTGTTCATTATGTTCAGTGCTTTTACCACTTTACCACTGTTTTGCGACAACAGTTGTACAAGGGAAGGGTGACTGGCGCCATATTTTAGGGTACTGTTTATTTATTTTAATATTTTATCATTTTATGCCTAGCTGTATTGAGCACTTAATATATGATAGTGTATAAACCTTGATAGTGTAAACATATTATCAGGCATTTTAGAAGCATTCAATGATGAAAAACAACTCTTTTTCCACTTGCCGGCATTTGGGGTTGCAAACCTTTGAGCCATGTAAACATGGCTGCCGTATAGAGGAGTTCACAACAGTGCAAACTATTTTTACAGTAGAAGGAAGTTCCTTTGATGAAAATGATGATGTTTATATCCTTGCAAAGTTTACAATGTGTAGTTTACATATTATAAAATACAGCGGTACCTCGGGATACGAACTTGATTCGTTCCAGAAGGCTGTTCGACTGCCGATACTGAACGAATTTGTTCCCATAAGGAATAATGTAAATTAGATTAACCCGTTTTAGACCCCCCAAAAATACACTTACAAAAGCACTTACATAATTGTTCGAGTTTTGACCTGTTCGTATCCCGAGGTACCACTGTATTAATTACAAAGAAGACCACTAGCATGCCTAGGCATTTTGGGCAGACTAATACTAATTCTTACTCTGTATTGACACAGGTTATGTAGCTGTACATTTGTACATTATTGCATACCAGGTAAGCGAAGTGATTAATTAGATTTATAATAACGTAGTAGTATAAAGTATATAACAATATTATAGTTAGTGTGAGTGTTTGCAGGGTAATATTTAGTGAAGGGATTCAGGGAAACCGGTTACACCTACCATCCGACTTACGACCGAGTTTGGTTCCGAGAAACCGGTCGTAAGTCGAAATGGTCGTAGGTTGAACTTTACTACTGAATATCAACATCACATTTTTGTCATGACTTTATTTTATTGTTTTATTTTGGTATTTCATGTTTTACTTTACTTTTTATGCTGTTAGTACTGTGTTTTATACTGTAAGGTTTAGGATAAACACTGTGTACAACACAAATACTGGTTTATTTCCCAGAAATTTGGCATAAAAAACACGGTCGTAAGTCGAGTGGTCATAAGTCGAGCAGGTCGTAAGTCGGATGGTAGGTGTATTTTATATAACCGGACTTGAGTCCTGGAAATGGGAAGTACAATGCCTGCACTCTAAAGGAGGAGTTTGGAATATTGTCAGTTTGGAGGAATATGTTGTGTATTTTTATACGTATATGCTTCTAAACTGTTGTATTCTGAGCACCTCTGCAAAAACAGTGATTATGTGTGAGTGAGGTGAAAGTGTTGAATGATGATGAAGGTATTTTCTTTTTTGGGATTTTCTTTCTTTTTGGGTCACCCTGCCTCGGTGGGAGACGGCCGACTTGTTGAAAAAAAAAAAATTACAGTTAGTAATTTTAGTACGTAATGGGAATGGTTAAGTCTTGGTATGTTCCTATATTGGGAGAGTTTCGAGTCTTACGACTCTTGGGAGTACAGCTTCTTAATTATAACTGTATGACCCTTGTTGGTTTAGAGCTTTCTTTGATTATAATAATAATTCTTAATTATAAACACCCTTAACCCTTAAACTGTCCAAACAGATCTATGTTCACATGCGTAGTGCTCAAAACGTAGATCTATGTTTTTTTTACATATTTTCAAATACAGTGGACCCCCGCATACCGTTGGCATCACATAACGTTAAATCCACATACCGATACATTTTATCGCTAAGATTTTGCCTCGCATACCGCTAAAAAACCCGCTCAACACTATTCGTCCGAGACGTGTCTAATGTGCGGCCTGAGCCAGCCTCACATGTTCCGCCGGTGGCATTGTTTACAAGCCAGCCTCCGTGGTAACATCCAAGCATACAATCGTAACATTTCGTATTATTACAGTGTTTTTGGTGATTTTATCTGCAAAATAAGTGACCATGGGCCCCAAGAAAGCTTCTAGTGCCAACCCTGTGGTAAAAAGGGTGAGAAATATTATCGAAATACTGTGGTACCATGGTCAACTGCTGCTGCTGCTGTAGCACTGTCTGCTGCTGTAGCACCGTCAGCTGCTGCTGCTGCTGCTGTACCACTGTCAGCTGCTGCTGTAGCACCGTCAGCTGCTGCTGCTGCTGTAGTACCGTCTGCTGCTGCTGTAGCATCGTTTGCTGCTGCTGTAGCACTGTCAGCTGCTGCTGCTGCTGCACTGTCAGCTGCTGCTGCTGCTGTAGCACTGTCAGCTGCTGCTGCTGCTGTAGCACCGTCAGCTGCTGCTGCTGCTGTAGCACCGTCAGCTGCTGCTGCTGCTGTACCACCGTCAGCTGCTGCTGCTGTTGTAGTACCATCTGCTGCTGCTGTAGCATTGTCTGCTGCTGCTGTAGCACTGTCAGCTGCTGCTGCTGTAGCATTGTCTGCTGCTGCTGTAGCACTGTCAGCTGCTGCTGCTGCTGTACCACCGTCAGCTGCTGCTGCTGCTGTAGTACCGTCTGCTGCTGCTGTAGCATTGTCTGCTGCTGCTGTAGCACTGTCAGCTGCTGCTGTAGCACTGTCAGCTGCTGCTGCTGCTGCTGCTGTAGCACTGTCAGCTGCTGCTGCTGCTGCTGTAGCACTGTCAGCTGCTGCTGCTGCTGCTGTAGCACTGTCAGCTGCTGCTGCTGTAGCACCGTTGTTGGTGTGGCTTATTGAGAATACCAAGAAACAACTAACCCCAGAGGGTTAGCCACCCAGGATAACCCAAAAAAGTCAGTGTCATCGAAGACTGTCTAACTTATTTCCATTGGGGTCCTTAATCTTGTCTCCCAGGATGCAACCCACACCAGTCGACTAACACCCAGGTGAACAGGGAAAAATGCCTGGAACTAGTGCTCATATTGGTGAATTTAAAGCCAGCAAAGGTTGGTTTGAGAGATTTAAGAATCGTAGTGGCATACACAGTGTGATAAGGCATGTTCTGGAAGAAAATGCCAAACAGGACCTACAGTACTCAGGAGGAAAAGGCACTCCCAGGACACAGTGTCTCATCAGTCATTGCTGCATCTTCAATAAAGGTAAGTGTCATTTATTCTTCATTTAGTAGAGTAGTACATGCACAATATATACTGTGCATGTACTACTCTACTATTGTGCATGTATCCTTCTCTTTGTGTGTAGGAAAATGTATATTTCATGTGGTAAAATTTTTTTTTTCATACTTTCGGGTGTCTTGCACGGATTAATTTGATTTCCATTGTTTCTTATGGGGAAAATTCATTCGCATAACGATAATTTCGCATAACAATGAGCTCTCAGGAACGGATTAATATCGTTATGCGGGGGTCCACTGTATAACAAAAAAACGTAGATCAAAGTTTTTTTTACACATTTTCAAATGTAAACAAATGAAAAGAGGATCTACGTTTTTTACATACTTTCAAATGTTGACAAAACGTAGATCTACATTTGGACAGTTTAAGGGTTAATTACAACTAGAGGAAGTTAGGAAAGGAATTAAGGGAGGGAGAGAGAATGTGAGAGAGAGAAACAGTCACTGTAATACTGACCCACTCGGTCGAGTCGACCCCTTCCATCCGGTCTTGTTCCAAGGTTTTGGAGACTTGGTTCATCTGCTGACTCATCGACTCCTCCAGCTGGAAATACAAATCCTCATCAAATGGTATTCATGAGGGAAGCACTAAACTCACAGGGGTCATACCACACCTGGGGAATGGCAAGTAAATCAGGTTTCATCTGAGAAAGCAGAAGATGGCCCCAATTCCTTGGATCATGAGCCCTTCACCACCTCAAAAGGTGGTATAAAACAAGCATATAAATGAAAACAAGAATATACGCAAGCGTATAAATTAAAACAAGCTTAAAAAACAGGTGAATAACTTAAGCAAGTGGCAGCGGGAGACTGGATTGTGCAACAAATAATTAATGCAAATCGATCTATGCAATACACTACTTACACCTGCATCCAGTAAGTCATCCTCCATATTAATACAATTACATTAATACGTACAATTATATTACATGTGGAATAAATACAGTGGACCCCCGGTTAACGATATTTTTTCACTCCAGAAGTATGTTCAGGTGCCAGTACTGACCGAATTTATTCCCATAAGGAATATTGTGAAGTAGATTAGTCCATTTCAGACCCCCAAACATACACGTACAAACGCACTTACATAAATACACTTACATAATTGGTCGCATTCGGAGGTGATCGTTATGCGGGGGTCCACTGTATAATTACATTAATACGTACAATTATATTACATGTGGAAAAAATAATTATCCACATTAATATCGCCTTAAAGTGAATCACGGACTTTTTTTTTTCATTTGCCAGTGCACATAAAAAACTGAAAACATGGTTATACTATCATTTATTACATGCATGATAGCATTAGGCCTTAAAAACACTGCAAAAAGTAAAAATAATCAGTATTTTTTAAAATTGCCAATAAATGTGACTATAATTCGAAAACGCCATATTAGCAAAGTACGGTGGAACCTCGGTTTTAGTATGCTGTAGTTGGAGAAAATCCTTTATAAAATGTATTTTTTCTTAATATTTTTGGGTGTCTGGAACGGATTAATTGGTTCCGTTCCAGACACCCAAAAATATTAACAAAAACTATATTTTAAAGAGATTTTTCTCCAAGATTTCTCTCCAACTACGGCATACGAAAACCAAGGTTGCACTGTAGCTATTTATTTACTTATCTAGCACATGTTCACATTCGGCTTACAATATTCTCAACTTACGCTGGGTTCGTCAGACCGTAACCCCATCATAAGTCCAGGACCACCTATATATTTTTTATAAATTGTAAATCATTTTATTTTTCACATTTGGAAAATGACTCACTAGATGCGTGGATCTTAAGCGAGGCTAAAACAAAAACTGTGGGAACAAGGAACATACCCGACTCTGAGTCTCCAGCACCTCGTCGGGGATACTGAGGTTCTGTGGGGGATACAACAAGAAGCCAGGGTAGGGTGACATGCACGAGACAGCCCATGAGGGTCATGCAGACTCAACATGAATACTATGTACATTCGACATGAGGACCATGCATACCCAACATGTGGGCCATGGACCCAACATGAGGACCACACAGACCCAACATGAGGACCATGCAGACCCAACATGGGGACCATGCAGAAGCAACATGAGGACCACACAGATCCAACATGAAGGCCACGCAGACCCAACATGAGGACCACGCAGACCCAACATGGGGACCACGCAGACCCAACATGAAGGCCATGCAGACCCAACATGAGGACCACGCAGACCCAACATGGGGACCACGCAGACCCAACATGAAGGCCATGCAGACCCAGCATGAGGACCACGCAGATCCAACACGAGGACCATGCAGACCCAACATGAGGACCACGCACACCCAACATGAGGACCATGCAGACCTAATATGGGGACCTCGCAGACCCAACATGAGGACCACGCAGACCCAACATGAAGACCATGCAGACCCAACATGAGGACCATGCAGACCCAACATGAGGACCATGCAGACCCAACATGAAGACCATGTAGACCCAACATGAAGACCATGCAGACCCAACATGAAGACCATGCAGACCCAACATGAGGACCATGCAGACCTAATATGGGGACCATGCAGACCTAATATGGGGACCATGCAGACCCAACATGAGGACCACGCAGACCCAACATGAGGACCATGCAGACCTAATATGGGGACCATGCAGACCCAACATGAGGACCATGCAGACCTAATATGGGGACCATGCAGACCCAACATGAGGACCACGCAGACCCAACATGAGGACCATGCAGACCTAATATGGGGACCACACAGACCTAACATGAGGACCATGCAGACCCAACATGAGGACCACACAGACCTAATATGGGGACCACGTGAATATGGATTCACTAATCCAGACGCCACTAACATTTAACTTTTAGGATAATTTGCAACTTATTAAAAAATCTAGAGCCAAAAATAACAATAAAGTAAGTTTTTATTTTTGAGCTGCCACTTACAATAGGCTGATACTCAAAAATAGGCCTAAGAGGCCTTATTTGAAAATTAAAAGGTGTTATATTTGCAGGTCATTATAGGAACAAGAGAAATTTTCGAATAATTTGCAAATTGCTGAAAGAAAAAATGTTTAGCAGTATGGTCATAAGAATAATGAAAAAAGGTCACAATACCATAGCCGGAACAATTCACAAATAACCGTAATGATGCTGCGGTCTATCATGTACCATTGTACCAGAAAATATCAGAAGTACGGCTGGAACAAGTGCAGAAGTCTTCAAGAAGAAACTGGACGAGTATCTTCACCAGGTGCCAGATCAACCAGGCTGTGATGGATATGTGGAGCAGCAGGCCAGCAGCAGCAACAGCCTGGTTGACCAGGCAAGCACCAGACGAGCCTGGCCCATGGCTGGGCTCCAAGAGTAGTGAAACTCGAAACTCATCAAAGGTATATCAACTGACTTGTGGCCTGACAACAGTCCAGGATAGACCAAAGTGTCTTTAGGAGGTCCCTCTCTTAGAAGTTGAGTTACCTGTGAACTGTTCCGGCACTGTATTGTTCCAGCCATATCATCATTCCAAACTTGTAATCTATCCTGCCCAACCAATGGAAAGGTTCTCTATGTACATTTCCCCAAACATAAAACTGATAGATCACCGATAAAACCACATCAATGTTCCAGTAGCACAACTAACGTGACCATTTTCTGAATTATTGGATTATGAGCTTCCGCTGGTCGACTGAATTAGTCTGTGAAGGCGCTGTCTGCTAAAACATAGGTCACAGCAAACATAAATAAGGTAGCCACATCATTAAATATTTTTACTAAAAAACTGTGACCTCTAATGTTAAATCTGACCAGATTTAAGTAATATATAAAGTCATTATTTTTTAAATTAAAAATCCTCTGGGTAAATTGATTCAGAAAAATGACACAGTTCACTGATTACAGAATTGATTTTTGTTGTTACAATAAAAGCAAAAACAGTCTCATCTCTAGCTATGAATAAAAAGTTTAAAAAGATCACTAATTGAAAAAAAAATTATTAACTAAAGTTAGAAAATCACTAATTGAAGTTAAATATTTTGTTAATTGAGGAGGGCCAACCTTGTGTTGTGTTTGTCGCACTTCATTGGGCACCATGCCCTTGAGGAAGGGAGGCGTCTCATGGCGTATGTGTCCGCCACTGTTGGGCTGTGACACCGGCGACTGCTGCTCTCGACTTTCAGACACTGTAAGTAAGTTTATTCAGGCACGGGTACACATAAATACAGTTAAATAAATTATCATATATAGCAGCATATGTGTAGATTACCTGCAATAACCCAAAAAAGTCAGATGGTTAAGTTAGGTTAGGTTAGGTTAGGTTAGGTAAGGTTACATAAGGTTAAGTTAGGTTAGGTTAGGTTCGTTAGGAAACAGGAGAAGCGTTTCCGGACACGGGTCTTCATTGACGACCTGCCATGGGAGCTTTTGGTCATCTGACTGAGGCCTTCTGCTGGCTGACCCCTCCACCCCTTTAAAATTTATGGGAATAGTTATAACCATTTTTTTATATGTAAAAAGTCAGACAAAGTGACTTATTTCCACTGGCATCCTTGGAAGGGTAGTTATACTTCAATGTAAGTCCCTATAGGTGCATGTGATACATGAATATACACAAATAACCCGCACATAAAAGAGAAGCTTATGACGACGTTTTGGTCCGACGAACCATTGACAAAGTCATTGACAAAGTCGTCAGCTTCTCTCTTTTATGTGTGAGTTATTTGTGCATCGTTCCAGTCACGGTATTGTGCCTTTTTTGTTATTTATACATGAATATGTACACGAATTCATGACAGTGATGGGGTGAATGATGATGAAAGTTTTTCGGGATCACCCTGCCTTGGCGGGGAAACGACGAGTGTTAATAAAAATGAAAAAAAACATACAAAGCAACCACAGGGGATTTGAATGATAGCTCTTGGCTTTTTGTGTTGCATTCAACCAATAACAGGAGCTTACAATGTTGTAGAAATGAGTAGGCAGTCCCAGCAGATTAGTTGAAGTGAACATTTTAGCTCAGCCTAGAACATTCCCCTCAACTAATCTGCTTAGATTTCCCATTCATTTTTGCAAACTCCTGATGTTGTGTTGATTGCAACACAAAGAGTCTAGAGCTATCATTCCACTTCCCTGTGGTTTTGTATCTTGTATTGCTTGTTTGTGATTACTGCAAGATGAATACACGAAAAAATACTTGATTATGCTCAATAATAACCCACAGGGAGACAGAAACTCAGGGGATTGATTGAGATGTACATTTTGACCCCTTCTGCTGAAAAGGACCCCAGAAGAGGGTCGAAATATAGAGATCCATTAATCTTGTGAGTTTGTGTCTCCTTGTGGGTTATTACTGAGTTTTGACAAGTAGTCATTATTCTTTAGTTATCCATATATGAATATACAGTGGAACCTCAAATATCGAACTTTCTTCGGTCCAGACGGCTGTTCAAGTGCCTTTACCGAATGAATTTATTCCCATCAGGAATAATGTAAATTAGATTAGTCCATTTCAGACCCTTAAAAATACACTTATAAAAGCACTTACAAAAATACACTTACATAATTGGTTGTGTTGGGAGCAGTTCGATTTTTGAGGTTCCACTGTATTTGAAAATATAAAGGAGGGATGAAAATATGTTAAAGTTTATGAACTGTAGTGTTAGCACGCCTCTGGCAAGACAGTGATGGAGTGAGTGATGATGAAAGTGTTTTTTTTTTTTTTTGGGTCATCCTGCCTTGGTGGGAAACAGACGATGTGTTAAAAAATGTCTAAATACTGTGAATATGGTTTAAAATTGCTGTAATAAACAACTGTCAATGAATAAACAGAATAATGAATGAAGAGGCGAACTGCAGCCGGCAGACTGACAGTCCGTCGCTCTACTGATCCGGTTACCCGCCTCTAACAGGAAGAATTCAGAACTAATACTGTATTATATTCCATCAGAGGCACCAACTGTAACCCAGCTGAATGCCTTCCCTTGGCCCAGGAGCTTTAGCAGTAGATCTAGATGATGTGACCTTTTTTGGGGGGTATGAATAGATCTACTGCTAAAGCTCCTGGGCTGAGGGCAGGAATTCAGCTGGGTTGCAGTTGGTAGCCTCTGATGGAATATTATATAGCACTACAGTGGACCCCCGGTTAACGATGTTTTTTCATTCCAGACGTATGTTCAGGTGCCAGTACTGACCGAATTTGTTCCCATAAGGAATATTGTGAAGTAGATTAGTCCATTTCAGACCCCCAAACATACATGTACAAATGCACTTACATAAATACACTTACATAATTGGTCGCATTGGGAGGTGATCGTTAAGAAGGGGTCCACTGTAGTTCCAAATTCTTCCTGTTAGAGGCCTGGGTAACCAGATCAGTAGAGCGACAGACTGACTATCTGCCAGCCATGGTTCACCCCCTATCCACCATTCTGTTTATTCATCGAAAGTTATTACAGCTTGATTCCATATACACAACATTTAGACATTTTTTTAACACATTGGCTGCTTCCCACCGAGGCACAGTGACCCAAAAAAAGAAACACTTTCACCATCATTCGCACATAATCAGTGTCTTTGTAGAGGTGCTGTATAAACACACTTCTGTATTCAAGGAAAGAGAGTAGAATTATAGGGAACTGAAACTGCAACTTAGTTTAGTTAAGATGAATATAAGTTGTGATACTCTGGATGCAACAATTCATGAATAACCTGTACCTAAGATAGTAAATCTATGACTGTTTTGGGCCATCCTGGACCACCGTTGGTTTTGGACAATGGTCCGGGACTGACCAAAACTTCGTCGTAAGTGTGGGTTATTTGTGAAGTGGGCTTAGGAGCTGGAGGAAGACAGAGGGAGAGAAAGATAAAGAGGGAGATTCTAAATTTGATTTCAAACTCTTCCTCTAATAACAAAAGAAAGTAATGTTTGAATTCTATTAGTCTTCAAAATTTTCTATAAATAGGGCAACTTAAAGAATAGATCAGTACAACTGGAAGACACAACTGTAAACAGGTAACGTTCGTGTAGAACTAGGGTATTTTCACCGTTCAAATGTTTAGCCTTTTCTGCAGGAGTTCGGTTGAATACCGAAGTAACAAGCATGGGAGACAATGGAAATAGTAGAGGTAAAGACGAGGTGATTAGTCACTCAGCTTTGTAATAGTAGTTTTGAGGTCGTCATTCTCTAAACTTTGAAAAGCGTTCAGTTCCAAAGTCACGATCAAGGTCTGCAGACTAGGAAACTGAATACTTCTTCAGGCTGACGGAGTGACCACCTTATCTTTACGTCTCCACTGATTCTACCTCCAGTATCTAATCACCACTAGATTCAACTGAAGAATCCTGCCGAGCAGACAAAACATTTCGACAATAAAAATACTTAACTCGTCTAACTGTCAATACAGCCTCTCCTCACTTAACGATGGGCTTCCATTCCTAAGACCACGTCAGTAAACAAATTCGTCACTAAGTGAGGAGCATACTATAATGGTAGTGGGTTTGTGTCAACCATCTTTGATATTGTTTTAATGTCACCTTTGCATCATTTATAATATTTCTGGTATATTTTTAAATGTTTATACAGTAGTGTACTGTATATTGTAATAAACAGAATAGAGGAAATCAGTTTTAATATACATTATTTAGGTATGAATACTGGTCAGAGAGCCCGTCCGAGTCATTGATAAACAAGTATGATCCTAAGTGAGGAGAGCCTGTATTGTATTCCATTATTTTAACAAGTGTAAAGTTTAGAGGCAGAGCAAGCAGGAAACAACAACATACAGGTGAGCATGTCAGACGGCTGGAGGGAGAGTGTACGAGGAGGTCGGTTAGTGTCTCCCAGCCACTCGGCTGCTGTCATCACCGGCTCCCAGCTGACGAACGTTGGCGGGAAGATGTCGTCTTGGAAGAGCTCCGTCTGAAGCAAATTTAAATAAACGTGACAGTACAGATATAAATAATTTCACATGATATTGGTAAAGTCCTATGTGCACACACATACACATGCATGTACTCATGCACGCACACACATTATAAACTCAATGGACTACTGGGGGTAAAATGGGTGGCCAGTAATGGTGTTAGTGGTGCATAGATGTCAAATTGTTTTGCTGTGATCATAACTTTTGAAAACAATGAATTTTGTCATTGTTTCCAAATCGATAAACCTAGCGAATTTTATCCCACGTTTCTGAAGTTTATTATAAGAGAGGCATTAAATCAAAGACTTACTGTATACTCTGTATTATGTTACAAACATCAAATCTGACAGCTGACAAGTGGAAGTCAAACCTGAGCATTGATATCCCTGCCAGGCTGGAGCAATGACATTTGTTGCCCTCAAATATTACACTGGTTTCCACGTAAGCTGAACCGAAGATGTGATCCTGACTACTTCAGCACCTTCGGCTCCCCACCAAAGAACCCGGGTTTGATCCAGGGGTGGGTGAAGACACGGGGCATATTTCTTTACACCTGTTATCTGTTTACATAACAGTAAATAGGTGCACAAATAACCCGTACATAGGGGACAGACACTCGCGGCAACATTTTGGTTCGACTTGTACCATTAACTAGTTATTTTATGTATTATTCCTTTTTGTTCAGTAAAGAGGTAACTGGGTCTTCATCAACTGGCGTGGGAAGCGCTCAAAGTAAGTAATAGTATATGTACCTAAGATGAATGTGGATTCAGAAATGTGCTGAGGAACAATACAGCTCTTAATATTTAATTTCAACAGAGTAGCAGTAAGACAAATATGTTACCGCGCATAGTGATGAACAAGAAGGGTTATCTGTTAGTGGTTCTGAGGATTATCATCCCTATAGTCCTGTGATGAATCTCGAGAGTCTACTCCCAGAGCCCGGCCATGGGCCAGGCTCAAGTCACAGCCCAGTTGTAAACCAGTCACAGACCAGTTACATTCAGGTCACAGCCCAGTCACAGACCAGTTACATTCAGGTCACAGCCCAGTCACAGACCAGGCCTCCTAGGTCGGAAAGGAAATATTACAGGATTAAGAACTATTACGAAACACACAGGAAATTAAAGGTACGTGTATACTGAATGTAAATAGAGGTTTGTAAGACCGTCATCCTAACTCTGTTTACCAACCTACTGAGGCCACAAACGTACCTTAACTCTGGGCACGGTGAAGGAGAGAGGTTCTAGAATGGACGACGTAAGTCTCAGAGCTTTGCAGAACTCCACTTGGCGCACGTCACACATTATCTTCGGCAGCATAACCAAGCCCTGAGACAGAAAAAATGTGTTTTCGAAACACATGATGAGTGGGGATGCTATAGTCGGGGGGGGGGGGGTAATATTATTGTGATATCACCATATTCCTGGAAAGACGGCAGTTGAATGAATGATGGTGAGTGTGTCGTCTTCTTTAGGTCACCTGCTTTGGCATGAGATGGCCACTGAGGCAAAAAATACAGAAGGAACCAATCCTACACTAATGTCTTAAAAAACAAACCCCACTGTAGAATACCTGACCATATTCTCACTGCCATACTGAAGTCTTCCAGCTCAGATTGACACCACATGTTAGTAGCTGTCTTCTGGGCCTAATAATATTTTCATTACATGTAAACTACATTACCTGGATACTGCAGACAAGAAATAAATTATCTGTATTTTGTACAGTGGACCCTCGCCTAACGAACGCATCGCATAACGTTAAATCCGCCTAGCGATACATTTTAACGCAAAATTTTTGCCTCGGATAGCGCTAAAAAACTCGCTCAACGCGATTCATTTGAGATGCGTCCACGTGCGGCCTGAGCCCGCTTCACTTGTTCCGTGGGTGCCAATGTTTACAAGCCAGCCACCACGGTCGCTTCCAAGCATACAATCAGAACATTTTATATTATCACAGCCTTTTTAGTGATTGCACTTGCAAAATAAGTCACCATGGGCCCCAAGAAAGCTTCTAGTGCCAACCCTACAGCAAAAAGAGTGAGAATTACTATGGATATGAAGAAAGAGATCATTGCTAAGTATGAAAGTGGAGTGCGTGTCTCCAAGCTGGCCAGGTTGTACACAAAACCCCAATCAACCATCGCTACTATTGTGGCCAAGAAAACGGCAATCAAGGAAGCCGTTCTTGCCAAAGGTGCAACTTTGTTTTCGAAACAGAGATCGCAAGTGATAGATGTTGAGAGACTGTTATTGGTGTGGATAAACGAAAAACAGATAGCAGGAGATAGCATCTCTCAAGCAATCATATGTGAAAAGGCTAGGAAGTTGCATGACGATTTAATTAGAAATATGCCTGCAACTAGTGATGATATGAATGAATTTAATGCCAGCAAAGGTTGGTTTGAGAGATTTAAGAATCGTAGTGGCATATATAGTGTGATAAGGCCTGGTGAGGCTGCCAGTTCGGACCACAAAGCAGCTGAAAAATATGTGCATGAATTCAAGGAGTACATAGACAGTGAAGGACTGAAACCTGAACAAGTGTTTAATTGTGACGAAACAGGCCTGTTTTGGAAGAAAATGCCAAGCAGGACGTACGACGTACATTACTCAGAAGGAAAAGGCACTCCCAGGACATAAGCCTATGAAAGACAGGCTTACTCTGTTGATGTGTGCCAATGCTAGTGGTGATTGCAAAGTGAAGCCTTTATTAGTGTATCATTCTGAAACTCCCAGAGTGTTCAGGAAAAACAATGTCCTCAAGGCTAATTTGTGTGTGCTGTGGAGGGCAAACAGTAAGGCATGGGTCACTAGGGACTTTTTCTATGACTGGTTACACCATGCATTTGCCCCTAATGTGAAAGATTACCTAACTGAAAAGAAATTAGACCTTAAGTGCCTCCTGGTGTTAGACAATGCCCCTGGTCATCCTACAGACGTGGCAGAGCGACTTTATGGGGACATGAAATTCATTAAGGTGAAGTTTTTGCCTCCTAATACCACTCCTCTCCTGCAGCCCATGGACCAGCAGGTTATTGCAAACTTCAAAAAACTGTACACAAAAGCTCTGTTTGAAAGGTGCTTTGTAGTGACCTCAGAAACTCAACTGACTCTAAGAGAGTTTTGGAGAGATCACTTTAATATCCTCAATTGTGTAAACATTATAGGTAAGGCTTGGGAGGGAGTGACTAAGAGGACCTTGAACTCTGCTTGGAAGAAACTGTGGCCAGAATGTGTAGACAAAAGGGATTTTGAAGGATTTGAGGCTAACCCTGGGAATCCTATGCCAGTTGAGGAATCCATTGTGGCATTGGGGAAGTCCTTGGGGTTGGAGGTTAGTGGGGAGGATGTGGAAGAGTTGGTGGAGGAGGACAATGATGAACTAACCACTGATGAGCTGCTAGATCATCTTCAACAGCAGGAGGGCAGACCTGAGGAAACTGCTCCAGAGGAGGGGAGAGAGAAATTGAGGAAGTTGCCTACTTACAAGATTAAGGAAATGTGTGCAAAGTGGCTTAAAGTGCAAATCTTTTTTGATGAAAATCACCCTGACACAGCTATTGCAAGCTGTGCTGGTGTCTGTTACACTGATAATGTTGTGAAACACTTTAGGAAAGTCATAAAGGAACGGGAGGTACAGGCCTCTATGGACAGATATGTTGTGCGACAGAAGTCCAGTGACTCTCAAGCTGGTCCTAGTGGAAAGGGATTCCCCTTCTAAACACTAAGACCATCAACACTCTCCCCTCCTCCCATCCCATCAATCATCACCAGATCTTCAATAAAGGTAAGTGTCATGTAACTGTGCATGTCTTCTTCAGTTTGTGTGTATTAAAATTAATATTTCATGTGGTAAAAATTTTTTTTTGTCCATACTTTGGGGTGTCAGGAATGGATTAATTTGATTTCCATTATTTCTTATGGGGAAAATTAATTCACCTAACGATAATTTCGCCTAACGTTGAGCTCTCAGGAACGGATTAATAGCGTTAGGCGAGGGTCCACCGTATTTGTATGTGACCCATTTTGTGTGATGGAATACAAGAGGCAGACATTGTTAGCTTTTGTTGTCATTATGTAACTATTATATAGTGTAGCAGCACACCAATGGTGTTCCCACTATGTAACTATCATGCAGAATAGGGTAGCAGCACACCAATGGTGTTACCACTATGTAACTATCATACAGAATAGGGTAGCAGCACATTGATAATGTTACCACTATGTAACTATCATACACAATAGGGTAGCAGTACACTGATGGTGTTGCCACTATGTAACTATCATACACAATAGGGTAGCAGTACACTGATGGTGTTGCCACTATGTAACTATCATACACAATAGGGTAGCAGCACACTGATGGTGTTGCCACTATGTAACTATCATACACAATAGGGTAGCAGCACACTGATGGTGTTACCACTATGTAACTATCATACACAATAGGGTAGCAGCACATTGATAATGTTACCACTATGTAACTTATTATTTTTATTATCACACCGGCCGATTCCCACCAAGGCAGGGTGGCCCGAAAAAGAAAAACTTTCACCATCATTCACTCCATCACTGTCTTGCCAGAAGGGTGCTTTACACTACAGTTTTTAAACTGCAACATTAACACCCCTCCTTCAGAGTGCAGGCACTGTACTTCCCATCTCCAGGACTCAAGTCCGGCCTGCCGGTTTCCCTGAATCCCTTCATAAATGTTACTTTGCTCACACTCCAACAGCACGTCAAGTATTAAAAACCATTTGTCTCCATTCACTCCTATCAAACACGCTCACGCATGCCTGCTGGAAGTCCAAGCCCCTCGCACACAAAACCTCCTTTACCCCCTCCCTCCAACCCTTCCTAGGCCGACCCCTACCCCGCCTTCCTTCCACTACAGACTGATACACTCTTGAAGTCATTCTGTTTCGCTCCATTCTCTCTACATGTCCGAACCACCTCAACAACCCTTCCTCAGCCCTCTGGACAACAGTTTTGGTAATCCCGCACCTCCTCCTAACTTCAAACTACGAATTCTCTGCATTATATTCACACCACACATTGCCCTCAGACATGACATCTCCACTGCCTCCAGCCTTCTCCTCGCTGCAACATTCATCACCCACGCTTCACACCCATATAAGAGCGTTGGTAAAACTATACTCTCATACATTCCCCTCTTTGCCTCCAAGGACAAAGTTCTTTGTCTCCACAGACTCCTAAGTGCACCACTCACTCTTTTTCCCTCATCAATTCTATGATTCACCTCATCTTTCATAGACCCATCCGCTGACACGTCCACTCCCAAATATCTGAATACGTTCACCTCCTCCATACTCTCTCCCTCCAATCTGATATTCAATCTTTCATCACCTAATCTTTTTGTTATCCTCATAACCTTACTCTTTCCTGTATTCACCTTTAATTTTCTTCTTTTGCACACCCTACCAAATTCATCCACCAATCTCTGCAACTTCTCTTCAGAATCTCCCAAGAGCACAGTGTCATCAGCAAAGAGCAGCTGTGACAACTCCCACTTTGTGTGTGATTCTTTATCTTTTAACTCCACGCCTCTTGCCAAGACCCTCGCATTTACTTCTCTTACAACCCCATCTATAAATATATTAAACAACCACGGTGACATCACACATCCTTGTCTAAGGCCTACTTTTACTGGAAAAAAATTTCCCTCTTTCCTACATACTCTAACTTGAGCCTCACTATCCTCGTAAAAACTCTTCACTGCTTTCAGTAACCTACCTCCTACACCATACACTTTCAACATCTGCCACATTGCCCCCCTATCCACCCTGTCATACGCCTTTTCCAAATCCATAAATGCCACAAAGACCTCTTTAGCCTTATCTAAATACTGTTCACTTATATGTTTCACTGTAAACACCTGGTCCACACACCCCCTACCTTTCCTAAAGCCTCCTTGTTCATCTGCTATCCTATTCTCCGTCTTACTCTTAATTCTTTCAATTATAACTCTACCATACACTTTACCAGGTACACTCAACAGACTTATCCCCCTATAATTTTTGCACTCTCTTTTATCCCCTTTGCCTTTATACAAAGGAACTATGCATGCTCTCTGCCAATCCCTAGGTACCTTACCCTCTTCCATACATTTATTAAATAATTGCACCAACCACTCCAAAACTACATCCCCACCTGCTTTTAACATTTCTATCTTTATCCCATCAATCCCGGCTGCCTTACCCCCTTTCATTTTACCTACTGCCTCACGAACTTCCCCCACACTCACAACTGGCTCTTCCTCACTCCTACAAGATGTTATTCCTCCTTGCCCTATACACGAAATCACAGCTTCCCTATCTTCATCAACATTTAACAATTCCTCAAAATATTCCTTCCATCTTCCCAATACCTCTAACTCTCCATTTAATAACTCTCCTCTCCTATTTTTAACAGACAAATCCATTTGTTCTCTAGGCTTTCTTAACTTGTTAATCTCACTCCAAAACTTTTTCTTATTTTCAACAAAATTTGTTGATAACATCTCACCCACTCTCTCATTTGCTCTCTTTTTACATTGCTTCACCACTCTCTTAACTTCTCTCTTTTTCTCCATATACTCTTCCCTCCTTGCATCACTTCTACTTTGTAAAAATTTCTCATATGCTAACTTTTTCTCCCTTACTACTCTCTTTACATCATCATTCCACCAATCGCTCCTCTTCCCTCCTGCACCCACTTTCCTGTAACCACAAACTTCTGCTGAACACTCTAACACTACATTTTTAAACCTACCCCATACCTCTTCGACCCCATTGCCTATGCTCTCATTAGCCCATCTATCCTCCAATAGCTGTTTATATCTTACCCTAACTGCCTCCTCTTTTAGTTTATAAACCTTTACCTCTCTCTTCCCTGATGCTTCTATTCTCCTTGTATCCCATCTACCTTTTACTCTCAGTGTAGCTACAACTAGAAAGTGATCTGATATATCTGTGGCCCCTCTATAAACATGTACATCCTGAAGTCTACTCAACAGTCTTTTATCTACCAATACATAATCCAACAAACTACTGTCATTTCGCCCTACATCATATCGTGTATACTTATTTATCCTCTTTTTCTTAAAATATGTATTACCTATAACTAAACCCCTTTCTATACAAAGTTCAATCAAAGGGCTCCCATTATCATTTACACCTGGCACCCCAAACTTACCTACCACACCCTCTCTAACTATCATACACAATAGGGTAGCAGTACACTGATGGTGTTGCCACTATGTAACTATCATACACAATAGGGTAGCAGTACACTGATGGTGTTGCCACTATGTAACTATCATACACAATAGGGTAGCAGCACACTGATGGTGTTGCCACTATGTAACTATCATACACAATAGGGTAGCAGTACACTGATGGTGTTGCCACTATGTAACTATCATACACAATAGGGTAGCAGTACACTGATGGTGTTGCCACTATGTAACTATCATACACAATAGGGTAGCAGTACACTGATGGTGTTGCCACTATGTAACTATCATACACAATAGGGTAGCAGTACACTGATGGTGTTGCCACTATGTAACTATCATACACAATAGGGTAGCAGCACACTGATGGTGTTGCCACTATGTAACTATCATACACAATAGGGTAGCAGCACACTGATGGTGTTGCCACTATGTAACTATCATACACAATAGGGTAGCAGCACACTGATGGTGTTACCACTATGTAACTATCATACACAATAGGGTAGCAGCACATTGATAATGTTACCACTATGTAACTATCATACACAATAGGGTAGCAGTACACTGATGGTGTTGCCACTATGTAACTATCATACACAATAGGGTAGCAGTACACTGATGGTGTTGCCACTATGTAATATCATAACAAATAGGGTACAGCACACTATGGTGTTGCCACTATGTAACTATCATACACAATAGGGTAGCAGTACACTGATGGTGTTGCCACTATGTAACTATCATACACAATAGGGTGGGCAGTCACTGATGGTGTTGCCACTTTTAAAACTATCAAAACACAATAGGGTAGCAGTACACTGATGGTGTTGCCACTATGTAACTATCATACACAATAGGGTAGCAGTACACTGATGGTGTTGCCACTATGTAACTATCATACACAATAGGGTAGCAGCACACTGATGGTGTTGCCCTATGTAACTATCATACACAATAGGGTAGCAGCACACTGATGGTGTTGCCACTATGTAACTATCATCCACAATAGGGTAGCAGCACACTGATGGTGTTGCCACTATGTAACTATCATACACAATAGGGTAGGAGCACACTGATAGTTATATAGTTGGCATTCCAACTTTATAACTATCGTACAAAACAGTGTAGTACACTGCTGTGTTCAGATTTTGCTTATTAAATATACAAGTCCCACCTGATGCACACTGCCGCATTTGTGATGCGAGAGAGGGAAGAGGTGAGGGTAGTCGGTGCCGATCTCGTAGGCATAGATGGTGCTGTCGCCCTATAAGCAAAGTGACCAGTTAGTATATCAAATTAAAATTACATACAGTCGACTAAATTAACTATGAATATTCACTAGTTCATAGCAGCTCATCAAAGTGGATCTTAGTTTTAACTAGTATTAAGACTAGCTAAGTCTGCCCAAGATGCTGCATAGTAAGATATTTTAGTTAAGCTCCTCTATGTAGTGTGATCCCCTCAAGGAAGGTTCCTTGATGTTGGTGAGGGGCTCTTGTTCTAGGGAATTGGATCTGGGCTCCAGTTCCTTGAATTAAGCCTGAATACCTTCCATCCCCCCCCACAGGTGCTGTATAATCCTATGGATTTAGCGCTTCCCCATGATTATAATACTACACTGACGCCTATATAACCGCCAGTCTCCTTGCCTTTGCTCCAGACTCTCCACCACCACGATGCTGTGAACACTAACTCCAAGGTTGAGGGACTAATTAACTCATCTTTTGTATATAGTTCTACAGTCTTCCAATTATGTCCAAGAATCTGTATTGATAAAGCCACTGGATGGCGAAACGTCTACAATAAAGATAACCAGATGTTGTACATGTCTCTAAACTTTCATATTGTTGGTATTTTATACCTTTCTTGCACAACAGTGGAACCTCGTTTATCAGCCGCTGCATTTATCGGCCGATTCATATTTAGGCCAGTTCTCGGCAGAAATTTTGCTCCCTATTTCAGCCATTGCCTCGTATATTGGCTGCATTAGATGCATCAGCTCAGGACACTGGACGTAGGCAAGTTAGTCTCCCTTTGTCTGTCAGCGAGTGAACATATACTCGGCGCACTCATCCAAACATTTCCTTAAAATCCACTATTTATGGTGGTATTATATTAAGTGCGACTGTGAAATAAGTCACCATGGGCAGGGAGTGTAGCAGGCAGGCAGAGTGTGTAGCAGGGAAAAAGGGAGTGTGGAAGGGAGGCAAGGAGTGTAGCAGGGAGGCAGGGAGTGTAGCAGGCAGGCAGGGTGTGTAGCAGGCAGACAGGGAGTGTAGCAGGCAGGCAAGGAGTGTAGCAGGGAGGCAGGGAGTGTAGCAGGCAGACAGGGAGTGTAGCAGGCATGCAGGGAGTGTAGCAGGCAGGGAGTGTAGCAGGCAGGCAGGGAGTGTAGCAGGCATGCAGGAAGTGTAGCAGGCAGGCAGGGAGTGTAGCAGGCATGCAGGGGGTGTAGCAGGGAGTGTAGCAGGGAGGCAGGGAGTGTAGCAGGGAGGCAGGGAGTGTAGCAGGCAGGCAGGGAGTATAGCAGGCAGGCAGGCAGGCAGGGAGTGTAGCAGGGAGCATAGCAGGGAGTGTAGCAGGCAGGCAGGGAGTGTAGCAGGCAGGCAGGGAGTGTAGCAGGCAGGCAGGGAGTGTAGCAGGGAGGCAGGGAGTGTAGCAGGCAGGCAGGGAGTGTAGCAGGGAGTATAGCAGGGAGTGTAGCAGGGAGTGTAGCAGACAGTGCAGGGTGTGCTAGCTGCAGGGCTGACTTGCCATAGGTTTGAACCCTCACTTCAACGAGACATTCTCAATGTTCAAAACATCTACTATAGAAATGTCACATCAATAAACCAGCACCAATGTTATTCAGAATCTCTACAGCAGAAATATCACATCAACAAACCAGTGTAACGCAGTTATTACGTTACGCAAAAAAATAAATACTGCGTAATACCAGCAACAAGGCTACTTACCTTACCAGTGGCGAAGAGTGTAGAAGAGTCAGGATCGTAGAAGGGGATGAGCATGGCGGGACTTATATCGATGACCACTGTGTTGCAGGGTTTGTTCAGCTCCGTCGCTTTGTACACGCTGATCTGCCGCTCAGACACCCTGCCCAACATAACTCATCAGACTTATGGAGAGACACAAGTGATAGTACGGGACGGCCCCCACACATATAAAACACTTATTTTCAGTCTTCCATGTTCCTATTGGCTTTCAATTGAGCCGTTGTTCTGCCTCCAGGTGACTCACTAGTGGGTGGAACATAACGAACAATGGCTCAGTTTGAAGCTAGCAAAAACGTGGACCACCGAAAGTAATGCTGGATACGCGGGCCCTCCTGTATTTGGATTAATGTTGATAGTTATCAATGTGTAAAGAGGTAAATTCATGTGAATCATCCAGCACAAGGAATGATAAAAGTTCGAGCCTTTTACGATTATTATTACAATCAAAACTAGGCCCTAAACCCACAAAAGCTTTTTATGATTGTTATGGGGCTATAGGACTCAATATGTATTTATGTATCTAAGTAGCAATTATTCACTTTGGAATACCTAATTATACTGAACTGCTAGGGGGGACAACTGCTTTAATTCTGTTATAAGACCCCTCAAGGAAGGTTCCTTGATGTTGGTGAGGGGCTCTTGATTTAGCGAATTGGATCTGTGCTCCAGTTCCCCGAATTAAGCCTGAATGCCTTCCACATCCCCCCTCCCCAGGTGCTGTATAATCCTCCGGGTTTAGCGCTTCCCCCTTGATTATAATAATAATAATAATCTGTTATAAGGGTAGATCACTCTTGTGGGGAAAAAGGTCAATTGAACCAAGTCCTGTTTTTTCAATATAAATAGATTGCACTATACACACATAATTAAAATAAGTAGTTATAAAGTGTGTATTCTTTTATAAAAGTAGAATAAGGTGTAGTAATGGAAAAAAATTATTGTAGTAGGTAAAGAATTGGGCATGTCAACAGTCTTTTGTTTGTTGTTGGGTAGATAGGAGAGGCTAGTTCTCTCTCTCTCTTGTTGTTGTGGTGTCAACATGGGAGGACCTTCTCCTCCACTCTTCTGGGCAAGAGTGCCCCAGAGGTAAGATTTGTACTTGAATACAATGTAACCATTATACCTAGAGTGACTAGAGTGTGTTAAAACACTGAGTTAAGATCATCAGGAGGGAAAGAGAACTAGTTGTTTCAGATAGACCATGTGACTGTCATGGCTGAACAGCTAAGGGTGTGCACCTTTCAGTTATCAATAGGAAAATGATTGACTTGTATATTCTGTATATACCTGTCTAGAATATATTCCTGTTTTTGTAATAGTTTAAATAACCTATTGAGAGGTTGGTGAAAGCATTTCAGAGACTGAGGATGACCAATCATGAATGTAAGTATTACACTATACTTTATAAGGCCTTATTTAACCCCTAAATAGTCCAACGTATATATACATCCACTCGCGTAGCGCCCCAAATTTTTTGAGAAAAAAAAAATCTTTTTTTTTTAATAGGAAAAAAGAGCATATGGTACCCAGGCATCCCCAATTATTTTAATATGGCGCACAGTGAGTGCGCACACCCATTCTCTCATGTCTAGGCGACTCAGGCTTATCGTGGCAATGATGAATAAATGACAAAGAAAACGTATATATACGTTTGGGGCGATACGCACGTGAACGTATATATACATCTGGACCGTTTAGGGGTTAAGCCACCCCACACTAGAACATGTAGTGAGAATCATACCATCGAAGTAAAAAGGGAAAAAACAATATGACGATCTCATGAGAGATCAACCTCTGATAATTATCAAAGTCGTGGTTTATTCATCTCTCCATAAAATAATAGTAAATTTGTTGATTATTAACCACCAAAATAATTAGTAAAATTATGGGTAATTAACCTCCCTAAAATAAAGAGATACAAGAACCTACTTGCTAAATCCTACTGTTACTAGGTATTTGCCACCTAGTGCCCATAATACCCTGGCGCCCCGAACACCGACTGGACCATTGCCTGTCTGGATGGGCTCAGTACAGTGCCGTGGGTCGTAAATACGAATGTGACTGTCACGGCACATGGTCGCCAGGTAGCGTCCACACGGGCTCCACGCCAGTGAAAATATCTGTAAAACAAAAATGGAGTTATGCTTTAGTTTTTTTAACACATGGGCCATCATCCACTGAGCCAGGGTGACCAGAAATAGAAGAAACACTTTTACCATCATTCACTCCATCACTGTCTTGCCAGAGAGGTGCCAATACTACAGTTCAAAACTGGAGATATCTTTATCCCACCTCCAGGACTCAAGTCCAACCACAATTATTACATATTCTTCGGCAGCATTACCCCCATGAAAGTTCATAAGCACCGCCAAGGAAACACATCAACTCCTAAATAAAAATACTTTTCAAAATGTGGTCCTTGCATGTACCGAGCCCAACACTGTTACCATGCAATGCAATAACGTTTTAGCACGTTTTTCTATCAAATATTTCACATTTAAAAAATCACATGAAAAGCTTATAAAAATATATTATTATTGAATATTTTGATGTTTCAGAGTAGTCAGAAAAGAATACTATACTTCTTCTTACATTCAGTAATTTAGCCCCTCGCTGTCGGTATTTTAGTCGCCTCTACAGTGTGTATGGTTTACGGAGGAAGGATTTTTCTCCATTTCCCCATGGTAAAACAATTTCATCTCTATCCACCACTTAAGGCTAATTAACTAGCGTTCCACTCGTCCCCTATTAGCTTGTTAAAATGAGGCATTATTATATCTGCAATTACCATGCTAGCCAGTACAGTGGACCCCCGCTTAACGATCACCTCCCAATGCGACCAATTATGTAAGTGTATTTATGTAAGTGCGTTTGTACGTGTATGTTTGGGGGTCTGAAATGGACTAATCTACTTCACAATATTCCTTATGGGAACAAATTCGGTCAGTACTGGCACCTGAACATACTTCTGGAATGAAAAAAGTTCGTTAACCGGGGGTCCACTGTAATGGCTATGGTCTAGGTTAACAGGAGCAGGTGTTAAGATAGATGAGACATGCATACCTGGTCTGGATGACTAGGTAGAGTGATGGCAACACTCTGGCTGTGAAGGTCCCACACCTTTATGGTGAGGTCGCCGCAGGCGGCGGCCAGGATCCCCGCTGATAGGGGATGCCACTTCAGTATTGTTACCTGTGGGGTTAAACAAGATGTAGACACGATATTTTTTTAAACACACCACACTGGCCATTTCCCACCAAGGCAGAGTGACCCAAAAAAAGAAACACTTTGACCATCATTCACACTATCACTGTCTTGCCAGAGGCACACAGATATGACAGTTCAGATGTCACTCCAAACAACAAACATCCCGAACTCCTTCTTTAAAGTGCTGGCACTGTACTTCCCACCTCCAGCACTGTAACATCCCCACCCATCCTTCAGAGTACAGGCACTGTACTTCCCACCTCCAGCACTGTAACATCCCCACCCATCCTTCAGAATGCTGGCACTGTACTTCCTACCTCCAGCACTGTAACATCCCCACCCATCCTTCAGAATGCTGGCACTGTATTTCCTACCTCCAGCACTGTAACACTCCCACCCATCCTTCAGAATGCTGGCACTGTACTTCCTACCTCCAGCACTGTAACACTCCCACCCATCCTTCAGAATGCTGGCACTGTACTTCCTACCTCCAACACTGTAACACTCCCACCCATCCTTCAGAATGCTGGCACTGTACTTCCCACCTCCAGCACTGTAACACTCCCACCCATCCTTCAGAATGCTGGCACTGTACTTCCTACCTCCAGCACTGTAACACTCCCACCCATCCTTCAGAATGCTGGCACTGTACTTCCTACCTCCAGCACTGTAACACTCCCACCCATCCTTCAGAATGCTGGCACTGTACTTCCTACCTCCAGCACTGTAACACTCCCACCCATCCTTCAGAATGCTGGCACTGTACTTCCTACCTCCAGCACTGTAACATCCCCACCCATCCTTCAGAATGCTGGCACTGTACTTCCTACCTCCAGCACTGTAACATCCCCACCCATCCTTCAGAATGCTGGCACTGTACTTCCTACCTCCATGCACTGTAACACCCCCACCATCCTTCAATACAGGCACTGTACTTCCTACCTCCAGCACTGTAACATCCCCACCCATCCTTCAGAGTGCTGGCACTGTACTTCTTACCTCCAGCACTGTAACATATCCCCACCCATCCTTCAGAATGCTGGCACTGTACTTCCTACCTCAAGCACTGTAACATCCCCACCCATCGTTCAGAGTACAGGCACTGTACTTCCCACCTCCAGCACTGTAACACTCCCACCCATCCTTCAGAATGCTGGCACTGTACTTCCTACCTCCAGCACTGTAACACTCCCACCCATCCTTCAGAATGCTGGCACTGTACTTCCTACCTCAAGCACTGTAACATCCCCACCCATCCTTCAGAATGCTGGCACTGTACTTCCTACCTCCAGCACTGTAACATCCCCACCCATCCTTCAGAATGCTGGCACTGTACTTCCTACCTCAAGTACTGTAACATCCCCACCCATCGTTCTGAGTACAGGAACTGTACTTCCCACCTCCAGCACTGTAACACTCCCACCCATCGTTCAGAGTACAGGAACTGTACTTCCCACCTCCAGCACTGTAACATCCCCACCATCCTTCAGAGTACAGGCACTGTACTTCCCACCTCCAGCACTGTAACACTCCCACCCATCCTTCAGAATGCTGGCACTGTACTTCCCACCTCCAGCACTGTAACACCCCCACCCATCCTTCAGAGTACAGGCACTGTACTTCCCACCTCCAGCACTGTAACATCCCCACCCATCCTTCAGAATGCTGGCACTGTGCTTCCCACCTCCAGCACTGTAACACTCCCACCCATCCTTCAAAATGCTGGCACTGTACTTCCCACCTCCAGCACTGTAACACTCCCACCCATCTTCGAATGCTGGCACTGTACTTCCACCTCCAGCACTGTAACACTCCACCATCCTCAGAATGCTGGCACTGTGCTTCCCACCTCCAGCACTGTAACACTCCCACCCATCCTTCAGAATGCTGGCACTATACTTCATACCTCCAGCACTGTAACACTCCCACCCATCCTTCAGAATGTTGGCACTATACTTCCCACCTCCAGCACTGTAACACTCCCACCCATCCTTCAGAATGCTGGCACTATACTTCCCACCTCCAGCACTGTAACACTCCCACCCATCCTTCAGAATGCTGGCACTATACTTCCCACCTCCAGCACTGTAACACTCCCACCCATCCTTCAGAATGCTGGCACTATACTTCCCACCTCCAGCACTGTAACATCCCCACCCATCCTTCAGAATGCTGGCACTGTACTTCCTACCTCCAGCACTGTAACACTCCCACCCATCCTTCAGAATGCTGGCACTGTACTTCCCACCTCCAGCACTGTAACACTCCCACCCATCCTTCAGAATGCTGGCACTGTGCTTCACACCTCCAGCACTGTAACACTCCCACCCATCCTTCAGAATGCTGGCACTGTACTTCCCACCTCCAGCACTGTAACACTCCCACCCATCCTTCAGAATGCTGGCACTGTGCTTCCCACCTCCAGCACTGTAACACTCCCACCCATCCTTCAGAATGCTGGCACTGTGCTTCCCACCTCCAGCACTGTGACACTCCCACCCATCCTTCAGAATGCTGGCACTGTACTTCCCACCTCCAGCACTGTAACACTCCCACCCATCCTTCAGAATGCTGGCACTGTGCTTCCTACCTCCAGCACTGTAACACTCCCACCCATCGTTCAGAGTACAGGCACTGTACTTCCCACCTCCAGTACTGTAACATTCTCACTCATCCTTCAGAGTACAGGCACTGTACTTCCCACCTCCAGTACTGTAACATTCTCACTCATCCTTCAGAGTACAGGCACTGTACTTCCCACCTCCAGTACTGTAACATTCTCACTCATCCTTCAGAGTACAGACACTGTACTTCCCACCTCCAGTACTGTAACATTCTCACTCATCCTTCAGAGTACAGGCACTGTACTTCCCACCTCCAGTACTGTAACATTCTCACTCATCTTCAGAGTACAGGCACTGTACTTCCCACCTCCAGTACTGTAACATTCTCACTCATCCTTCAGAGTACAGGCACTGTACTTCCCACCTCCAGCACTGTAACACTCCCACCCATCCTTCAGAGTACAGGCACTGTACTTCCTACCTCAAGCACTGTAACACACCCACCCATCCTTCAGAGTACAGGCACTGTACTTCCTACCTCAAGCACTGTAACACCCCCACCCATCCTTCAGAGTACAGGCACTGTACTTCCTACCTCAAGCACTGTAACACACCCACCCATCCTTCAGAATGCTGGCAGTGTACTTCCCACCTCCAGCACTGTAACACCCCCACCCATCCTTCAGAGTACAGGCACTGTACTTCCTACCTCAAGCACTGTAACACACCCACCCATCCTTCAGAATGCTGGCACTGTACTTCCCACCTCCAGCACTGTAACACTCCCACCCATCGTTCAGAGTACAGGCACTGTACTTTCTACCTCAAGCACTGTAACACTCCCACCCATCGTTCAGAGTACAGGCACTGTACTTCCCGCCTCCAGCACTGTAACACTCCCACCCATCGTTCAGAGTACAGGCACTGTACTTCCTACCTCCAGCACTGTAACACTCCCACCCATCGTTCAGAGTACAGGCACTGTACTTCCTACCTCCAGCACTGTAACACTCCCACCCATCATTCAGAGTACAGGCACTGTACTTCCCGCCTCCAGCACTGTAACACTTCCACCCATCGTTCAGAGTACAGGCACTGTACTTCCCACCTCCAGCACTGTAACACTCCCACCCATCGTTCAGAGTACAGGCACTGTACTTCCTACCTCCAGCACTGTAACACTCCCACCCATCGTTCAGAGTACAGGCACTGTACTTCCCGCCTCCAGCACTGTAACACTCCCACCCATCGTTCAGAGTACAGGCACTGTACTTCCCACCTCCAGCACTGTAACACTCCCACCCATCTTCGAGTACAGGCACTGTACTTCCCACCTCCAGCACTGTAACCACTCCCACCCATCCTTCAGAGTACAGGCCTGTACTTCCCGCCTCCAGCACTGTAAACTCTCCCACCCATCGTTCAGAGTACAGGCACTGTATTCCCCACTCCAGCACTGTAACACTCCCACCCATCCTTCAGAGTACAGGCACTGTACTTCCCACCTCCAGCACTGTAACACTCCCACCCATCCTTCAGAGTACAGGCACTGTACTTCCTACCTCCAGCACTGTAACATCCCCACCCATCCTTCAGAGTACAGGCACTGTACTTCCCACCTCCAGCACTGTAACACCCCCACCCATCGTTCAGAGTACAGGCACTGTACTTCCCACCTCAAGCACTGTAACACCCCCACCCATCGTTCAGAGTACAGGCACTGTACTTCCCACCTCCAGCACTGTAACACTCCCACCCATCCTTCAGAGTACAGGCACTGTACTTCCCGCCTCCAGCACTGTAACACTCCCACCCATCGTTCAGAGTACAGGCACTGTACTTCCCACCTCCAGCACTGTAACACTCCCACCCATCCTTCAGAGTACAGGCACTGTACTTCCCACCTCCAGCACTGTAACACTCCCACCCATCCTTCAGAGTACAGGCACTGTACTTCCTACCTCCAGCACTGTAACATCCCCACCCATCCTTCAGAGTACAGGCACTGTACTTCCCACCTCCAGCACTGTAACACTCCCACCCATCGTTCAGAGTACAGGCACTGTACTTTCTACCTCCAGCACTGTAACACCCCCACCCATCGTTCAGAGTACAGGCACTGTACTTCCCACCTCCAGCACTGTAACACTCCCACCCATCGTTCAGAGTACAGGCACTGTACTTCCCACCTCCAAGACTTAAGACGAAAGGTGTAGAAACCTTTTAAAGCATGAAAGAGCCGTACCATACCTGGCTGATGACAGAATCTGGTTTGTTTCAAGATCATGGTCGGATTACTAGTACAAAACACTACACTCATCCTTTATCTTATAACAACTATGACCTACCTTACCTTATAATATCTGTGACCTAAGTTACACTATCAGTGACCTACCTTATCTTATAATATCAGTGACCTACCTTATAATGTCAGTGACCTACCTTATCTTATAATATCAGTGACCTACCTTATAATATCAGTGACCTACCTTATAATGTCAGTGACCTACCTTATCTTACAATACCAGTGACCTACCTTATCTTACAATACCAGTGACCTACCTTATCTTACAATACCAGTGACCTACCTTATCTTACAATACCAGTGACCTACCTTATCTTACAATACCAGTGACCTACCTTATCTTACAATACCAGTGACCTACCTTATCTTACAATACCAGTGACCTACCTTATCTTACAATATCAGTGACCTACCTTATCTTACAATATCAGTGACCTACCTTATCTTACAATACCAGTGACCTACCTTATCTTACAATTACCAGTGACCTACCTTATTCTTACAATTACCAGTGACCTACCTTATCTTACAATACCAGTGACCTACCTTATCTTACTACCGTGACCACTTATTTACTACAGTGACCTACCTTATCTTAATACCAGTGACCTACCTTATCTTACAATACCAGTGACCTACCTTATCTTACAATACCAGTGACCTACCTTATCTTACAATACCATTGACCTACCTTATCTTACACTACCAGTGACCTACCTTATCTTCAACTCACCTTGTCTGCCGAACCAATGTCCATAAAAGTTTCATTAGGCTCGTTGTAGGCTGGGTTAAGCCGCCCTCCGGGATGTGCCACAGGTGAATCTTGCCGTCGTCACATGCTACCAACAAAAAAACAAAACCTCTGCGTCTTATAAGCTGCGAAATATGGTACGGTCTTTACATCCCTCGTTCCATTTATACAGCTCAATCATACAGGAAGGCTCCGCATGTACAACTCCCACTTTTCAGTGTTTTACGCTTTCACTGGCTTTCATCTGAGCCATTGTTTATTATGTTCGGTGCTTTTCTGGCATCGCCATTTCAGTACAACAGTCGTGTGAGAGAAAGATGACCAGCACCACATTTTAAGGCAAGTATTGTGTGTATTGTGTATTTAAAATTTTTATCTTTTCTTTTTTATGCCTAGCTGTATTGAGCAGTTAACCCTTTCAGGGTCGGCAGGCCGTCTCCTAAACTTGTTCTCAGGGTCAGAAATTTTTCGAAAAAAAAAAATATTTTTTCTTCTGAAATGATAGAGAATCTTTTCCCGATCATAATGATACCAAAAGTACAAAATTTGATGGAAAACTCACAGGAATTATGCTCTCGTGAATTTAGTGGTCTCTGCGATGTTTACACATCGGCGATTCTGCCCACTTTGAGCCCTATTTTTGGCCAATTCCTATGTACCAGTTGACAAAAATCATAACTATTTCGCTAGAACTCCATTTTTTTCTATCGATTGGGTACAAGAAACCACCCATTTACCGATTTCCACTATCCAATAACATGGTCAGAAATTGGCAATTTTGCCAATTTCACACAAATTTCAAAAGATGCCAGTTTCCAAATAGGGTCCAGAATAAACAAGAGACATTTCTGGCACTAAAATAACATTTCCTCTGTTCATTAGTCACGTCCCCACGCCCCTCTTACGTTCTTTTGCTTTCCACTTTGAATTTTTATTCTCACAAAAAATAGAAGATTTATGTTATGCAGAATTTTTATTTTCACAAAAAATAGAAGATTTATGTTATGCAGACTACTGCATTCGTGTAGAAATGGCGTAAAAATGGTATGAATACTAATATCAACGCACTTGTGAAAGAATATTAGACTCACCAGTTGACGTGTATTGGACGCTTGGCATGATTTGTTTACCTTTGAACTTTGGCAAAACTGGAACATTACTGCTACTTTGAGCTCAATTTCATGGTACTTTTCATTGTGAAACCAGTCAAAATCATCTCAATTTCTGTAATATGTCTTCCATTCTATAAAATGAGACCAGGAAAACTAGAATATAACCATAAATAGCATATGAAAATACACTGCAAAGTCGCTGTTTTAAACCAAAAACACAGTCGGAGTTTTTTTCTCATTATGCACTGTGTGCTGCAAGATTTTTTTTTATACTGCGCACACCGACCACATAGACCCATTCTTTCATATGTAGGCCTACCAGCTTTCTCTCGGTAGATTTGAAGGCACTAGAATTTGAGTACTAGTACGGCACCAACCCTGGCGTGCAAGCCGTATTAGTACGGCACCAACCCTGAAAGGGTTAATATATGATAGCGTCAACATGTTCTCAGGTATTTTAGACACATTTGTAACGGAAAAAATGCTCTTTCCTACCTCCTGGCGATTTTCGCTTATCGTACAGGTTGGGAACCTTAGAAGCCATAAGAACGGAGCCCTCCTGTACATACATAACCACAGACAGTTGGGCCTTGCTTATAGTGCAGGCTAGGTTCCTCGCTAAGCGAAACACAGCCTTTTTCCAATTTCAAATGCATATAAAAACCTGATAACGGATTTATACTAGGCCTAGCAATAGAGTTAGGGCTACAAAATGCATATACAGTATACAGATTACTTATCTTAAAATATTTTCAGCCTTAGCAGTGAATATATGTACTGTAGGAAGTTGAATAAATGAAGAATAGCTAAAACTGAAAACCGCTGTAGTAGCAAATCCCCGTAATGCAAAGTGGGACCCTCCTGTATATAATCACATGTATGCATTAAGAGTGTCCTGTAGGTTGATTGGTAGTGCACTCAGTTCACATACTGAAGTCTAGGGGTCAATGCCCGGTATGGTTGGAAACATTGGGACATGCTTCCTTACGACGCCTGTTGTCCATGTTTGGCTTGTAGTTAAATAGGTAGGTACCTGGCTGTTAGTGGACTGGTGTGGGTCACATCCTGGGACAAAATTGACCTAATTTGCCTGAAATGCGCTGCATAACAAGCGGCTTTCTATATAGTATGTCAATGATGTCAGCTATGGTCTGTATACCTTGTACGTGGGTGAAACGTTGTCAATAAAGGATCACATTAAACTGCATATGTGTTTGTTTCCATTGTGTCGGTATTTTATACAATTTATTTTCAACAAGTAAAAGTAAATGGTTATAATAGTAATAATATGGTATGTCATTGATATCCGCTGGGTCAGTATAGGTTGTATCACGTACTTGTAGAAACAAAGATTTTTTTTTAATGCCCCAGCCATATCCCACTGAGGCACGGTGGCATATTATTATTATTAAAACACACAAGGAGACACGAGCACTCACCCACAGCCAGTGTGTGTTCATTAAAAGGGTCAAAGGCGAAGTCCATGACATTGGCAGTGTTCATGAGAGAGGGTATGACGCCATCTGGCTGGCGGCCACCCTTCTTGTGCTTCAGTACCGACAGCTTGCCGCCCGGGCCACTCAGCGGCAACACCACAAACTCAGAGTTCGCTAAAAAATAACACGACACATCTTGCATCAGTGGCTTTAATATATGTACCAACACTTCCTTATTATTATTACGGGAAAGCGAAGAAGAATCCCTCCTCTGTAAGCCATGTGTTGTAAGAGGTGACTAAAATGCTGCGAGAAAGGGACTAGTAACCCCTTCCCCTGTATACATTTCTAAATTCAAAAAAAAAAAAAAAAATTTCTCTCTACGTCACTCTGCCGAGGTGGGAGGTGCATAAAAAAAAAAATGCTATTATTGTTTGTAAGACGAAACAAAAGTTATTCTTCTTACGTATAGAAATTTATGCAAAACAATCACTGTGAAAAATGTGTAAGTTCCAAGTGCTTCTGTGATTTCTTGTACTAAGATTACAACAACATAAATATAACATTAGAACTGGACAAGAGTCTAATTCTGTGTGTATTAAAGTGAGAGATTTTAACCCTTAAACTGTCCAAACGTAGATCTACGTTTGAACAGTTTAAGGGTTAATAATCCAACTGATTTTGAAAAGGCCGAGAAAGTTGCATCAAATAGGTCTGCAGTTGAGAGAAATATAAATGAATCAAGCTTCATTAAAATTAGTTTTGATTTTAATGTGAATATTGGTTTAGGGTTATATAAATCAGATTCATTTATTAACTCGTAAACAGTCCAAGCAGATCTACGTTCACATGTGTAGTGCTAAAAAAGTAGATCTACGTTTTTTTTACATATTTTCAAATATAACAAAAAAAAAAGTAGATCAAAGTTTTTTTTACACATTTTCAAATGTAAAAAAACAAAAAGATCTACTTTTTTTACATTCAAATATTGAAAAAACGTATACAGTGGACCCCCGCATAACGATTACCTCCGAATGCGACCAATTATGTAAGTGTATTTATGTAAGTGCGTTTGTACGTGTATGTTTGGGGGTCTGAAATGGACTAATCTACTTCACAATATTCCTTATGGGAACAAATTCGGTCAGTACTGGCACCTGAACATACTTCTGGAGTGAAAAAATATCGTTAACCGGGGGTCCACTGTATATACGTTTGGACCGTTTACGGGTTAATGAATAAAATTTGGGAAGAATTTAAGCTATGTCTAGCAAGACATTGACCATCTTACTCGCATCATCATAAAGGAACAAGTGAGGTGTCAGATGCTGACCCTGAGGTGATATCTCAGCCTTATAACACTTCTACTGTTGTTTTATCTTTACAGTTCCTTGTTTACATGAGAAATCATGTAAACACGCATGTAAACAATCATGAAAGCACTTGGCTGCTACTATTTTTTCACTGTCGTCTCATTGCACAGTAATTTATACAGGAGAAGGGGTTACTAGCCTCTTGCTGCCAGCATCAGCTGCGTCTTACAACATGTACGGCTTGCGGAGGAAGAATTCTTCTCCAATTTTCCATGGAATTACAGTGGACCCCCAGTTAACGATATTTTTTCACTCCAGAAGTATGTTCAGGTGCCAGTACTGACCGAATTTGTTCCCATAAGAAATATTGTGAAGTAGATTAGTCCATTTCAGACCCCCAAACATACACGTACAAACGCACTTACATAAATACACTTACATAATTGGTCGCATTCGGAGGTGATCGTTATGCGGAGGTCCACTGTATTATTATTATCAATGGAAGTGTTAAAGCCAAAATTGTTACATCTAACACATAATGCTGTTTATGACAGCATTAAAGATGTGACCTCAATGCTGTCAAACAGTCATTATACACTGCCATACGTCACTATACACTGCCATACACCGCCTAACTCACCTGCCATTCCATCACATTCTCCTGGTGTTGTTCGGCTCAGGTCTCTCAAATTCTCAATGCACGTGCTCTTGTGTCCCGGCGTTCCTTTTAAATGGCGGAATTTGCATATACGTCCTGGAGAATTAGTCAAAAATTAATATGTAAATCTATAAGACTAAGAGAAACATATACACGTATGGTAGGATTATTGCTATAAGAATTAGAGGTAAGACAGAGAGCAGAAACACATATGAACAAGGAGGCTTTAGAATGGTTAGAGAATGAGTAAATCAAGTGTTTACATTGAAGCATATATGTGAATAATATTTAGATGAAGTTAGAGAAGTTTTGGTTGCTTTTACGGATTTAGAAAAGGTATATGATAGGGTGGATAAGGGTGTAATGTGGAAGTTGTATATGGAATAGGTAGTAAGTTATTAACCGTTTCAGGGTTGGTGCCGTACTAGTATGGCTTGCACGACAGGGTTGGTGCCGTACTAGTACGCATAAATTCTAGCACCTTCAAATCTACCGAGAGAAAGCTAGTAGGCCTTCATATGAAAGAATGGGTCTATGTGATCAGTGTGCACAGTATAAAAAAAATCTTGCAGCACACAGTGCATAATGAGAAAAAAAAACTCCGACTGTGTTTTTGGTTTAAAACAGTGACTTTGCAGTGTATTTTCGTATGGTATTTATGGTTGTATTCTAGTTTTCCTGGTCTCTTTTTATAGAATGGAAGACACATTATGGAAATTGAGATGATTTTGACTGGTTTCACAATGAAAAGTACCATGAAATTGAGCTCAAAGTAGCAGTAATGTTCCAGTTTTGCCAAAGTTCAAAGGTAAACAAATCATGCCAAGCGTCCAATACACGTCAACTGGTGAGTCTAATATTCTTTCACAAGTGCGTTGATATTAGTATTCATACCATTTTTACGCCATTTCTACACGAATGCAGTAGTCTGCATAACATAAATCTTCTATTTTTTGTGAAAATAAAAATTCAAAGTGGAAAGCAAAAGAACGTAAGAGGGGCATGGGGACGTGACTAATGACCAGAGGAAATGTTATTTTAGTGCCAGGAATGTCTTTCTTGTTTATTCTGGACCCTATTTGGAAACTGGCATCTTTTGAAATTTGAGCGAAATTGGCAAAATTGCCAATTTCTGACCATGTTATTGGATAGTGGAAATCGGTAAATGGGTGGTTTCTTGTAGTACTCATTCGATAGAAAAAAATGGAGTTCTAGCGAAATAGGTATGATTTTTGTCAACTGGTACATAGGAATTGGCCAAAAATAGGGCTCAAAATGGGTGAAATCGCCGATGTGTAAACATCGTTGAGACCACTAACTTCGCGAGAGCCTAATTCCATGAGTTTTCCATCAAATTTCGTACTTTTGGTGTAATTATGATCGGGAAAAGATTCTCTATCATTTCATAAGAAAAAATTATTTTTTTTTTTCCAAAAAATTTCCAACCCTGAGAACAAGTTTAGGAGACGGCCTGCCGACCCTGAAAGGGTTAAATAGTAAAGAGTTTTTATGAGGATACTGAGGGTCAGGTTAGGGTGGGAAGGAGAGAGGGAGACTACTTCCCAGTAAAAGTAGGTCTTAGACAGGGATGTGTAATGTTACCATGGTTGTTTAATATAATAATAATAATAATAATAATAATAATAATAATAATAATAATAATAATAATAATAATAACAATGTTTATTTCTGTGTAAAGGTTATGATGTGTAATTACAATTTTGATTTGCTAAATACAAAAATAGCCATTATCATGCCGAGGCATTTCGGGCAAACTAATCCTAATACATAGTAACTAATTAAAACTAGATAAGATAATAGTACATAGTAATTATTACTTAAAACTAAACATGGAATAGTGGTTAGTTGTTTTATAGTCTTATTTGGACTTAATAAATCTCATGTAAACTTAGTACAAAATCTAATTTACAAGTAATGGTGCAGGTGGTAATATTTTATGGATTGGTAGAATTAAAAGCCAGGAGGTCACATGATAAGACTAATTAGCAGATGTTTTGGCAGATTTGGTTAATATTGAGAAACAAAATGATTTTATGGAATGGCAGAACTAAGAGCCTAGAGGTCACATGATAGTAGATGTTTGGTTGATTTGGTTAATATTGTGAGATAAGATGATTTTTTAGCAAAGTCCTAAATTTATAAGTTGTCTGGGGATCCTTGACCAGTTCCGGTAGCGAGTTCCAGATCTTCGGGCCTTTTATGTGCATAGCGTTCTTGCATAGTGAGAGTCTGACTCGAGGGATGTTGAAAAGTGCCTTATGCCTTGTATTGTGTCTGTGCATTCTGTTGTAACTGTCGAGGAGTAGCTTTAGGGGAGGGTTTACAGTGGAGTTTAAAGTTCTGTATATGTAGTAGGCACAATAATAAGAGTGTATGTCTTGTATATTTAGCAAGTTGAGTCTTCTGAAAAGTGGTGGTGTGTGCTGTCTAGCCCAGGAGCTGGTTATCACCCGCACAGCAGTGTTTTGTTGGATTATTAAGGGTCTAAGGTGGTTGGCTGTGGTTGAGCCCCAGGCACAGATACCATAGGTGAGGCAAGGATATATTAGAGAGTGGTACAGGGTAAGGAGAGTCGTTTGTGGTACATAGTATCGTATCTTGGAAAGGATTCCTACTGATTTGGAAATTTTCTTGGCTATGTGATGGGTATGGGACTGAAATTTAAGATTACAGTCAAGGAGAAGACCTAGAAATTTGCCCTCCGTGTGTCTTGATATAGAGGAACCATTTAACAGTATGTTGAATATTTGAGGTTCTGTTGCCAAACAGCATGAAGTAAGTTTTGTCTATGTTGAGAGTGAGTTTGTTGATCATCATCCAATCATAAATCTTAGCAGTTCATTGTTTACAGTGTTTTCAAGCACAGCTGGGTCTGAATGGGAGTAGACATACGTAGTGTCATGTGCAAATAGAACTGGTGTAAGGAATTGGGATGCATTGGGGAGATCATTGATGTAGATGAGAAAGAGGAGTGGGCCTAGGACACTACCTTGGGGTACTCCTACAGCTACAGGTTGGATAGCGGAGTTGACTCCGTTTGTATGTACATACTAGTGTCTGTCGTTAAGATAGGATTTTAGGTAGTCAAGAGAATGTCCTCTTATGCCATAATGATTCAGTTTGAGGTGCAAGAGATTGTGGTCAACTGTGTCAAAGGCTTTTCTTAGGTCAATAAAGAGCCCCAGAGGATATTCATTGTCGAGAGCTGTGTATATTAGGTCAAACATTTGTATAATAGCATCATTCGTGCTTTTTTTTTGTCTAAATCCAAACTGGCATGGGTTATGTTGCTGGATGTAAGGTAGGAGTAAAGTCGTTTGTGTATTATTTTTTCAAATAGTATCTTGGAGAGTAAGGGCAGGTTTGATATGGGTCTGTAATTGTTCAAATCAGTTGGATCTCCACCTTTATGGATCGGGGTGACCCTTGCTGTCTTGAGTATGGATGGGAAGGTTGAGGAAGCTATAGATTTGTTAAATATTGTTGCAATAATGGGCGACAGTTCTGGTGCAGCTTTTTTATATATGAATGGTGGCAAGTTATCTAGATCACCTGATTTGTTTTTTAATGATTTAATAATGAGTGAGAGTTCAGTGGGATTAGTTGGAGCTAGAAATAGAGTATTTGGATAGTTGCCGGAGAGGTACTCACTCGGATGGGTATTTGAGCTAGGAATTTGACTCGCTAGCTTTGATCCTACAGTAGAAAAGAAGACATTAAATTTGTCGGCCATATCTATAGGTTGCATGTGAGGTTCATCATCTGGTTTAGTTAAGTCTATCTCTCTATTTCCAGTCGTTTTTTTTTTTTTTTACACAGGGTTTGACAAGGTTAGGTTAAGGATCCTTATCTTTATTGACAAGCTATTCACAGGTTAAGGATTCCTAACTTTATTGGCAAGCTAAGAGCTGTTACCTACATCAGCTCATTTGAAAGCATTTTTATTGTTATGAGACATACAAGTAGGGAACAGGATGAAGTTGGAGCCATCTGTGGGCCAGCATTTTCATTTGATCAACTGACGTTATCTCGTTGACATCATTATGCTGTACGAATGTGTTCCATACTCGAGTCATCCTGGGGATATATGATCTCAGATGGAGTGATGTCCTGGAGAAGGGTACAGCCAGAGTGAAGTTTTCTCGAGCCCAAAATTTTGGAGAGTGTTTGCCAGGTACTTTTCACGTCACCTTTTATTTCACTAAATCTATTTTCATAATACATTTTCTTTGATTTATATATTAGTTTTGTGAGTATTGATGTGTGTCTTTTAGTAAATTCTTTAGTAATTAAGCCTAATCTGAACTGTTTTTCAATTTGGTGTTTTTTAATAGATTTGAGGATACAGTGGACCCCCGCATAACGATTACCTCCGAATGCGACCAATTATGTAAGTGTATTTATGTAAGTGCGTTTGTACGTGTATGTTTGGGGGTCTAAAATGGACTAATCTACTTCACAATATTCCTTATGGGAACAAATTCGGTCAGTACTGGCACCTGAACATACTTCTGGAGTGAAAAAATATCGTTAACCGGGGGTCCACTGTACTTCTAGTTAGCCATGGTCTGTTTAGCCTCTTTTCCGTGATCTGTTTCATTTTGACTGGGCAATGTTTGTTGTAGAGGTTGAGGGTTTTATGTAAAAAAAATTGATATCTTTATCGATATTATTACTGTCATCTAGCTCTCTGCCAGCTAGTTTTAGGTTGTTTATCGATGTTTCGTCATGCAGGTGAAATGGAATCTTCCTTGTTTCTTGAGGCAGTTTAGATAAGTTGGTTATGAGGAAGGTAGGATAGTGGTCTGTGGTGTTATCTGTGATTATACCTGCTTGTAGTGGGGATATTATGTTGGTCCAGATATGGTCGAGTAACGAGGCATTAGTGTCAGAGATTCTTGTTGGCTTTGTTATAGTGGGTAGCAATAAGCTGTTGTTCATAGCATTTGTGAATTCAACTACTGGAGGGTCGGTTGCTTGGATAAGGTTGATGTTGGTATCTTCTGCTAGTATCAGATGGTGTTTATTCAACTCTGACACAATTATCATGTTTCTAAGGTTATTGCTAAAAGTGT